ATTTTGCTTCTGTGTTCATATTTTACATCACGGTTCACATCAGAGTATAGATGAGGGAAATTCCGCTTACATCTCCAGCTTTATGGCCTTAAGCATCTTTTAAGCAACGCACAGAAACTTACACAATTTTAGCTTTGACGCTTTGAGTATTAAACACAAGAGCCAACTGTCTTTTCAGAGTAAATACGTGATTTTTATATCTCCAGCGTCAACATCTGACACCGACAAGCTTCACTTCTCCTCATTTGCACTTTTCTCTTTGACTTTTGTGCCAGAATAGAAAGTACCCTCTTAATTTGTCTGTCAGTCACTCGCTGAAAAGGTTTCAGTCTCCACACCACGTTGCGCCAAAACAGCAAGGGAACATCGTGTTTTCCTTTTGAGAGTATCTCTAATATAAATAAATTATTCCTCGGTCAAAACAGAGTCCAAATTAATCTCAAATATATTTTGGCTAAGTCCCTTATTTGGACGAGCAGCTCTGTTGTGTCCCCAGAAACACAGACCTCGAAAACCCAAAGTGAGACCAGATGAGGGTTCAGGAAGGAGAGGAAGATTTGTGTGTGTGAATGTGTGTGTGTGTGAGTGTGAGTGTGTGTGTGTGTCGGTAAAGGGGGTGAAAAAAGAAGAGGTCACAGACCCAGAATACATTCCCACAGGAATGACGCTCACAGACGACCCGATGTGATTATCAGCTTTACGACAAAGTGAGGGTGTGGTGCCGTTTTTAGAGAGAGAGGAGGAAAGTCCAGTTTTGACGCGTCACCGCGGCTTTAAATTATGAACCTGATCTGTGAAAGGAAGTCTCGATCTACACGACCAATTTGTGCCGTAATTTTTCAACAAATTGGGAAAGTTGTTTTTTTAAAACATTGCAAAACTGGTTCGTGGAAGAGGATTAGGGCCACAAGAAAAGAAAAAAATGACAGGAGGGAGATTTTTTAAATTTTCATTTTGAGATTAAAGTCGAATTTTAAAAAAGTAGAAAAAAAAGTTTAAATTTTGAGATTAAAGTTTAAATTTTGAATTTAATCTCAAAATTTATAGTTTTTAATCTTGAAATTTTGACATTATTCACAAGATTTTGATATTTTGTGATCTTAAAGTTTCGACTTTAATATCAAAAGATCAATCTTTAATCTTGAAATTTCAACTTAATTGACATAATTTTGATTTTTTTAATCTTGAAATTTCGACTTTATTCTCCTTTCTGTACTTATTTTTTTCTCTTCATGTGGCTCTAATCCTCTTTCGTAGGTTCATGACCTCTTGTCAGATAAGAATTGTGAGGCACCGATACTGCGGCGCTTTGGGGTGCAACACGTAAGTATATTGTTGTCATCGCATCTGTGTCTGTTGTGCCTCCTTCTCAGTTAGTTTGCCATCTGGTCATCCTTTTTTTCGTACGATGCAGGAATCGAGAAACGCTGTTGTTAGGATTCGTCTTAGTAACGGGAAACCGGATTGTAAACATTGACTAATCTCACATCGGTGCGGCTCAGACGATCTTTCGTGAAGATTTCGACATATCTTACACCCCAGGAACCTCTAGCAAAAACTCAGCTTTAGTCTTTTTTATTTGACTGAATGTAGCTCCACGGTATTCATAAACTAGTCTTAATGTATTTATTCTGTTACCTTAAATTTGGACATCGGTAAAAAGCAGAAAAAAGTGTTTAAGGAACTTTTCGACCCGAGTAAGTCAAACGGGGCAACAATCCATCTCTGGAGTGAAATGTCCAATTTTAAAACCTCATTTCTCTCCAGACAGTCATTTTTTTTTTTTCCACCCCTGGAAGGTCACATTTTTGGTACGCTCCTGTCCCCTTTGGCCAAAACAACCGTCAGCACCTTGGCTGATGCTTCGCCCGTTTAAGTCGCACATGATTTTGCATTCCTGTGAAATGCAGCTCGGCCCCACGGGGGAGAAGCTCATCTCCTATTTCTGCACACACACACACACACTCAGGCCTGCAGGATCTCACAGGACAGGTGATACTATTTTAGCAAACTTGACTCAACAGTAAAGGAGGGGATAAGCGCGCGCTCTCTCTCTCTTTTTTCTCACAGTGGATGTGAAAGGTTGGAATTTCGCAAACATGGGAAACTCCGGAGTGCAGAGAGACAAACTGCTGTGGTTTTACACCAGTAATTACAGTCAGTTAACACCCATCTGATTACTGTGTTTTTATTTACAGCCATCGTCACAGCTTTCACTTTTCGCATCCAACCGAGGGGATCTGTTCTCCCCCGACTTGTGTTCTCATACTTTTAAGAACGAGTGCGAAATACCGAGCACGTCTATTTGGGTGGCGGTTCTGGCCCGGTCACAGTAGCGCAGTGTTCGATCCAACCGTCCGAGAGAAAGTTGTTTTTCACGCGGCGGGAAGGAAATAGATGGTGACAGTGACACATAAAAGGCAGGGCTGTGGTCAGGGGGCCTGACGTCATGGCAATTAAGATTTAAGACGAAGCGGCTTTTCGATGAGGGAAAGCCGCTCAGAGCAGCCCACAAGCATTTCAGTGAGAGTCTGGGATCGGGTACCGCATGAGGTTTTTGTGGAACAATGAGGCGGCCGCAAACCTCTCCATGCATTCACGAGACCCTCGAGGCATTAAAGACACCTCGCATACGCAGCCAGGAAAACTCCAGCAGTCCACCTCGTGAGTGTGTGTGAATGTTTCCTAAACTTTACCTCCACTTCTTAAAGCTCATTCATGCTCGAGGAATGGGAACATCATTTTTTGGACGGTTCGCAGACAGACAATCTGTGTGGAAAACAAAAGTGGCGTGTCTCGTCTGGAGGGTCATCCAACCTTGATTGAGCTTTGATTAATGACTGTTCTCAGAAAACCTGTGAGCAAGTGCAGCAAACGATCTGCTTTTGGATGTTTTGCCTCAACGTGAACTCCAGTCCTGCTTCTCGAATTGTTAGTTTGACTTTTAACGAAGTTAACAGAAGTTCGTCAGTGATAGAATGGACGCTGTCTGCCTCCGCGCTGGGTGAAGCCACCTGAGGACAGCACCCTCTGGTGATGGGCTGCAGTATAGGTCATAAATCCCGCCTCCTCCAGCAATCCTTATGGAGCTGTGGACAAACTTTAGAAATTGGTTTCACAGACGATAAATTTTTCTCCCCCGTGGTTGCAATTTTGACATGTAGTTACTGTTACCCCCAATTTCTACCGCATCCAGAACAGCTCTGATCTGGAAAGATGGCAATTTTCGACGTCCGCCAATTCCTACCTGATCCATTTGTGAGGCGAATTTCGTGGCAGATTACAGGCAGTGGGAATCGCGAAAACTCACAAGAACCCTTGAATTCATGTGCAATTGTGCAATGACAAGTTGTCTCTATAAAGACAGTCACATGACCATATAAGCGGTAGATTGTGTCCTTCCAGCGGAGGAAAGCCACTTATAGACTTCTAAAATCAGCATCTCCTCATTTATGGTGTCATCGCGGTGAAATGACGTCTATAAACCTTTCACTTGTTCGTCTCCACCCATTTGCATGGTGTGAAATATGATCCGCCTGAAACACGTAATATTTTATTTTGAAAAGAAGCCGGATGTTTTATTTTGTGACTGTGCCAGACTTCCTTTCCAGCACGGGTTAATCTGTGCTGAATTTATCTGCCATGCTCCGGCATACAGAAAAAATAAAACTCTTGCGATCAGCTGCGGAGTCCAGCGATTTGCAGCAGAACGGAATTTGGAAACGGACACATTAACTTGAATGGTTACAATCAGCTACGATTGGCGGATACGGCCTTTTTGTAGCCGTTCCGGATGCTACCGGAAATTGGGGGTAAGACTAGTTTGTGCTCAATTCCTCTTTTTTCTGTACAGCTTAATTTTTAAAAGTTATTAGGGGGTTCATGTTTTCTATGATTGACTCTTGATACAGCCTATGGGCGTACGAAGATTGCAGAGCTCACCCAGGGAACATGCTGTTTGAGCCGAGCGTCATCACAGCGACTTTCCCACCGAATGTGTACGATACCACTGCGCAAGTGGTGGTTCCAGGAAGTGGCGAAAATCCTGGAAATACCGAGAGCAATTCGGCTTCAAATTTTTATAATGACAGAAGGCGGATTCAGATTCAGATTCTTTTATCAACTATTGTGTTTTCAGGTCGGAACAAGTGTCTTTTACGTGCTTTTAACTCAGTAAGTCGACACGACCCAAACTCGAAACTTCCGTACAAAACCCCGAACATTAGAAGGATTTTATAAACTTCCCCGGAAAAAGTCGGACAGCCCCCCAAAAAGAGGACGTATGGTCACCCTATCTCTGCAGCCATGACTCATCAATCCCCTGAAATAAGCTGCGAGGCATGACCCCACTCCCACTCACATTTGTCCTCTGTCATGTAGACGCACATTTAGATCCACACAGCTCCCACTAACATCCCCCCTCCTTGAGCCTCCACCCTTTCCAACACACCCAAAATCCCTCAAGAGCAAACCTCCAGATCCCACTTTTCACCGCAGAGCCGCGGATTAGTAAAGGAGGCATTTCCCAAACGGTCTGCGGCTTCTGCGCTGACATGATTGTCATTCACTTTAATTCCTCTCTGTACTCTTTAGATTTGTCCTCCTCTGATTCTGCCGCTGCAGTAAAGGTAAATAACGGTTTCAAAAACACACGAAGCTCCTGTGCCGACTTGCTCCCCTGGAAAGGCATCTTACTTTCATTGCCAAGATGAAAGACACATTGAAAATAGGCGAGTGCAGCTGGGTTTGCATGCATGTGTGTTTATTTGACAAATATCCTTGGGGTCATATCTCTATTTGTGTGTATAAGTTAGGTAATTGAACCTCCGGGCTCTCCAAATCAAACCCTCATGAAGTTGCAGCAAACTCTGCTGTAAACGACTCCCACGTTGAACCCGAGGCCTTATGTTGTTTAATGCTTCAAGGCCGTCGAGAGTGGATGTTGCATAAGCGCCAAACATCTCTCTTCTCTGATCTTTCGTACCTTTAATGATGTCTTTATTCAGCTTCAGGGCCTGAAAGTTCTCCTGGGGCGAAAAAGGATCGATGCACCTGTGAGGAGGTGCTGCGACACGGAAAAGAGGGAGAAGTGGGGCGAGATCAGAGCGTCTTTGTTCAGTCCTCTGTCCTCCTGGTTCATCCATCACTCTTCCTGACTTTGCTTACGTTTGCAGATGAAAGTTTTTTGGGGGGGCTCCAGGAGGAAGGCGGGGCCCCGCCGCCGCTTTGTTGTCGGCTTTTGTGTTCGGCTACCTGAGGGCTCACACGCCGAACATCTAACATTCGGCGGGAGGAGCGTGTGACAGCTTTGATTTCTTCAAAGGAGCTGTGCTTCAGATATGACAATGTGAGGATTGAGCTTAATTGTTTCAGGATAACCGCCTTTAGTTCAACCTGCATGAACAGATTCTGGAGTGAATCTGTCGATGAAGGACGAGTTTCTGGGTGTCAGGATGAATTTTGTCTGTCAGACTGTTAGAGTGTTTTTGTCGGCTTTGGTGATGTGGAGAGAAAAAAGGTGAAACATAAAGTTAAAAAACAGCAGCTTATATGTGGAAATTTAGTCTGCTCTTGTGTTATGTTGCCAAAAGAAGAGGTTTTAAATTGCTGGAAAATCAAACTTTCCAAACCAGGTTTTGGTGTCGTGAATGTCTTGTTTGATCACAAAAGTAACATCATGTCTTGTCAGTGTTGCCACATGTACGTAAAAGAAAAAACAAATTGGCTAGTTAAAATTCTGATTGGCTGGTAACTCTAGATCAAACAAGTTAATTTAAAACCCTGGTTACATGTTGCTCAGAAAATCTATTTAATGTATCAGTCTGACTGCACTAAATAAAACTAACTTCGCACAGCCCGGCTAACAAACCTGGACATACTGGTTGGAGAATAAGTTTCTCTTTTATGTATACGCCTCAGTTAGACTAAAACTAGTCTAAGCGCTCTGTGCCTGAACAAGAGTCACATAAGGATTTGACCTGGGGCTGAATAATGTAAATCCAGGTTGTAAACAAAACCTCAACAGACGAGTAAAGGTTAAAATGAGTAATTTCAGTCGATAACGGGGATTTTCTTGTACAAACAAGGCTTCATATCAAACTGCAGAAAACAGCCCCATGTTTAGGGTGACCATACATCCTCTTTTACCTGGACATGTCCTCTTTTTGGGGGGCTGTTCAGCTGTCCGAGCTTGTCCGGGGAAGTTTATAAAATCCTTCAAATGTCTGCAGTTTTGTATGTAAGTTTTGATTTTGTGTCACGTGGACTTACTGAGTTGGAAGCACATGAAAGACACTTGATCCGACCTGAAAAACTCTCAAAATTAAGTTTGTGCGACTCTGTGATTCCGCCCCCGTGTAGACGTGTCCTCAGTTTGGTTAGTCTGAATATGGTCACCCTACACATGTTACATCTGCTTGTAGACACCACAGTTAGCATTCTAAATTCAAGATATTGGCCCCTGTCCTGCAATCCAGGCAACTGCAGCACAGCTGGTGAGAGACAGACATCTACTTCTTTAGTGCAGCTAACAATTTGGACACATAAGCTTTAAAGTCAAAGCTTGGAAAACCTGCAACGATTATCTGCATGTAAATACCTCTGTTACCTTTTGGATCAACTTTAAAACTCTTAACTATAACTGCGAAAAAAAAGCTAAAAGACGTCAAATCTGCGGGTGTCTATTCGCTTAAAGTTATTCTATGTTTGCCTCACACATTTCTAAACTCGATTTGTCGACACTAGAAGACTCTAAAAGTTCGCCATCGCTTCCAGAGGTTATGTCGTAGTCAAAAAATGTCCCGTTTGGCTCATGGGTTTGTTTTAGCCTCCAAAAATGACCCCTCAAAAGAGCAAACGGAGAGTAGTTGGTCACAGGTTCTTACGTCACCCAGTTAACTCCAATCAAACCAGCTATTTTTGCAGGATTCTGTGGTATGCATCTTTAATTTAGAGTTCATTGATATTCCCACCAGTCTGGATAATGAGGGTCTGTTTAAAAGGAGCCATGCTTCTGAACAACCACACGAGTGTCTCCTGGGCGGCGCCGGTTTCAAAGATTCTGCCGAGTATCTCGCAGCTATCTCAAACGGTCGACAGCTTCTTCTTCTTCTTCCTCATCCTGGCAGCTTCAAAATAAGAGTGGAACAATCTGCTTTAGCTGGAGAGGTTTGGTAATTTGCTGTAATGGCTGACACATGTTCAGGCCATCATCAGGAGGCCTCTAGCGATGGAAATCTCTATCAGTTCTGCACACGGGGATGCAGCAGCAGCAGCAGGAGCAGCACACCTGCAGGCTACAGCGGTTGGAAATAAGGTCTGGTCTGCACACATGCATGCATAAACACCTACACATGAATCTAAATGTACACACAGATATAGAAGTATGCATACAAAACATCAACAGAGATATCTCAACCCTGTAATGTACACAGACGCAGCTCCGAACTTGCATGTCACATTTGTTTCCTCAACAACGCTGCAGCCTGCTTGTTTCTTTAATCTTTCTGTTTATATTTCTGCGTCCAGACCTGCCAGTTTAACTCCAGCTCGAGCAATTAGCAGGAGGGGGAAAGCAAATAAAATGTCTGATGAAAGCGAAGTTGGGATCCTGACCTCATTCTGGCTGCATCTGCTGCTTTAACCGTGCAGCAGACAGTCATTTCCAAAGCTGTGAATTCCTCCGTGCCAGGCTGGCCTCTCTCTGGATGGATTTACAATGGCTGTTTGTGCTTTAGAACCTATCATTATTCTATATTCGCCCGGGTCATGTCAGTATACGCAGACCTTTGTTTGAGCAGCCTTTATTTTGTAAGTGGTTTCACATCTCAGGAAAAAGGAAATTTACAATCACAGGCTTTAAAAAAGACGTTTTTACTACGAATTTCAACCATCCTGGAGGAATGTTTGTTTGGCTGCAGAATCTAAATCTAGAGTAAACATTTTAATTAACATTAGCACACCAATTTATTAACCATTAAACTGATCATTTCCACTAAAGGTTTGGTTAGAAAATAGACATCTGCAGGAACATTTGCACCCGACTTGTTGTATTTATTCTTTGTAGCCATGGAAACTTAAAGATGCACTTAAACCAGAGGAGCCTTTAATAAAACATCCACAGCTGTCGCTGTCTATAAACCTTTCACTTGTTCGTCTCCGCCCGTTTGCATGGTGTGAAATACAATCAGCCTGAAAAACTTAGTGTTTTATTTTGAAAAGAAGCCGGATGTTTATTTTGTGTCTGTGCCCGACTTTGTTTCCAGCACGGGTTAATCTGGAAAAATAGTACCCTTGGGATCAGTTACAGACTTCGCCGATTTGCAGCAGAACCGAAAGAAGCCGGTGGAATTTAACACATTAACTTGAATGATTACGATCAGCTACGATCAGCTACGATCGGCAGATACGGCCTTTTTGTAGCCGTTCCAGATGCGGTGGAAATTGGGAGCTAAAAGGACATGAGACCACTGCCTACCTACACACATCCAAAACCAACTTTTATTCATTTATTTATTTTGACACTAAATTACCAATACATGCAAAATGACGTTGGTTATTGTTGTAAATTTCAGTATCGGTAAATCTTCGGTTTATTGCCCAGCCCTACGACTTTCTGTGGGTATCAAGTATGCAGTTTATAATATATGCTAATATAGCTGAAGTTCGCAGTATGCTAACTTAGTTTGGTGCAAAGTCCCGATCAGTCGGATTAAATGATGTGTCTTTTATACTAGTTGGGTACCACTGGGCCGGGTCTAGTTATTAATTGCGAGCATGTTGTGTACATGTTTTTTACACACTTGTTGATGACTTTCAAAGAGCAACTTTTCACTTCAGTTGGAGTGACCATATGTCCTCTTTTACTCGGACATGGTTTGTACAGCTTTGTCTGGGGAAGTTTGTAAAATCCTTCAAATGTCTGCGGTTTTGTACGTAAGTTTCGAGTTCGTGTTATGTGGATTTACTGAGTTCAAAGTGTGTGTAGTCGTGTCCTTTTTTTGGGAAGTCAGAATATTGTCACCCTAGCTTCATTTTGAGCACATTTTGAGTCTGGAGAGCTTTGTGTTGATTTCAGTGAAAAAGTTTTTCTTTGACTTCGTCTTTTAGTGCTTCTTGAAACAAATATCTGCTCTTTCATTTGAGTGTTTATCTCCTTTTGCCCTCCCTGATGTGATGATCTCTGTCTGAACCACACTCCGCCTCAGGTGTGTGATTATTCCTGCCCTTTTTTTTTCTTTTTTCTCAGACGGATTATCTCAGCTCCTCTTTCCATCCTCTCATCCATTCAAACAGCTGCTCGGTGTGTTAGTCAAGTTCAAAGTCTGAGCTCCGTCTCTTTGCCAGGAGAAACTCTATACCTGCTTCAGCTTTACGGGGTCAGGGGGAATATCCCAGAGCTGATCCTTCCTGCGTTGCGGCCCTGAAGATGACACGCTCAAGCTCAGGTACTGTATTTATGTGTCCCCTCCTCCTCCTCTCCTCCTCCTCCTCCTCACTTCAGGCCTTTTGTTGTGGAGGTTTGTGAATCAGACTTGTCACTGTGTCGGCTGTTTGTGTTGGCTCTCAGGGAGCAGAGAGAGTACATGAGGTTTTGGATGGACCTCCTCAGGGCTTCTTGTATTCACAGAGCTGACGGAGACATCTATCACAGGGGTTCAAAGGGGCGAGGAGGCTTTTCCTCTGCAGGGTCCGCTTACATTTCAACTAATCGACTTCTTCAGTTTATTATTTGTCAGTTTAAAAAGTTTAATCCTAACCTCGACTAGTCACAGGGTGAGCAAAAATACTGATGATGGATAAACAAAGATTAAAACTCATATTGTTTCCCACTTTTGTGCAACATGTCTTTTTATGGAGGTAATATTTGGTCATAATTCCTAATATCTAATAAATATCATTGTTTTTTTGGCATGTAGAGATAATTATCGCTATAACAAGAGCCTCTATATGTAGGCATGTTTATGTGTAGCGTGAGGAGGGAGGGGTGGAGTAAAAAAGGGCGTATAGGAAAAGCAGACGAAAAACCTTGAATGGGATTAGTAGACCTCAGAGCGCACAGATGCAGCGAGCTGGAAGTCTCTCTTGACTCAAAATAAACTCCTCATTTTCATAGAGAACTCTAAACAGGATTAATCTCGGATATTTCTAGGAAAAAGGAGAGTATGAAGATCGTTTTTGACAGCTCCAGTGTGCCAGACGCTCTTACTTTTGCGCAACAGGTTCCGCGAGATAAATTAAAGAGTTGAACTCCGATCCATGTAGGAAGAAGAAGAAGCATGCTGCCCGCGTTTCCACCCTCTAACAACGAGCAGGAGATCAACTCATGGGATGTAGCGGATGCAGAGTCAGGTTCAACTTTGCCAAGGTGCTCTCCAAAGTCTCCGTGTTCTTTGCCATGGTCCTGATCTTCACCTACTTCTTCTACTGTCTCACCGGATTCTGTGATTCCGCTCCCAGGAGTTTGTACACTCAGCAAGCTTTGGACTATGACATTTTGGACGATAATCGCCGCGTCCTGGACGACCTGCGACCCCCGGCGCGTCTTCTCCCCGGCGCGCCGTCGCTTTGGAACCGCACAGCTGCCCCCGCGGACGCAGAGCAAGTGGAGCAAGCGCACGGACAGCATCCTTCTGTCAGCGCCGAGGAGGCCGCCCAGAGCAGCAGCAGCAGCAGCATCCCCGTGTCCAACACTTTCGGGATCAAGAGGTTTCCGCAGGCGATTATAATCGGCGTGAAGAAAGGGGGGACCCGCGCCCTGCTGGAGTTTCTCCGCATACACCCGGACGTGAGGGCGGTTGGAGCGGAGCCGCACTTCTTTGACCGGTTTTATGACAGAGGACTGGAGTGGTACAGGTGGGAAACAAACACACACACACACACACACACACACACACACACACACACACACACACACACACATGCGCAAGAAAGTTGGGTTGGTACAGTTGGCATAATCTTGGCAGCTTCTGATTCAGCTGCTACAGAGAATACTGGGAGATAAGTTCATGATCCAAAACCGGAATACCTCTTTACAAACAGTTGTTATTGCAGTGTTGTAATTGTAAATGCAGATGGATAATATATCTCACCATCAATCAACACAGCTGGGTTGTTTTTCAACCCAACCACCAAGTTGAGCCTGATGGTCGATTTATTTGTGTTATTTTCATGGAGTTTGGTATTCTGAGTACCCAGTTTCCAAGGTTATTGATGTTGGTAACAGAGTTATTAGCTGTTGGGTTGTTATTTCTCTACAGTTTTGTTGGTTTATTGTGGAGTACCCAACAAATTGGGTAGACGTTTGGGCATTTGAAACCAAGCACCACCAGATTGATGCCACAACTGCTGAAGCGAAGAGACGTACAAAGCAAGGCTTGTTACATTCCCACTATATTTTTATATAGACCCTTATTTTGTTGTTAAGATGTAAGTTTGTGAAGCACTGTTGTGTACTAGCTTCTGCCTTCAGGAATGGATTGGTAGGTGAGAAAACCAACGCTTAAGTTCATTCTCCATCAGTTAAATGGAAAGGCGTTTGTTGAGGGGCGGCAGTAGCTCAGAAGGTTGAGCAGTCGTCCAATAACTGGAAGGTTGGTGGTTCGATTCCCCCTATCCTGGGTCAGTCCGTTGTGTCCTTGGGTAAGATACTTAACCTGTCTTGCTCCCAGTGTTTGTCCTCAACTGGTGTATGATTGTGAGTGTTGTGTGGTGGTGGTCGGAGAGGCCGTAGGGGCAAAATGGCAGCCACGTTTCCGTCAGTCTGTCCCAGGACAGCTGTGACTACTGAGGTAGTTTACCACCACCAGGGTGTGACTGTGTGAGCGAATGAATGATGTCTCCAGAGTAAAGCATTTTGAGGGTCTCTGATAAAGAGACCCTGTAGAATACGACCCAATTGTTGGGTTAAGTGAACCAACCCAATGAGTTGGGTAAAATTAACCCAGCATGTGTTCTGTCCAATATTCAACCAGTGCTGGGTTGGGAAACTACCCAAACTAGGTTGTTTTTAAGAGTGAATATGTCTTCAAATCAAAAATATAAAGATGTTGTCTCAGATAGACGGTGCAGGATGATGTATGGAAGCCTAAAGGGTCACATCACCTGTGCAGACGTTCTGATGTCTCCTGTCAATACTCTGCACACATCCATACACTGACTGACAGATATATTCAGATCAACGCTGTGCCGATATTCTCCCTGCACTGTAGATCAAGAGGCGAGTGAGGGTCTTCAAGAGCTCTTCATCATGTAGACAGTGATCGAAGCGTCATTTATAGACCTCAGCATGTCATCCCTTAAGTTGGAGCATCACTCAAAGATTGTAAACCTGACTGAAGCAGTGAAGTACAAAAAAACGACTCTTATGGTTTCAGGCACATAAAATGTTCACAGGCTACTTCTGCTCTGATTTGTGCCGATCAGAGCTGTAATTTAGGTCTGGTTATGATCCTAAAGAAGAGGGATTAAGGTCTGGATGATCATCTCCAGATGTTCCTCTCAGCTCCTGGAGAAGATCCCAGCTTCATCCTGAGTCAGAGGATGATTTCAAACCTGCGAGCACGAAGAAAAAATGATGTTTAAGTGGATGACATTTGCTCTGATAAGTAAGCGATGTGCATGAGGGGTTTTAATTTTCAAGATCTCCTCTTAGACGTTTTTAATGAGGACATACGACACATGGAAGCACTTTTACCGCTGGTGATCTTAGCTCGCTGCTAAGCTTCCTCTTTATTTTCCTCGTAAACACGCACACATGCACCACATACGCACATGAGTTTCTATCCCTCCTCTTCAAGATGTCCCTACCCTGCTGTCTTTCTTTACCACTTTTTCCTTTCTTTCCACATTCTTCCCTCTCTTTTCACTCAAACATCCAACCACTTTCTCTCCCACAGCTTCGTTTTTTTCCCTCCTTCATTTTAGAGGATGTCTGTAAGTGTAAATACCTGTGGCAGACCTGGTCATGTTTTATGTGCGTTTTAATCAACCTGGCTGGTGTTTTAGGGCTGTTTGTGCTCTTATGTTGTAGTTTTGTTGGTGCTTTTACACGGCAGTGAGACTAAAATGGTCTGTGAACAGTTTTATGCTCATGCTCTCTCTGTCCCTCTGCTTTACTATCACACACATCCTCCTTCTACTCCTTTCTGCATCTGTGATTGTTTGAGAAAAATAAGACAACTCTGCGCCCGTTCAAATACTTCTAATCTGAATACAACTCGTACATGTACGTCATGATCAGATTATTTGATTTTGCGCCCATATAAACAGTGGATTCAGATTATCCGATCCCTTAAATTTTTAATCGGATCAAGAAACTTTGCACATGTAAACAAGGCTGATGCCGCTCTCAGATCACTGACCAATCAGATTTAAGAAGGGGCAGGACTTTTGAATACATCACATCAACAATTATAGTGGAGGTTCCTTCATGTCAAGGTCCAATCTCCAGGTCTAGAGCTGCTACTAAAACTGTGACATGATTTCTATGAGTCTCTATTCAAGACTGATCAATCAGCTGATTAACTGAGATAATTAATGGCTTTTTTTTTTTTTTTTTTTTTTTGGGGGGGGGGGGGGGTATTTTGCCTTTATTATGAAGAACAGATGAATAGTACGGAAGAGGACTAGGGCCACAAGAAGAAAAAAATAATAATTGCAAGAGGGAGTAAAGAAATTCATTTTTTTTTCAATTTTATTTAAAGTCAAAATTTTGAAATAAATTAGAGATTTAAAAAAAGGGAAAATTTTGACTTTATTCACATCGACTTTAATCTCAAAATTTATTTATTTTTTATATATGGAAATTTCGACATTATTCATTACATTTCAACATTTTGTTATTGTTTTGAGATTTCAAATTTTAATCGTAAAAATTCTGATTTTATTGACATAATTTCGATCTTTTATCGCAAAATTTCAACTTTAATCTCAAAATTTTATTTTTTTTTATCTGGAAATTTTGACATTCGTTGCAACATTTTGACATTTTGTAATCTCAAAATTTCGATTTGAATCTCCCTCCTGTAATTATTTATTTTCTCTTCATATGGCCCTAATCCTCTTCTGTAGGAGAGAGATAGGACATGTGAAGAGCAGTGAGTTGAGATGAACAGACAGGGATTGAACCCACTGAAAAACTGATATCCTTAAACCCCTGGTCTGCTGTATTGACTGAGAAGCCCTTTAAAATCAGCCTTTTTTATGCACAAGCTGCTATATTAGAGTATAAAACACAGAGATGTGCTTTGTAACGGCAAATAAAGGAGACTGGTGCTCAGATTTTAAAGCCAAAACCACTTTTTTAGTCCTTTTTTGATTAAAAATTACAGAAATATAGTTGAATTATCAAAAAAGTTGCTTGATTGGGTGCATTTTTTATGTGCACTTACATTTAATCAAGTGAAAAAATAATCAAAACAGTCAATAGACAGCAGGATTTTAAACTGCAAATTAAAAGCTTAAAGTGTGTTCGTTCTCCTGATATATTAGAGTTTTGTTGGATTTTAGTTCAGAGTAAAGTCGGCTGAAACTGAAGTCTGGGAGGAGTGTCAATAACAGAACGAGCAGCAACGTGATCCCGAGTGAAATCACCGTAACACGACTCCTCCTGTTGAGACCGAAGCTGAGAAACAGAGAAAACTGTTCGCTGTCATCCACAGTGACCCGCTTGCGCACGTCAGGGGGGGGTTCAGAGGGGCGGGTGTCTGTACGAGAGTGACAGCAAGAACGCACCCATGTGGAACCAACAAGTCCTCCTTCACCTGAGGGTCACCTCCCTGTCACACATCCTCCTCTACGCTCTGACAGGCTCTGGAAATCCGCCCTGAGCTTTTAACACTTTATCTTTGCATTCAGGTCAACAGGATCGTATTCCTACAAACACGTGCATGTAAATATCCTCCCGGTTCATTAATTAAATCTGAGCAAACCTCCTCGTCTTATTACTTCATCGACTCTCCCTCTCTGCGCAACCTTTGCATCCTTGTATATCACCCGGAATCAATATGGAAATCTGAAAATTGTTAATCATTTTGCTGTAATCTTATAAATCAATCGATTTTTGGGGTTTCATCTCGTGCGAGTTAAGGGCCTAACCCTCATCTTAAAAGGATATCTTACTGCTGATGTAGGGTTTTGATTTCAGGGTACACGAAGTTCCCTCTGAGTTTTCCAGCCTCTGCACAGACATCATCATATCCCGCAGCAATCTTTTTTTCAGCGCTACTGGCTCTAATGGAGAGAGATGAGAGTTAGAAATGGAGTCATGGCTGTCAGATTTTGACCGTCTGCATGCTGGAGACACTTCACAGACGCAGCAGTGCCCTCCTGTACTTGTTGCATTGTCTGAGACGAACTTGGACCTCATTCATGAGTGTTTTCCATCCCTTTTATCTGATCCAGTCACTCAGTCCTCTCCACCCAGTCTGTCTCTCCACTCTTTTTCTGGGTTGCATGTGTGCGAGCGAGCCCATTACGGGAACGGAGAAGCCGCAAATCGTGCGTTGAGAATGAGGCAAAGACTTAATGAATTTCTGCGTTGTTGCTTTTTATGGCTTAAAGGGGACTTCAGTTTCATACGAGACAGAAAAAAACCTCAGCCGTCTGCGGCACAATGGCTCTGATTGTCACGGATTTGTCACCGTGACGTGGTCCGATGAGTAAACCATGAGTTAAATCTTGTTTTGCATCGGTTAGAGACAACGCTGGACTGCATCCCTGTTAACAAGCTATTGTTTTAAACCCAAAGACTTGAATCATTGTTATCGCAGCTTCCTCTGTCTGTGTTTGATTTACATATAGATCATTTCTGAAAATCTATTTGAGAGAAAAAAAAAAAGCCAGTCCACGCAGGTCCCCGTCAATATTTTGAAAGCTTGTCAATGGGTTGACCTACAGTCTTGACACCAAAGGCCACGCCTGATTGGATTTCTATTAAACTACAGTGTAAATCCTATAAGGGCGGCAACACAAGGGCAAGAATGAATCCTCTAAAAAAACAAGGATTTGAAGTGAGGAAAGTCAAGAATCCAACTTAGATTAAAATCTCACAGTGGAGGAAATAGAGCAGCGAAGGGTCATGTCTGGGGGTCAAACAGGCATCAGCGTCCTCTTTTGAGGAACAAAGTCAATGCAGAAGTGTTAAAAACTGCAGTTCCTTAAGTGTCCACTAGAGGGTGGCTGCAAAAGCACAGGAAACCACATACACACCCATTCTGAAAAGTCCATCTTTACAGCGAAAATAAACATGATTACAGCTTTGTGCAAAAATGATTTTGGACTAGATTTTTCATTTCTCTGTCGGTACAGTTACAGTGGATAGATTTTTGTTTGGCTTATTAGTTTTGAAGATTTTAAGGTTAAAGGTCCTTACACACTGGGAGTGTTTTTTTTTTTCGTGAATTTATTTCGGATGTCAATTTTTTTTCCAAATCCGTATCCTGTCAAAACAAGCGTTCACATCAGCGACGTTTTCCCGTCCTTCGATATTGCGGCATTTTTTTTGTATCACGGTCGAATTTTCTAAAGTTTTGCATACTGTGTGTCCACTTCTGACCAATCAGATTTCATGTTATTGCGACGTCTGATTCACCGGTATATCCAACATGGCCGACCGGCTGATTGTTTACGTGTTGGAGAACAGAGTAATTTTTGATAAAAGACACAAATATTACAAAGATAACAACCTGAAGGACAACTTGTGGAGAGTCATAGCGTCAGATTTCTCAAATGACGATGGTTTGTGAGCTTTAACAGTTTGATAAATGTCTTTGTTTTAACTTTCATCTGTGCTAAGTAACTTTAGCTCGTAAGCTAACCTGTTCAAATACAACATACCATATGTATTTTCACTGTCTCAAACTCAATCACAGCGTTGCTGTCACAGCACCATTAGGTCTCAGTTGTTACCTTACATTTATGGATTATAGTTTAATGTTCTTATCTGGTACTGGCCCCAACTCAGTACATGCTATCATGACAGACAGACATCTCAACACTAGAGTCTAATCAGAACTGAAGAACAATCAGTCTGCTGTTGTGTCTGTCTTCTCACTTTCACCCAGGACGCGTCTTTTCCACCTGGAAAATCGCAAAATCACATCGCACTTGATGTGTATAGTCAGGCGCGTCAAAATTCGCCTCCGAATATTTCGTAATTTCGTGTTGTATATTTGCGTCGTTCCCAGTGTGTAAGGACCTTAAGAGTTCGGCATTAAGAATGTGAAAAAGGAGCCTGAAGGTCATCTTAACTTCACTTATGTGCTGAAATTAAGATTGAGTCAGAATTTCCAATGCGTCAGCCACCACTGATCTACTTCAAATCTCAACTTTATCCATGTTTTATACTCTCTAAGTGTACGTTAGTGTTTCTACTTCTTATTCAAATGAATTAAAATGGTGGCTCTATGTGAGATTTTCATCTTTGTTGATATTCAGCTGTACATCACTCATGGTTTCTCGTTAGTGTTAAGCAACAACAGCGATTTGTTTCCACTCGAAGTCATTGAAAAGCTGTTTTTCTCCGCGTGTGTGTTACTCCAGTTTTCAAACCCTCCACGTGTCGGTCGATTTTTCATGACAGCTGAAATAGTAAAGTGGACTCTGGTGCCCATGCAGCAACATTTTCCAGAGCGAGGGTGATTTTCCCCACACCTCGTTCTGCATGGAGCGCCGAGGTCATTAGTGATCGAAGCCGAATGTGAATGATTGGTGTAACAGACCGGGAAGTGGTCTCTGTAGTTTTGAGCCGTACTGTGATTTAATGGCGGAGGCTGGTTTTGGCTGGACTCAGGTCTAGGTGGTGTTATAAAGATTGTAAAGGCCCACACTTATTCCACTTATATATGGCTGAGATTGAGATAATTTGCGGTGCGTTTAGGCGGGAGTGTAAAAGCGAAGTCATGTTTGACTGTAGTTAGCTATGAGAGAAATTCAGTGTGGAGAAATAACGGTTTGTTCCAGGAGAAAAACAACATGAACTTCTGAAGCTATTACTGCTCCTGCAAGATTTCACACTTTAAAAACCCAAACCATCATTACAAGCATCCACATAGACACTCGAACTGCAGGGATATCCTGCTGCAAACCACCTCAGATAATGCAAAAACACTTCACAGCCTCCCACAGATGAAAAACCCTCATCCAGGAAAAATTATATGATGACAATTTATTGTTTTATTTTAATTTATTCATTCATTCCCACCTAAACCTGTAGGTGAGAATGGTCTTAAAATCCGTCATGTGGTTTCCCCAGAGGGATCGAACCGTCCGCCGTCTCTCTGCGTGTCCCTGGAGTGTTGGAAATTCACCTCCAGGCTGTCACCTACAAGTGCTTTTTGTGTTTATTGTGTGGAGAAATATTGTTTGTCATTTTTCTCAGTCTCAGCTCATCCTGAGGCTCCTTTCTTTTTGTTCATACATAATAATGTATGTGTGTGTTTGTGTGTGCGTTTCTTCTAACTCTTCATCATGACTCTTTGAGGCCTCACGGCTTCGCTCAGGTTTCTGTTCAGACAAAGAACACGGAGACAGCGCGGTGGCGCACACAGACAATAAACGCTCTCTGTACCTGTGGAGACATCAACATGTTAACACTCTGTGGGTTAAACTGGAAACAAGAGCTTTGAATTCTGGGAAATTTATTTGCTTTGTAGTTTAATTTCAGTTCAATCCAAAACTTAGCCTAGAATAAAGTCTGGAAACATCATTCAGTCTACTTTACCTAGGGTAACTATATGTCCTCTTTTACCCGAACATGTTCTCTTATTTGGGGGCTGTCCGGTTTTGTCCAGAGAAGTTTATAAAATCCTTCAAATGTCTGGGATTTTGTACGAGAGTTTCAAGTTTGTGTCACGTGGACTTACTGTGTTAGAAGCGCATAAAAGTTACTCGATCCGTACCGAAAAACTCTCAAAATTAACTTTGTGTGACTCTGTGACTCCGCCCCCGCGTAGTCGTGTCCGCTTTTTGGAAGTCAGAATATGGTCAACCTACATTCAGTCTACTTTACCTCAAACCTTCAAATATGTTCATGCATATGCATAAGATTATTTTTGCATGTTTTATACTTGCGGTGCATAGTGTGTTAGCAGAACAGACCTGTTGAAATACAATAAACAAACAATTAAAATCAGATCATATTGCAGCTGTTGGAAGGAGAAGATACAATAAGTTTTAATTATAAGGTTAAAATATGAATATTGCGGCTTTCCTAGTACCTTTAAAAAAAAGTCCCTTGAGGCAGAGGTTAGGTCCTGTATATTTGTGTGACACGCTGCTGCTGTTCCAAAGAAGTGTTCACAGTTCATCGAAGTTTTCAGAGATTTAATAACAGAAAAAACGCTTCCACAAAACAAAGAACATATAACGCGGTCAACAAAAATTACAGCTACCTAGGCTCACCTCTCCACCCTAGTGCAGGTGAGACCGCCCCTTAAATAACTTACCGGATTTCAAACTCAGTGCCCATGTGACCCAAACCCAGCGAAACCAATAGCAACCAGACACAAGTAACTGAACACAGGATAACCGATAAGCAAAGCAACATTATGGCTCCTACAATGACAAATGGAGAATCATATAAATGCATAACAGAAGCTTCAGGTCCTCCAAGTGTATCGTTGTTTAATTGAGGGGTGAGCAAGGGAGCCATGTGTGTCCATAAGACATCAGGATAAAGATATGATCATAATATTGAAGGAAAGCTTTTCACATGGCGGAGTTAAACAAAGAAAAAGACTAGAAACACAAGGAATCAACTACTACAAAATAAAACAGGAAACACAGATGACAGGAGGAAAAACAGGGTCAAACACAAGCTGAGAAACCACACGACTGGACTAGAGGGGGACAGGAACACCAGGGAAAATACACAAAGAAAACACATTCAAATGACAAAACCAGAGAAAAACTAAATTAACAGAACATATCATGATAAAGTTTGATCAGTCAAAGTCAGGAACACGACATACTCATGCAGCTCTTCATGCCCCTCAGGCTCCTGGGAAACATTTCCAGTTTGTTTTTTACGCTCCTTCTCAGTTTTACAGCCTTTATTTCCTCAAGTCTCATTAACCAAATCCCACTTATTAAAGAGTTCGTAGATGCAAAAGTCTAATTTTTCACCCTGGAAAGTTATTGGATGTTAACCCATATGTATGTCGACACCATAATTACATTTTTAGGACCTTGTTGTCTGCAGTCGTGTCAGCAAATGCCTTTTGTTAGCGCTCTGCGGGGGATGGAGCTGCAGCAGGAGAGCCCATTATCTCGGGGGCAGGAAGTTTCTCACCCACATCCGTCTTTTCCCAGTTGGTATTTTTTTATCTTCTGATCCAGACGGCCTCAAACATATCAGCGGTGTAATCAGCGCTGCAGCACTTCAGGGGAAGAAACGTGCTACATCCTCTGAACAGCAGGGAGTTCCAGGCGAATGTGGCGAGTCAGCAAACGGGCCAAATAGAAAACACGCTCAGGCCTTCATCGAGTAATAAAATTTAAGGCCTTTTTAATGAAATGAAGCATAACAGATCAGATTTACATATACGTCAAAAGTGACATGAGATTAATCATCCCTGACGTGTTTACAGTTTCTCCTGACACCACCTGCAGGATTAGATTTATGACAGAAAATGGCTTTCATTGATCATCTGATAATGAGGCGGATCGTGATGAGGGAGATGAGGACCTGGAGAGAGGAGAGAGCGGGGAGGGAAAAAGCCACAATTCATTAAGTATTCATGAATATGGAAAGACACCTAATGGTCAATTACTGAAGTGACACTCATGCGAAGAAGTGAAGGACAAATCCAAGAGTGAAGATGAGAGAGAGGAGAGGCAGGCGTTCGGTTTCTCATCAGTATACCGACACCTCTGCTCTGCATGCGTGTTTGTTTGTGCACACATGCTGCATGAAGGTGAAGGTGCACACACAGGGAGCGATCTGTCATACAGAGACAGACGTATTGATCAGACACAGATTAACAGGGGACAGACAGATAGTGATAGGCCATTTGCAGCTCTTGTAGTTGGATAATAATCAATTAATGGTCTTTTATTAAGGGGATCATTCAGTGAGGGTGGACTGAAACCTCCTTTCTTTGAGTTAAAGGGGGAACTTTAGACTTTCTCTGAGCTCGGTCCTCCTTCACACTCATGTTCATGGACCCTGCATGGAAAAAATACACTTTTTTAGAATTACATGTGTTATAATTTAAGTTAGGGTGATCATACGTCCTCTTTTATCTGGACATATCCTCTTTTTGGGGGGTTGTCCGTCCTGTCCAGGGGGACTTTATAAAATCCTTTTTGAGTTTTGAGTTTGTGTAGGCTGAACTAAGTTAGAAGTGAGTTAGAAGTGGGTAGAAAAACACTCAGCAATACTCGAATCTGAGGGAAGAAGGAAATGTAGGAAGCAGTGTGCAGGTAGGACATGCAGAAGGAGGTTGAAACGTTTGCATGAACATCTGAGTCGAGCTATAAGGTCTGACCTCGATCAGGTGATCAAAATGGACTACTTTACTCATCACGTGTGACATGCACCGGACAAAAAAAACAAATAACCCACAGAAGTATGTCCACGTTACCGTAAGCAATATTTTTTTCATAGGATGTTAGAGGAAGGTCCCGCCTCCTTTGCCTCTGATTGGCTAGAAAAGCTGGAAACGTCATCACACGCTTAAGCCGAGCGCGGGCTGTTGGTTCTGTACATGGAACAGAACATTACAGAACATTATTGCAATTCCGAATCTCCTAACCCGACAGACGATGACGTTTCACAGCCAGAAGGAATAACCAATCAAAGCCCAGCACTTCTAGCCAATCAGATGCAAAGGAAGTAGAACCTTCCCCTACCATCCTACGAAAAAAAAATGCTTACTGTAAGTCAGCATTACCGTAAAGGACAGCGCTGCAGGTGTAGACATTCAAAGTAAACAGTCTGTGATCCTGACAGATTAGCCGTCCACTTCTACGCCTCTTATGTTAGCTTGTGGCACCTTAGTAGTTAGCAGGACTGCTGTGTTCCAGTTACCCCGGAAGTTGGATGTCAGAGCTGGGAATGATGCAAATTGGAGCCAAGTTGGCGGCATTCGTTGTCGTCAAGTAGGGGTTGGTGAGGATCGACCAACTGTCCGAGTCGGAAGTCTGACTTCAGGGAGGGCGTTCCAGATGAATTTCCGACTCTGAGCTTGGAAATTCTGACTTCTGAGTACAACTGGAACGCAGCACGCGAGCTGTTTACATGTTTTTGCAGATCTCTTTTTGCTCATCGACTCCTGACATTTTCCAGGAATACAGCTTACAGTCATATCACACGGCGTGCAATATCATCCGCTTCCTTATCGTCCAGGGTCAATTTACAGTGAATCACTTAAACTCACATGACCGTAGAATGTAAACATGCAAAAAGTCCTGACATACTTGTGTCACATTCTCGATATAAAGTCCTCTTTTCTGTTTGTTGAAAGGTTTTAAAAACCAGCTCAAATGAACTAGCAAACAATGCTCATACTCCCTGTTACTTTCTGAACCTCAAGTTTTGCTTCTTAATAATCTCAACCACAGAAAAACCTCTCCGGACTAACTAAAAATACATTTCCGTTGATTGTTGATTCTGCTGTTCTGGTTTTCTTCTTGTCGTCGATGTTTTTAATCTGAAACAAATAAAGCACACAGACGCATTACTTGTTGGTTTTACTGGAAACCACATGAAAGCGCCGAGTTTCCAGAAATACAGCGACATGAATAACAGACAGAACATTTTCTCTGTTTTATACTTCACTGATTCTCTGTTTCTCATGCAAAATAATTAGTCTCTGAATCCAAACTCCACCGCAAATATATCTGTCAGAGTCAGATAGAAAACGGACAAACAACGGAACTGTTGAATACCACGTTACCCACAATGCCTGTGAGCCAGACAGAGCGGGAACGAGAGCAGTGTGTGAGAAGAGTTTATAGGACGGCAGGTGCGCACAATTTAGGAATTAAATCAAAAACTAATGAGAGGAATTATAGGTTTAGATTAAAACATATTTAACTGTAATTTCAAATCAGTGTCTAAAAACCAGCCTGTAATTAACACGACTTTTTAACGGCGTATTCCTCGCTCCGTCTCTCCACATTGCAGCCACATGTTTTAAACACCAGCTGAGCTCAGCAGCTCGCCGTCCCGGCTTCACTTCCTGCAGATCCTGGTCTGTTTTGGTCTGTTTGGGGTTGTTGTAGGGACCCGTAGGGGAGCCGAGGAGGGCGGTGAGGGGGTGGGGGTACGCTTCGCTCCTGCAGGAAGAAGGAGAAGAAGAAGAAGGTGGGGGTCTGTAGGAAATTGCTGTTAAGTGGTTCTTGAGGCTTTGTGGTTTTGACTCATCAGACGAACAGTGAGTGGATGGTCCTGGAGCGCAGGCCTTACCCTGAGACTGGGATCGGCCGTCTGGGACCCGGGTGCATAAACACACTCAAGTGTAAAAGGCTTTAATCACCGATTTTGAGGTCGTTTTAATGTTTCTGCTCTCTAATGTGTTTACATTATGTCTTGATGTCCTTTAAACTGCAGTCACTCATGTGGGACTGTAGTCCAGGATCTGATCTGATTGAAGATGGGAGGTTTTTGTCCTAAATCCTGACCTTTCTCTTCCTGTCTTTTAGGTCCCTGATGCCCCGGACCCTCGATGGTCAGATCACCATGGAGAAGACCCCCAGCTACTTCATCACAAAGGAGGCTCCAGGCCGCGTCTGCTCCATGAACTGCCACACCAAGCTCATCGTGGTGGTCAGGGATCCGGTCACCCGAGCTGTATCCGACTACACCCAGACCCTGTCCAAAAACCCGGGTCTTCCATCCTTCCAGAGCCTGGCTTTGAAAAACTCCTCCACGGGTCTGATCGACACCACATGGAGCGCCGTTCGCATCGGCCTCTATGCCAAACACCTGGAGAACTGGCTCCAGCACTTCCCCCTGTCTCATTTTCTGTTCGTCAGCGGTGAGCGGCTGGTGTCCGATCCGGCCGGGGAGATGGGCCGGGTTCAGGATTTCCTGGGCCTGAAGAGGGTCGTCTCGGACAAACACTTCTACTTCAACCAGACCAAAGGCTTCCCCTGCTTGAAGAAGCCCGAGGGGAGCAGCAGACCTCGCTGCCTTGGAAAGTCTAAAGGTAGACCCCATCCTGAGATCCCCTCTGAGGTCCTGCAGAGACTCAGAGACTTTTACAAACCCTTTAACCACCGGTTTTACCAGATGAGCGGACAGGACTTTGGCTGGGACTGACAGAAGTTAGCCCAAGGATCCAACTCTCTGGAGGTTTTGACTTTGTGATCCATGAGGCTGACTTTCTCAGGGACAGGATAGAGGAACACTAAGTCCAGGATCTTGATTCTGGCTTCTCTGACAAGCAGCACCTGAACTGTCTCTGCTGAACCCCCAATTTCCACCGCATCTGGAACGGCTACAAAAAGGCCGTATTCACTGATCGTAGCTGATCGTAACCATTCAAGTTAATTTGTCAATTTCCACCTGCATCTTTGTGGATCGGCGGACTCCACAGCTGATCGCTAGAGTTCTATTTCTTCCGGACGCTGGAGCATGCTGGATAAATTCAGCACAGATTAACCCGTGCTGGAAAGGAAGTCGGCAGAGACACAAAATAAAACATCCGGCTTCTTTTCGCATCGTGTAAACGGGCGGAGATGAACAACTGAAAAGTTTATAGACAGCATTTCATCCTGATGACACCATGGATGAGGAGATGCTGATTTTAGAAGTCTAGAAGTAGATTTCCTCCTCTGGAAGGACACAATCTTCCGCTTATATGGTTAGCCTATGTGGCTAAAGACAACTTGTTATCGCACGACTGCACGTGAATCCGCGGGTCACAAACGGACCCGGTAGGAATTGGCGTACGGTGAAAATCGTTGCCGTTCCGGATGCGGTGGTAACTCTGAGGTAACCTGGACACAGTGCTGCCAATATAAACTCACCTCATCATTAAACCACGGAGCTCTTCTTCTGCTCGTGGTTCGATGTTTGAATTTAGCTGCGAACAAAAACCAAAGGGAGCAAAAACTTTTTTTAAAATAGAAATAAGCTGGTATTTATAGTCACTGTTGATTGAAATACAACAGTTTCTGATTTCTTTTATTAAAGAAATATATTTATTACCTGACACGGTAAAATGTAAAACTGCTTTTTACTAGACAGGACATTAAAAAAGTGTCATACTCCAAGATAAACCACTATTTCTTTATCATTTTTAGCAGTGTTACTTCGTCTGCATCTGTATCTCCATTTTAGAGGTTGTTTTTATATTTTCAGTCAAGACCTTTAATAAACCAAAGATACCTCATCTGTAGATACCAAACGACCGGAAACACAAACACACATCCCCTCTGTAGGTCCATGTAGATATTAACTAACTGTATTCTCGTGAAACTCTGTGTATTAACTGTACAAAAGCGCAGAGGTGTGTCTGACTCTCACTTTTGGTGTTGTAGAGTAAAGGTGTATCTGAAATGATGAGCTGCTGTGTCTGACTTTTGATTTCCCAACATGTTCATAATGACGTGGAAATGTGCGCACACACCACTATCTCAAATTTAATAACAGATATCAGTGTGTTTATCTTTTGTCCATTCAGCGGGATTATTAACATGAAAAAGTGGTCATGAATACCATAACAATAACAATATTTAATTTTTTTTTGCAAGTTATTCTCTTCTGTTTCAGGCCCAGGCTTCATATTAAAACACTGATATTTTACCACTTTTACATTGAAGGTATAACCAATGAGCAACCTCCTGTGTTCAAACAGAAGTTAATGCAGAGGTGCAAAGGCCTGCAGTTCCTCATGTGTCCACTTGAGGCTCGTTGTTAAAGTAGAGGGATTCCCATTAGGGCCAATATTAAAATTCCTATTTTAGCTGATTCTATAAAGTGTTTGGGGGTTTCTGTTGCTCAGTTCTTTTTTTTTCAAATTAGATGTTTTTTTGTTTTTTTTAAATAAGTAGATGCATTAATTTTCATGAATTGCAAACACATCTGGTTGCAGACCCAACGGAGCCCCGGCAGCGTGTGCACAGTTTCTGTTATTTGGAGTTATGGCAATTTCACCACAGACTTTGACTGTAAAGAGAATTTTATAGTTTCATATTTATTTTGCAAAGTTAGGAGAAAGTTTGGATCCAGAGTGTAAGTGCATGCTCAGAAGTTTACCTCTGGAACATTGCAAGATTGCAAATGTTTAAAACCAATTTGATTATTTTAAATTGGGAATTTTTTGATTACACGTCTTTCAAGATGGCTTGAATTAAGTTTCTTCAGAGGGGTCTAGCTGCAGACCTTCACTGTGAGGACCCACTTCCACTGACAGGACCCGAGGTGACCTTTTTTCTCACGCGCTCCAGTTAGTTTGAAGTGGTCATCCCGTTTTGTATTTTCTCTTTGTTGAACTCATGAATACACAAAAAATCATATTAACATTACAAACATAAAATAGATTCTCAAGAAATAAAAAATATTCACATAAGACAAAAAATTTGTACTTCCCGGTCTTATTGCTTTTAATTTGATAGGGTTAGAGTCAACTTCTGATGTAAAAAAACGTACTCCCAGTACATTTGCTTTTATTTTGAAAGGCTTCAAATCAACTTTCAGTCCTCACAGTGGAGGTCTGCAGTCAAACTGTCTTGAGTCTCTTCAAAAAAAATTATGTAAATTGTTGCAGAAATCCAAAGTTTCTCCAGTTGACCTGCACACTTCCTGGATTATAGATCAGGTTATAAAAAATAATTTATATTTGGGATAGCGCCAATCTTAAACACTTAGAGATAATCAAAATAGATGCGTTTTAATGTCCTCCTGATTAGTCATTAGTATCTATCTATCTATCTATCTATCTATCTATCTATCTATCTATCTATCTATCTATCTATCTATCTATCTATCTATCTATCTATCTATCTATCTATCTATCTATCTATCTATCTATCTATCTATCTATCTATCTATCTATCTATCTATCTATCTATCTATCTGACGGCTGTGAAGGAACAAACTTCACCTTTTCTGGTCGGACCTGGTACTACTTGGTTTAAATGTTCTCACTCTTAAGTCTCTCAGTGCATTTCTGTTTGTGATTTAATTGTTGTGTCTGTGTGTTAAAGGGAGGGATGTTAACCTGAACTAACCTGAGGGTGGAGTCGCTGACGGAGGTTAAAAGTGGCTCCTGCTCTTAGTCAGCATTTCCACTGAAGCAGTCAGGAGTCGTAGCTCCTCTTCAGGAGCCGGTGGGTGACGTCACCGAGGCGACGCTAATGTCTTACACAGTCTATAAGTGTGATTGCGTTTAACTCCATGACAACCATACTGTTACTGCCACAACAGCTTTATTCCTGCTCGCCAAACTCCCGCCATATCTCCTTGTCGCTGCCGTAAAATCTCCCTCTCTGACACTACTTTTCCCTCTCGCCACTTCCACTTAGAGCGACCACATGTAGAGTCTGAGGACCTTCGTGCGCTGCGGCCTTTAATTATGAGAGATGTCAGCCCTCGTCTCAGAATAAGCAGCAGAGCTTCTTTCTCTCTTTCATGCTCGCTGTCCTTCGAAGAAGAAAGGGAAAAACATCTGGAGCCAAAAGAGGAGCCCGCTGAAGATCTAAAAAACTCCAAAAAGAAAAAGTCTGCAGATGTTTTTTGTTTGTTTGTATGATGCAGGGCCAGAAATTGATTAAAACTGTGACTGACAGAGTGGACTTACATGCTCATAACAGACCGTTTCTGATTTCTGTCAGTTTTTCTGTCAGATTTTTCCAGCTCATGTTGCTGAGATTGAAATTTGCTTGGCTCACTTCATCACTGCCAACTTTTACGACTCTATATTAGCAGTCAAAGTGATTGTCGCCTCTCCGCTGTACCAGCCCGGCGCTTGGCATTAAAGATAACTGATTTCCCATACTGCCTTCTGGGAAAGACGTTAGCGTCGGCGTTGGCAGCACCAGCCTCGTCGTGAGGTTTCATTAAATCAGCAGGAGGGTCGGTATAATCCACAGTCGTCAATAAAGACTCGTAATGATGTGAGAAAAATTGAGGAATGATTCAGGATTCATTCCTCCAAAGGAAGAGATGAATTTGTACGTCGCTGCACGATAAAAATGATCGACTGTAGCCGAGTTTAATAAAGCGAAACATCATCCGGGTCTGTGATTGATGCAAACAAGCCCTCGAAAAATTCCCCTCTGGACTGTCTGCATGTGTTGAATCTGCAGAAACCTCCAGCTAATAACACTCATCAGTGTTAAAGTGCATGTAAATACATGGTGTGCTGGAGTGGGAACATTTGGCAGAATGAAGAGGTCGGCTTCTGGACTGAGATGCACCCTTGCTCACCAGGAGAAGAAGCTCCTGCGATGTAATGCTGCGTTCCAGTTGTACTCGGCACTCCTGAAGTCGGATTTCTGACTCGGAAAGTTGGACGATCCTCGCCAACCCCGACTTGACGACGTCATAATCCAAGATGGCAGCGCAGTGCATCAACAGTAAAGAGTAACAGCGAAAGCTCTCGCATTATTTTATTTATTAGCACCGCCCAAGAGTAAAATATTGTGTTGTACGTTGTTTACAACTGGTAAAGCTAACAACAACTAACAACGTCTAATGACAGTGTAGGCGTCCAGGTACACACATAAGGATTTTTAAATCTAAAGAGATTTTTTTATCTGTTACAGACCCCACACATGAAGATAAAAAAAATCAGGCATTGAACAGTTTTGTTCCAAGACAGAAATCTCGCGTGATAAAATGTGCTCTAACAAAAACGAAGAAGAAGCAGAAACACATCAACAACCGGGAAACACAAGAGGCAACATGGAAGAGGACAAACAAGAGGAGGGAATGATGGTGGTTCTGGGAGTATTGTTGACAGAAAAATCACGTACAAAAAAAAATAAGTTTCGGGTAGGCCATGCTTTATTTTTATTCGCTGTATTTGGTTCCTTGTTCCTCAGTCAGCTCGCTTCTTGATTGGCTAGATTCCGTTTCACGTGACACTTCACGAAGTCATGACTCGGGAGTCGTCGGCTTTCCCGAAACACACAAAGATTTTTGGTCGTAAATTTTGAACAAGTTTAATATTAACGATTGTCGGCCCCGAACTGTTTCGGATTCCAATTATTGGGACAAATTCACTCTTAATACACCTCAGACCATATAGGATAATCTTATGGGATAATCTTAGAAAACATAAGATAATCTTCCAATTGTCGTCCTTGGTCAGGAGGGGGAAAATCGGGACAAAAACAGCCTGATTATCTTTATGTGTGTACCCCGCTTTAGTCCAGTTTCAGGTCTCCAAAAACATCTTTTAGTGCATTTCAAGTAAAAATCCACGTCACAAAAATGCTCAAGTTCGGTTCCTCCTGAAGAAAAACCTGCAGAGGTTTTCAGAAGTGATCGACGCTCATGTTCGCCGGCGCCTCACAGTAGTCCGACTGCATGACACGGAGACAACTTCATTTTCTTGAACATTTGTTTCGAATAGAGAATTTTCTGAACCACGATTGTAGAAACAAAAGACAAAGACAATCAGAAGCAGACCCGTAAACTCTGATCCTTCCTCTTCACAGCGACAGTAATTTGTTTAGCTTCATGTAGCATGCAACTTCCAAAGATTTCAGCCCACAATTTAATGCCTGCCATCTTCTCCTATCATTACGGATTTGTTTGCATGAATGAAAATCGCCCAACGTGGATCAGGTTACCGACCGCAGTGACTATTAGAGATTAGGCGTAATGAGGGGTGTATATTTTTGCGGCGGCTCTTATTTGGGAGTAATGGGCACATGGCAGACTAATCAGGAACACTCAGAAGGAGGGATGAGCCGCTCTGACGGTGAAAAGGAGGTTGACTTTAACTCAGCAGATAGAAAGTGGGATTAGAGTGTAATAAAACAGGCGGTTCACACTTTTTCCACCTCTGCGAGATTTTTCCTCCTCTGTGGTTTAATTTAGTAATTTAGTCTGGAGGCATTTTTACACGGTCATGTTAGCTTGGGGAACTTTTTAAGGATATGAGAGTGAGAACTTTTACAATAAGATTTTACAACATTGTTTTTCTGGACATGTTTCAGCTCTTCTATCAGCTTATTGTGCCTTGATTGGAAAAACTCAAAGTTTATAGAGCGGCTTGAAATGAGGCGCTGACGCCAAATGGATGGAAATGAAAACCGCGATCTTAAAATAAAATAAAATAAAATCCTCCAGAAACATCCGTCTCTCTTTGGAGTTTACACGCATCTGTATGGGCGACGTGTTTAAATCTACCGCAATATGCTCTGTGGCGCACTAACCGCTCCGCCTTACACCTGCCTCTTCAAACAAAACGTTCACTCACTGCGTCCAGTCGGTCCTCCTGAATGAAAGCGGCGCACACCTGGCTTTTACGCATGATTTGCTCTGTTTTGCAAAGAGCCCATTCATTATTCTTCGAGAATGAATAACAGCCCTCGAGCTTGGCCTATAAAAGTCACAAATAGGTTCTTGATTTGCTCCACAGAGTTATAAATTCCCCACCCACACACCCACCCACAGGTTCATTAAATGAGTGACTGATTATTAAATTCGCTGTAACTGTTTACACGCAAAGTCTGTCGATGATTTGGGGCAAACACAGTAGCCAGCTCTGCCTTTCCAAGAACGACACCGATTACATTTCCAGGAACGTATGTTTCGAAGCTGCGATATGTCACATGCGTCCTCTCTGACTCACTCCTTCCCGTGGTCGTTCTGTCGGTGGCTTTTTTTTTTCACCACAGCGCCGTCTTCGGCACGCAACGCCAGGCTTCACAAATGGCCTTTTTTCTGAACACACACTTCGCCAAGCTGTAAATCATTTTCACATGTTGGACCCTGCAATAAATTTCACATCAGGGGCTGGTGCTTTAATCTGCCAGAAAGGGGCTTTTTTTGGATTTTAAAGGGCCTGGAGCAGGAGTCTCAAACTGTCTAAGTTTTGCAATATAATGAAATCTGTCCTTCAACTTTTTAAAGAGTAGTAATAATCAGTTAAGTTTGTTTGTAACCACCCACTCGAATAAAATAATCACATTAAGATCAAATTTAAAGCTCCTGTGAGAAACTTTCTTTCGGTGTTGATTTGGCGCCCCCTGTGGACAAAGCGCTAACTCCAATCTTCAGCTTTCACCTTCACTGGACTTTGTATTTATGGGTTTCTTCAAAAACACGTCGAAGCTCGAATAAATTTTCAGGATGTTTTCCGTGTGAATTTGAGAGATTTGACCCGTTAACCTCCAAAAAGACGGATGACTCTGCCTTTAACCCAGAGATGAACCGATGGCTGCAAACAGATGTTTTTACATGTCGGTACACCAACAACACTCTCACAGCCGGTGTAAAACAAACTTCATGATGGACTCTTTCTTTTGGTGTTTGTAAAAACATCTGCTTTCAAAGGCAGAGCTGGAGGATTTTCACAACAACAATCAATCAATCAATCAATCAATAAATCGAGCTTTATTTATAGAGCTAAAGTGTTTTAAGGGAAAAATGATAATAATTAAATATGGGATGCACTAGAGAAACAAATGGATTTATAGGTAGAGATCGATGTACATCAGAAGCAAAAGAGCATCAAAAATAACCAAAAATAAAGTTGAAAGTATTGTAGTAGTCTAGGTCTTATTTTGAGTTCATCAGTATTTGGATGATTTAAGTTTATGTATTGAATTATGTTCGTGTTGATTGTGGTAAAATTCTAGTTATTTACATTCAGTTTGTGTTTGACTCAGTTTCCCTCCTGTTCTCTGTGTTTTATTCTTTAGATCAGTTGTTAGTGTTTTCTGTTTTATTTTGTAGGAGTTGATTCCTTGTGTTTCTTGTCTGGTTTTACTTCCCTAGTTTTCCCTCCTTCGTTAATCACCCATGATGAGTCTCACCTGTGTCTCGTCTGCCTCACCTGTTGCTCGTTTCCCTGTGTGTATATAGTCCTTGTCTTCTCCTCTGTCCTGATTGGTTCATTGTATGTCGATGTGCGTGCGTGTGATTGTGTCTTTAGTTGGATTTAGGATTGTTTTTTTTTTTTTTATGGGGGGGGGGGGGCATTTTAAAGTAAGCTTTTGTTGCTTTTTATTTAGTTATTTTTTAATAAATGTTTTTTGTGTTTTTTTTTGGTCTGCATTTTGGGTCCTTTGGCACATGACAGGATTAACTGAGCAAACATTTAAAATAATGCAAATCATTCTTCAAAAACCTCAAACATGAGCCTCAGACACACAACACTGAAGTACGGCAACATCACTTGGACAAACAAGATACCACAAACCTCTACAGGAGCACAGTTTATTGTCTTCCAGATCAGATTTCAGGAAAAGAAAAAGGAAAAGTAACGAGAACATTTCCTAAAAGCTAGAGTAGTTAAGGTACAAAAATGGTTTTCAAATATAGAAAAGTATAAGTCATGATTTTTCAATAAAGACACTCAAATGTTCTCCAGTACAGTGCTCAGGTACTGTTCTCTGTTTTCCTCTTGTAGTGACGATATATAATATAAATTTCTACAGTGGCCAACAAAAGTAAGACCATTGTTATGGTGCACGTTTTGTCTTTTATGGAAATAAGCTGTAAATTTAAAAACTTCTAACACATGCAAAAGAAATATGACACAAAAACATCCTGTGAAGTGCACACATGTATGCAAAGTAAAAGTATGTATTGGTATACTGTGTAATGCACTGGTTGTTTACTGGGGAATCCTCTCAGATCTCTGCTGGTTTGTTCATTCAGCGCCGTGCACTGTTTCATCTCTGACGTCATTTTCGGTATGTTACATCCTCTCCGTGTAATCCCCTCTCTCTGGAAAGTGTCAGCTTTACCTTCCCAGACTCCCGCTCCATGACAGCACGCAGCTTCTCGTGTTGAACGTTCAACCAGAGCCGAGCGTGACTCTTTGAAGCCTTTGTCTCAAACCTGTGATGGTGTAATACCTCCAGTCACACGGGGACAATGAAGAGTGTGATTCATATCTCATAAAAGGACAACACCTGTGAGCACATACCGTACTGTCTGCACTGCTGGTTTAAGTCAAAAAAGAAAAAATGAGGCCATGGCTACAACTCCCAGATCCCAAGTCTAATTGAATCTGTCATAACTGTACTAATGATGGACACATATAACCCTGGAGTCCCCTGAGGGCCCAGGGTTTGGGTCCTGTGAGTCTGGGAGATAAGGTGCCTTCAGGTGTAGGAAGATGATGTGCACAGACTCGGGTTACAGCAGGATGGCGGGGACAGGTTGATGGAAGCTCTGATTGATCCTGAAAACAGAGAAGCCTGTGGGAAAAATGTAATTGAACCTGCAACAGATGTTAAACAGTCCCGGAAGAATGTGCTTCTGATGACGGCAGACGAGCCTGGAAGTCAAAATTACACTAGATGAACTGAAACGGAGCAGATTTATTAAACAGAATTAGGACGGGGAGTCTTTCAGGGTGTGTGAGACTGAACAGCGTTGAGGGTGAAGCAGTCAAGACTGTCGACCAACTATCTGAACAAAACACAGGCAGCAAAATGAGCTCCACATTTACAAATAACCACAGGTAGCCAGTGCCAAACCCTCCATCCGGCCTTAATAACCTGAATATTCGCCCAACAATTTGCTCACATTTAAAGGTTCCTTACAATGAGACACATGTTTATACTTTGTTCATTCTCCAGTCTGGCTGTTATTCTGCAGCCCCAATTTCTGCTGCACACCGACAAGGCAAACATCGCCTCTGCTGGGAGATCGAAGTTTGCTCCTGTGGTTGATGTAACAGCATGCATGTAAAACCGTACCTGCTATTGAAGAGATTTTGCTACGTCTTATGCTGTTGTATTTTTATTTCGGTGTTGCAGAATCAAGATGTCAAAGGTTAGAGCGAGATGAACCAGCTGCTCTGTTGTTTATGTCTTTATTTGTCCCAGTAATACACCGTCCAGATCAGTTAATGAAGTTAGAAATTGAGAGGCTGCATGTCCAGGAGAGTTTGAGAAGTTTTTTCCATCCTGCTTTCACAGCTAAAATAAACATTAAATAGGATCTTTAAGTTTCAGACTTAATGTGATTGTAGGAAACGAGGTGAGTCCCCTTTAATTATAAGAATATCTAGGCGCATCTGATTATAAGGCGACCCATCAATGAACGCGTCTATTCGCGTCTATTTTCATACATTAAGGCGCATCCGATTATAAAGCGCATTAAGCCAAAAAAACAGTCAGATAAGTCAAACTTCAACTCATTTAATAACTCTTAGGTGCGCCTTTTAGTGCGAAAAATACGGTACTTCTTTTTGCTGTGTGCCAGTGTGCAATTTGTTATATGTTAATAAATAATATGTAGTAAATTTATATCTGTGTTAATTTGTTACTTTTTTTTTATTTAACAAGGCTAATGCCAAGCTAGATGCCTTTACTCACAGGGTAAGGTATATAGTTCCCACTGAGCATTTTATGGTCTAAAAGAGGTCTGATAGACATCTACATGTAGTCTAGACGACTGGTCTAAAATCCGGCTACCACAGGTCTAAAAATGAAAGTTTTTTAACGTCTAATTTTAGACCAAGTTTAGACTAAATCTAAATTTGCAACGTCTAAATTCTGTCTAAAAATATACAGAGTCTAGACGGTTGAAATAAGGTCTAAAAAAAGACAACGTCTAATAGCCGTCTATTACTCAGAGGGTTCATTCATTCAACAGTAGTTTTGGATCTGTATCGGATATTAGCCGATAAGCTCAGCCCAGGAATCGATATCGGATTGGATTGGAAAAAAATGGAATGGTGGATCTCTAAATTAAATTTTTGTGTATTTGACCTTCAGGGCCACCATAATCATGACTCCAGTGGGCACTAATTGAAAACAGCTGTTGAAAGCAAGTTTAATTTCATTTAAATCAAGTATTTTAAACTGGATTATTGCTTTTTTTATTTAATTTATTACATTTAATCTGACAAAACAGTATCAGGAGGTGATGAATGATTGTTATATCCATGTTTGACAGATCACAGGTACTTTCATGTTGCTGAGATCAACCAAACTTCGCCTTAAACTGCCTTCAAGTTTTGTCCAGGGTGGAGGAAAATGCATGAGAAATATGGTCCCTGTGGCTCTGCACTGCCACCTGCTGCTCCATACAGATGTTTGACAGTCTTCTGTGTTGTCCTAGTGATCCTGTCTGTCCACTTTGAAGCTCATGGTGACCACGTCCTCGATCCCAGCCTGCAGCTCATCATGCTCCTGCACGGCGGAGACTCCCTTAGGGGTCCCGGTCAGGATGAGATCCCCTTCCTCTAGTGTGATGAAGTCGCTGATGTAGCTGATGAGGTAGGGGATGGAGAAGATCATCTGGGAGGTGCAGCCGCTCTGCTTCAGCTGGTCGTTGACTTTCAGCCACAGGTTGACGCTCCCTGGGTCAGGGATGCGCTCTTTGGGGATGAACTCACTGACAGGACAGGAGGTGTTGAAGGCTTTGGCCAGGGTCCAGGGCAGACCCTTGGACTTACACTCGTCCTGGACGTCCCGGGCTGTCATGTCTAAGCACAAAGCATATCCTGCTACATGCTCCATAGCGGCAGACTGAGGAATGGCTGTGCCCCCTTTCCCAATGACGACCCCCAGCTCCACCTCATGGTGCAGGTTGTTGGAGTAGAGAGGCACGAGGATCGGGGAGCCCTCTCTCACATAAGCTGAAGGTGGCTTCAGGAACAGGACGGGCCCTGTGGGAATCGCGTTTTTCAGCTCTTTCGCGTGGTCAGCGTAGTTTCTCCCCACGCAGATTATCTTCCTGCCCCATTCCCAAAATCGAGAAATGTTTCGCGTGGTCATTGTGGAAAAATGTGGAAATTTGGGCCGCTTTGAGGCGGTCTGGAGCGGTTTACTCAAACTTTGACCGGCTGTCAATGAAGACGAAACATTAACCTACGGCAACGTTGAAGGGACAAACAGAGCGCCAAACACTCAAACCAATGCTTCTAATGCGATAAATTTCAGGAAATCCTCGACTTAATGACTAAAACTAGATACGATATTTTGTTTTTATTGTATTTTCGTGTTTCTGATGGTAAAAATGCGCATTCGTTGTCATATTTCAGTGATTAGACACATAGATACAAACCCTAGACGTCTTAGGCACGCTGTTAGCCAATGGAGACCGACATTTGCTGTCCCGTAGCGGCCATCTTGCTACGGGACGTTCGTCCACTCAACATTCCAGTCTACGGTGCATGTAGCATTAACAGGGCTCTCAAGTCTCACGCATTCAGCGTGTGACACACGCATTCCCACCCGTTCAAGTGGAGAAAAAACGCGGAAATACCGAGAGCAGGCGGAAGGTGGAACCAAGTTGTCTGTAGTATATGCAGGCTATGAGTTTACCAGAATGGTATACTGGAGTAAGATGGCTGCCTCGAGTCATCTAGCCTTTCTTATATATATCTATGTGACCGACAGTCGATGAAACCTAAATATTAACCTACGGCAACATGGAATGGACAAACAGAGCGCTAATAACTCAAACCAATGCCTTTAAAGCGATAAATTTGAGGAAATAATCGACTTAACGACTAAAATTAGATGCGATATTTTGTTTTCACTACATTTTCGTGTTTCTGATGCGTAAAAATCCGCATTAATTCTCATATTTCAGCGATTAGACACGATCAATCTCTCTGCATTTGTTTGGTCTTGTCTTGGAGGTTAAAGTTGAAGAGGGGGCGGAGGCGGAACCGAAACAGAACCAAACTTTTCTGGTTTATACCACGAATAAGGTGATCAGGCTCTAGCTGCTGTTGTTATGTTATTTAAGTCACTGGTGGGGAGTGCCTGCACTCTGCTAGGAGCTGCTACAGCCCTCAGATTCGGTACGTGGACACGCTTTTCTGTATAATGTGAACACATGGCTGATATATGAGGTTTTGTAGTAAAAACGAACATTTAAAAGTGAATGTTTATTTCTGTGGTGGTTGTCGCTAACATGTAAACAGAGCTGGCTGCTGCAACTGCTTGAAAACGTCTGTACCTTCTTACATAATCTCCTCCATGATCGATACTGAGGCAATGAATGACAAACTAAAGAGTTAATTATTTAAGCTCACCGTGTTTACATTTAGAATACAGGTAAATACGGTGGCCCTGAAGGTCAACTAAACGAACATTTCTGATCATTAAAAGCAAAAATAACTTTTCTGAACGTGGTTTTAATTTTTTTTTCAAACGAAAAATGTGTCACAATATTCAATAATATTCATTTGTTTGTTTTTCTTCACATTATTTGGAAATAAAATCGCATTTTGTTTTGGCATTTAGGGTGGGCAAGAAGTCTGCTGACATGATGTGTATATATCGTCAGTGTCTGATTCTGAATGTAAATAAAAATAGATTACAAAAAAAAGATATTTCCTAATTTGTAGTAAGTAGTTGGAGACAAAATTAATTCAGAAAACAGGAAAATATTGTTTAAATTACAAACACTTCTCACAAAATATGAACATATTCAGCGGTTCCTCATTTTATTTATGAAAAAAAAAACATACTGAATTATTTTTAAGTAAACTGCCATGCTTTTTGTGTTTTATAACACATTTTGTTTTCTGAAATATTTTATTCAATGGCTTTAGGACTCCCTCTGTGAGCCACTAAATATTTTGGCCTTTTATGATTTTTTTTTTACTTTTTTTTTTTTCAATACTTTGGGGTTTCTACACTATTTTTGTTTGGTTATTTTACACTCAGTGAATTGTTTGTGAAGTTGACTTTAGAGCCCGGATAGCTCAGTCAGTAGAGCATCAGACTTTTTTTTGTACATACTAGTATATTACCTCTTTATTTTTTACTGATTTGACCTATTTTATCTGGTTATCTTTTTATTTTTACTTATTTATCTCCTCTTTTTAATGTATTTACTCTACAAAATCAATCCCCCCCCCCCCCCCCCCCGGGAATTATTAAAGTATTTCTGATTCTGATTCATTCTGATTTGCCACCTTATACTTTATTGCGCTACACTCTGAATGACCTATACTTTTTCACTTTAACTCTGATGTCACTTCTCCTTTTACGTCTACTTGCTCATGTATGGTTTCCCGATTCTCAAGTTTTACTCCTATCATACTGCTTTATTTCTCATTCACATGTTTCCTTATTCCTCTGTGTTTATTTGTCCCTCATATTTCTCAACAACCAGTTTCCTCTTTGCTCATGAAACACACCTTATTTTTTTATCCTACTGTGAAATACTTTCAGTTTGCTGGTGCTGCTAGTTGCATAACTTGAACATTTATTCTACCTTTGTCTAAGTTAATACTTGACTGATCAGTGGGTTATCATACTTAGCTAATCTATCATTACTTGGACTGTAGCCATAAAGGAATATGGGAATATTATCTCCCATACAGTCAGACTTTTACACAAACACAAAGAGTTTTTTAAAGATAAACCAAACCTGTCCTTACATAATCCCGTCTGACATTTCTCTCTGTCAAATATTGACTCATATCATCTCTTCAAGCACCCGTAGAAGTCAAGGCCCAGGCAGCTGCTCTCCTTCACAGCGCAGTGAGGAAGTCCTCCCTGGTGGAACAAGCAAACATGAGAGTTGAACTCCTCCCGGCTCTCTCTGACAACTACATGTACCTCCTGATCGATGCAGACACCAAGGAAGCGGCTGTTGTTGACCCCGTCGAACCCGTGAAGGTTCGTGCTTTATATTATTGTACTTTACAATAATCTTTTTTACTTAAAGTTGGAATATTATTATTGATCTTATGACTCTTTAAACATGCCCCTTTTTATGATAAGTGGTATTTTATCTGTAATATTTAATGCATTTCTCTGATTAAATCTTTGTACTGTTACTTTGGAGGGATTTTTGGAGCAGGTTGGATATTTTTTTTTACCCCACATTAAAAATTTATTTGTCATGACTGTGTTATATCATATCAGTTTATTTTACGTATTTTTTATGTTCATCTTTATGTCAAAGATGACACAAGTTTTCTGAGATCTTTGTCTGACAAACAGAAAAAGAAATATGGAAGAAAACAGTGGCTAAAGTAGCTCATACCAAGACTGGGGGATATTCAGTGATGTTTATATTTCTCTGTTTTCACTAAGCAGTTCACTCCTTTTCTCTTCAACAGGTTTTGGAGGCTGTCAGGAAACATGGGGTTAAACTCACTACAGTTTTGACCACCCATCACCACTGGTAAAATACACGCTAATTACCCACCATTCGCACACAGCACCATATGCAGGGAAGCGTTTTCATGCTGATACAGTTACTTGTGAAAAAAACATCAGTATTCACACCATGCTGATAAATTTCTCTCCGTAGGGATCACGCCGGTGGAAATGAGAAGATGTTAAGGCTAATGCCAGGACTGCGAGTCTATGGAGGAGACGACAGAGTTCCTGCTCTGACAAAGAAAGTCACTCACTCCAACAATTTCAAAGTAAGAGAAGCTTAAAGTCTATTTTTCAATCTGAATTCAGCCACAAAGTGACTCATTTACTGTTTCCAGATTGGATCACTTCATGTCAAATGCCTTTTCACACCGTGTCACACTACTGGTCACATCTGCTATTACGTGACGAAAGAAAGCAGCACCGAGCCACCGGCTGTTTTTACAGGTATGTTTATCAGATGAGGCTAAAGAGAAAACACAATCAAGTCTCCTGGATCGGCCCATTTTCTAAACACTGAAGCAGCTTCTGTCATGTTCGACCTATTAACACAAAGACGCTCTTTGGTTTTCATGCAGGAGACACACTGTTTGTGGCTGGTTGTGGTAAATTCTTTGAGGGGACAGCAGAGCAGATGTACAGAGCACTGATAGACATTCTCGGATCTTTGCCTCCTGAAACGGTAAATATACTGAACTTCTACTTGTTATATCGACATAAATACTGACCCTGAAAGTCTAAATGTAACCGTGGAGATTGAAATCAGACTTCAGGGATCATTATCATATCATGTTTGGATTCAAAGCTTGAGAGCTGAACTTTTCCACTGAAGCCTTTTCCAAACACATCAGCGTATTGCTGACTAAGCCTGCAGCTGTGAGGTTAATCTGTATCTTGCAGCAAAATGGATTACAAAACAAAGTATCTGCAGCAACACGCCCACATAGCCAGATCTTTTATGTCTAACAGCAGTGATTAAATTTGGTGGCACTTTTAGCAGCGGAATAATGTGACTATAGAGATTGATTTTGCATATGTCAACCACAAAAAGGGACTGGTAAGAAAAGCTCCGCAGGAAGATATAAATGGGATATAAAACATTATGACCGTAGGAGGATAAGTTGTTTGTAATTTCTTCTACTTTCAAAGGGGGAAACAAAAGTTCAAAAGACTGACCGCCCTCTGTATGTCTGTGCTTTAGCGTGTCTACTGCGGTCATGAGTACACCGTCAGTAATCTGAAGTTTGCTCGTCATGTGGAGCCGGACAACAAGGTCATTCAGGAGAAGCTGGCATGGGCGAAGGTATCTGACCGGCCTGTCCTACATAAACGATAACTTCCTCAAAGAGTTGGTTAAATATCTCATCCTGAATCTGAATGAAAATGTCTTTTTCCAGGAGAAGTGCAGCAACGGAGAGCCCACCATCCCGTCCACTTTGGCAGATGAGTTCACATTTAACCCCTTCATGAGAGTAAAGTATGTCAAGATAACTCCATACCATTTATAAAAGCTGCATCTAGAATTGTTTGCTGCATGTCTGAAGGTGTTTTTGTGTTTAGAGAGAAGACCGTGCAGGAGCATGTGAAGCAGACAGATCCGACTGAAACCATGAGGAGTCTCCGGAAAGAGAAAGATGGCTTTCGTGTGCCCAAGGAGTGATGTCCGCTGCACTCATGCTGATTATTCCTTAAAATCTACTTACAACACTGCAAGCCGTCTGTAGTATGCCACAAAAAAGATCTTTATTCATCTCTGAAGCCACTTGATGTAGATCTGCTTCACTTAATCTCAGTGCACTCACTCATCGTTATCGTCATCATCCGCCCCGGAGCGGCTACAAACTTGTTTGTCATGATTTGAGTTGTTTTCTGTTGGTTTGGACAATGTTGATGTCATAGTTTTAAGGAATATTTGGCCATTATTTGGACGCTTTAACAGGGAAATAAGTTTGTTTTTATGTAAATGCAAATTTTAGAGTCTATTTAGTTTCATGTTGTAATATATTGATGCGAAAACTGCTATTTCAACAAGTGTTCAGGAAACAAAAACCATGACAGGGAGCCGATGGTGAAAGAATGTCGGAGTACGTGTTAAATATCTGTAAATTGATAAAATAATTTCTCTAAAGATTTGAATCAATGTTTTTTTTCAGACCTTTAATGCTTCCTGATCAAAACTCTTTTAATATTTGCATGTAAACCTTTATTTTGGTTTGTTTGTACTCTGTTAAAGAAGATGCAAATGATCATAAATTCACTATATTTACAGAAACAGTTTGTGCACAACGTATCGTGTACCCATCAGTGTATCAGCGTTAATGTAAGACACCTTTAATGTTTTTTTTTAAATATTGTACAGCTCCATAAATGCAATCGCATGATGTTTGAAAAAGTAAAACGCATGTATTTAAAAATAGCAAAAATAAAAGTCTTGCATTCAAATGGACTTTATCCATCTGAAGTAAAGGCATGCATTATACACAAAGGCTCCTATAAGAGTGTTATGAGTGTGTAACAGGATCAAACATAAGTTATTTCATTTGCATTAATATAAAGGTTGGTGCAGGAAAGATTGCTGCAGGTCATAGAAACCAGATCACGCATGATTTGATTTGATTTGATTTATTTGGGATCCTCATTAGCCTTGGTCAAGCCTAAGCTATTCTTCCTGGGGTCCTTAAGCCAACTTACAATATATCAATGCAAATATTTCATATATATAATACGCCCCATGTAAAAAATAGAATATAAAATACAAAAGATGAACACAAACAAATAAACAAACAGAATACATACTACACAATACAACAGTACATAAACAATAACAGATAGCTCCTAAGTGCTGATCTAAGACAGTAAGAGTGAAAATACCTCAGCAGGGGACATCATGCATCAAAAACATTAAGATCCTCCATTTTATAAGTCTCAAATGCATTGCACTTTGTAATAATTGCATGTTTTGTGCAAAAATATTTCCTAAAAAGGGATTTGTCAATCTTATAAAGTTGCAGTTTGAAAAGCAGTAGAATTGAGTGAACAGATTATACAAAATTACATTGAAACAATCATTAAAATCGATTTATAAACTATAATTCTTGAATAAAGGAAGAATACGTTTCTTTGATTGCTGAATGAGATTGTGTTAAATCTTCTGGGCTCGATTAAAATGTCTAGGCTGTGACTCGTTCGCTCGATGATGTCGCGATAACTCCCCCGTCCTGATGCTGAAATGTAGAATTAAAAAATTCGGATCGTCAGCCGGACGATGATGATAAATCCGCCTGATCCGAACCAGAAAATCTGAGGTAACGGTGGTTTTCTTTACGAGTGAGACTCGATTAGTTTTCCTGTAACATCAAGAAGCTGTTAAAAGTGTTTTTATTAGACTCAGTTCAGTCAGTTTTATCTCTGCTAAATAAAGTGAACAATAAAGCTCAAATGAACTGATTTATGCTTTGAATTATTAGGGTTAAATCAGCAGAGGTTGGTGTTCAGTCGGGGAATGTTGACGGATTGAACTCTTCCCGAAGTGTCGGTCTCGGTTTTGCGCATGCGTGAGAAGGTGCCATGAAGGTAAAGGTGATCTCCATCCTGAAGGACAACTACATGTACCTGGTGATCGAGGAGCAGAGTAAGAAGGCTGTGGCTGTGGACCCTGCGGTTCCTCACCGGGTGAGACTCTCCTGTGTGGTCCGAGGAGTACTCAGATTCTGGTCTCTGTAGAGCAGGGGTGTCAAACTCAACAACAGAGAGGGCCAACATCTGGATTTAGGTCTAACCTGGGGGCCAAACAGGGTCAACATTTCACCAAAAACTGTCACCCTGCTTTTAATAAAATCGGCAAAACAAAAAAAAACAATGATTAGAAGTCATTTTGAAATTCAAAAAAGATAGAAAGATAAGTTTAAAGGCAATCTAAGATAGAAAACTTTTTTATATATATTTTATTTTATTTTTATTATATTATATTATTATTATATTATTATTATATTATATTAGTTCAAAAGATCAGAGCGTGATATTAAAAATAGAAAAATAATGCTTTTGAAGAGCAAATACACGAGGAGAACGTTGAAATCAGGTATAAAAGGTCAAAATATGACGTAAAATTGAAAACTGGAATCTAAAGTATAAAAATGACACAAGTCTAAATACTGAGTTAAACAAAATCAAAGCATGAAATAAAAAAATCCAATCATGTTTGACTCGGAATCTTGAAATGAAAAATTTAAAACATGAAATAAAACACCAAATATCTACATATCAAAGTATTTGAATGGATGTTTTTCTTACAGCTGCTAGAAATCGTTAAGAGAGAGGGCCTGTCTCTGACCGCCATCCTCACCACACATCATCACTGGTGAGACTCTTTGGCACAGCCTCATATAATATCACAACAAACTGCTCACACAGTAATAAACCAGCTCTGGTTTTGATTGATCAGGGACCACGCTCGAGGGAACGAGGCTCTGCTGAAGGAGCTTCCTGAGCTGAAGGTGTACGGGGGAGATGATCGGATCGGGGGTCTGACGGATAAGGTCTCTAACGACCAGGAGCTGAAGGTGAAAATCAAACATTTGTGGGTTTTACCCGAGCTGTCCTCCACTTGTTACTCGAATATAGCGTCTTCATGTTCTCTTGATGTTTCAGTTCAACTCCATCAATGTGAGGTGCCTGTTTACTCCCTGTCATACCTCGGGTCATATGTGCTACTTTGTGTGGGAGGATGAGTGCGCTGACGCCCCTGCTGTTTTCACAGGTATTTATCTTTAACAGGTGCATTCCCACAAATCATTCAACATGTTTTGTGCCCTTAACTTTGGTTTATATAGAGGCTTATCGAGGGACACGTTGTTCCATTGTTGTTGCTGTGGCAGCAGCAGAGACTGACTGACGACTGTGTGCTTTTGTCTTGTCTTGCGGTCATCAGGGGACACATTGTTCATCGGTGGATGCGGACGGTTTCTGGAGGGTACAGCCGAACAGATGTACCACAATCTCACCCAGGTTCTCGGCACCCTACCTCAAGACACGGTCAGTGGGAATCACAGATATTTGTAGCGGTTCTGTGCTTTTCCCCCAACAGGGTGAAGGACCGCTAACATGACCTCAGATAAGAGCTGGGACCGGGCTGAGTCACCCTGATGAGTAAACACACGTACAAAGAAGGGATTGATTGTGGCCTGGCTTCTCTTTCTTTTTCCACCATAAAGAGAAACGTCTCATAAAGCCCAGAGTTTCCACATATTTAAAGGGATATTCTGGCATAAAATTAATTTAGGGTCAAACTCACCATAACACAGAGTTAGACACCCCGTCGAGAGATGAATGTTGCCCACCGCTAGTACTCTGGCTAGGACCCTATATGTCCTGTTGATGAAGTTAGGTGCTGTTCTGAGCATTATTTGTAGCTATAGAGTGGCGTTTTGGTTGAGGTTTGTTTATGGCTCCTCAGACCGCTGTTTATTGCTATTGTGTGGTCGTTACTAAAGTTGGTATAACTAGAGAAGCAAGCAGTCGGCAACATTCATCTTTCAAGGGGGTGTCTAACTCGGTGTTGCGGTGTGTTTGACCCTGAATTAACTTTACGCCTTAATATCCCTTTAAATGTTAAAGATCTTTTGAATGTGTTAAATCATGTTTTGATGATCTGCAGAAGATCTTCTGTGGACACGAATACACCATAAAGAACCTGAAGTTCGCCATGCTGGTGGAGCCGGAGAACGAAAAAGTTAAAGAGATGCTGAGCTGGGCCAGGGTGAGCTACTCCAACAAAACTGATCAGAAAATCTTGCAGTATCCTCATCTTGAACTCCATATATTTTCAAATACCAAAGCAGCAGCTCCTCCTCCTGGAGTCCACACTCTAGTCCTTAATTTTAGATGCTTATGACTAATGTGTCTGTGTCTGCAGGCTAGAGACGATGACGATAAACCAACAGTGCCATCTACCCTCATGGAGGAGTTCGACTACAACCCTTTCCTTCGCCTCACGTGAGTTTGGGTATTTCTTACTGCAAAAACTTCATCCCTTTCTGTAGGATTTTGTCCTTAATTCTCCTTGTTGTCTCCTTCTCCTTCACTGCAGGGAGGAAGGAGTTCAAAAGTTCACAGGGAAGACAGACCCCATCGAGGTGATGAGGGTCCTGAGGAAGGAGATGGATACGTTTAAGAAGCCCAAGGAGAGAGTTCCTACGCACGCCATGATGGCGCTGGAGTGGGGCCTCCTCAGACCCTGAGATCCAGTTTCAGGGCTCTGAATATCCAGACTCAACTGTGTGTAGTTGGGCGACTGAAAGCAGGGTTATAGAAGACAGTGGAGGGAGGTGTTTGATGCTTTAAATCTGATGTAAACCATCAGGAGTCTGACGGGCGAGAGGTTAAAGTGAAGCTGCTCTCATTGAAATTCCTATAATTGATTAATGTGAAGGCTGATCTTCAGTCTAATATGCAAAATTTACCACCAGGTAATGTCTGCTACTAATTCCGACTTTAAGTGGGAAAAAAAAAACTGCTCTGATTTTCTGTCTTTTCTAACATTTGTTGTTTCGAGTTACAGATTTAAGTGCAAAAATTCAACGTCATTTATTTCCTTTCTGTATCAAAATACTACATTAACTTTTCATTCCTTTTTCTTTTCCTCATAGAGACTTTTATTTACTGTCTAGTGACCTTGTGAATGAGCGTATTTTACTTCAACTGTTCCGTTAATTCACTCGTTTCTCGAACAAACTGCACCTGATTGGTTATTTCTCTCATGCTAACCTTTGCAGTTTAACGCTTGACACTTGATTTCTTATCCCGCACATTTAAAGAACTGTCTGTAATTCAGACCGCACTTTGTGGAGATGTTGCACTCAAAGTTTTAAACAAGAAAACAAAAACAAACATGCAGTGTATGTTACATGAATGTAAAATGCTGCTTTTCCTCACATGGCAAGAGCTTGTAATTGTACAGAGATTATAAATAAAACATATCAGTTTAAATCACGGCTCTGTCGGTGTTTATTTAACAGATTTAGAAGACCGCAGCAGACTCAGACTATAATTAAATAATGTCTTTATTTCTCTTTCTCTGAACAAACAAGGAATGATGATACTGCATTGAGCTTTGTGTTGTTTCAGCTACATTTCAGACGTGTAACAGGTGCCAAAATATTATAAACTGAAAACAGAAAAGAGTATAAGTGCAAATTATCCGATCATATTCACGATTTGCGTCAGTATATATTCAACTTGATCCACAGCTCTTCACTCTCAAGAGTCAGATCTGCTCCTGGACTGATGAAAAATTCTTGCAAATTAAAACACAACAGCGAAAAGCGTTCATCACCACTTCATGGTGAGTCCGTTTGTCATCTTCTCCACGGTGTGGTACTGTGTGTGCAGCAGCTCTTTGGCTCTCTCCTCCCCGACACTGTGCAGCCAGGACTGATACAGCTCAGCCACCCGTACGTCCTCTTCTGGAGACAGGGAGCGCTCTGACTTGTAGAGCTCATCGACCTTCTGGAGCAGCTCCTTCGGGTTCTGACCGGGTAACGGCTTCAGCTGTCCACCACCGTTCAGACAACCTGAAGTTTATCAGAATAGACGAGCGGAGACATTTGTAAGAAAATAGTATTAATTGTATGCTGTAATGATAAGAGCAGAGGGAGAGTAGTGCAGAATTAACAGCCAAACATTTCACTTACCTGACGGACAGGCCATTACTTCAACAAAGTCGTAGGGTGACTTCCCCCTCTTGAGTTTCTGCACCAGATTCTGGATGTTACGGAAGCCGTAAGTGGAAGCAAAGCACAAAACGGCTTTTCCATCTTTCTCAAGAGTCACCTCTTGAAAATCTTTATTCCTGTGATAGAGGGGTTAAATAAATATCTTAGTGTTCAGCAGAAATTCTTAATCATAATCCAAAGTGTTTCTGATTCTGCAAAAGTTGGGCTCTTCTCCAAACGAGTGATGCATCCTCGTTTAGTGACTTTATAATTAAACGGGATCTACATGGTCGGCTATTCTGAGCTGATGAGACTTATTTGAATGAACTGGAGCTCTGCTTTAAGGAGGCATAATGAGCTCAAACCACATATGATCACAGAGCTCCTAAAAGCAGACTCACCTGAGGGTCTTGTAGGTGAGCTTCTTCACCTCCTCCCCAAACAGCTGCTTAGCTGCATTGATGAAAACATGATGGAGGTAACCGCCTGACCCGCTCCCAGCATGGCTGAGGAACTCGCCACCACTCACACTGCTGAACCTGTGATGAGAATAATATCTAAGTGTCATAAAGAGGAAAAATTCATGCCATGGCTTTCTTTAAAGGTCCTTCAGCTTACATAACATCGAGGGGTGCAGACTCCACGTCACTGAGAGACACATTTTTCTCCTCCAGCATTTTCTGAACCTCTCCTGTAAGAGGAAATAGTGAAAAACATAAAGGAGATGATACTTAAACATATATGCACACAAACAGCATCATGAGTAGTTACTGTACCGGAGGTGATGACGCAGTCCACCTCTCGGGTCTCAGCTGAATTCAGGTAGAAGTCTGACCTGGAGGCCTCGAGTTTCTTGTCAAAGCAGGGCATCACTGCCACGTGGTAGATCTGCTGTGGACCTATTCCCTAAGATCACACACAACACACACACACACAATTCAATAGCAACTTGTTTTTCTGTCTGCTTTAAAAACTCTGCATGTACGTGCATTCATGACAGCTATTATGACCAGCTATTAAATGTGAATCAAAGAAACAGGTGCAAGAGATCTGGTACCTTTTGTTCCGCAAAATAACCCTTGACCAGAGAGCCCATCATCTGCTGAGGGGACCGAGTGGTGCTAATGTAAGGCAGGATAAACTCCCCGTGGGTCTTCTCAGCATAGCAGATCCACCCTAAAACACACAGACGCAAACACACACGTGCAAAACAAGAAAATGTGATTTCAGCTGCTTTCAATGATCTTCTGTCAGAAAGTTTAGCAGGATTATGACGAGTTCTTTAGCTACCAAACACAGCTAAACCTGAATTATTAGTTTATTATAGTGTCTAGTAAAAGAATCCACAGTTTTTTACTTTGATTGATCTGAATCACAGAGGATTTCAGTGCTCCTACCTGGACAGGCTGATGTCATCATAGGTAAACAGTTTTTGTCTTGCTCCTTCCGCTGAAAACGCTCCACAAACTCCCTCTGGCTCTCCAGCAGGCTGAAGGTCCGACTGAAGCTTGTATCAAATACATAATGAACCCCTGTAACAATGACGGAAATCTTCAGAAGTCAGTGCATCTGCTTTGATCATCCTCTTGGCTATTTTGTTTTGAGCTGTAAACAGAGTAGATCGATAGCTTTGCCCTCACCAAGGCCTTTAAAGAAAGACGTGAGCCTCCTGCCCGCCTCGCTGCTGCTGAGGTCATAGCGCGCTGCGAGAGAAGCTCTGGACTGTGGAGACACTGACACCACCACAACCTTCTGCTCTGCCTCGTTTGCCTGTGGAGCAGGTCAGAAAGATGTGTCAATGAAGAAATAACAGAAAACCTAATTAAAAAGGCAGAGAAGTTTGCACATCAGCGTCTACCTTGTTATTGTGCAGCACTTTAAAGAGCTCCTCGTGACTCTGCTGTGTGATGAGGACACTCTCAGCAGATGTGATACAGCCACTACACGCCAAACAGTCGTTCAGTGTGATCTTTGCTTTCTCCAGCTTCTGCTTCCCACCGTCCTAAAACACAAGGAGGTTTATTTATGGCTCCCTGCCCTGTATTGCTATTGTGCGGTCATTACTAAAGTTGGTATAACCAGAGAAGCAAGCGGTCGGCAACATTCATCTCTAGAGGGGGTGTCTAATTCGGTGTTACGGTGTGTTTGACCCTAAATTAGTTTTACGAAATATCCCTTTAAAGAAGAATCTGACATTTTTCAAAGTTTTCCCTTCTGGAAAAAGAACAAAATCTGATAATAAACCTGTGCAAAGTTATCACATATGATTCTTTTCTTCATCCAGCACCTTCACACTATATTCATGCATGATCTTAATGTAGTCTGCTGAGATGTTTATGACTGAAGCCCACATATAGTGGAACAATACTCTGAATTTCACACACAGTCTCTGAAGCCCACCTGGTTGATTTGGACGTAGCTGCCATCATCTTCTATTTGAATCTTGGCCAAAGATTTTCCTTGTTTCTTCTCTATTTTGACCGGCTTGACACATTCCTACAGCAGAGGCACAAAACTACATGACTGAACAGATACAATCAGCACAGAACAAACAGACCTGAATCAGTAACATTTAATCCATTTTAAGTGTCAGATCATCATAATACAAACTAACCTGATTAACTTGAACATAACTACGTATTATTTTGATCATATCATGTATTTTTAGGCACAAAATCAGGTTGAGAATTGTTCTTACACTGTTGTTTCATCATCATTACATCATTGCTAATATTAGCAGGAAGCTACCAGTTAAATGCGCATTTGACTTTTTCAGCCTTTATGAGCTTCATGGTCAATATTTAAGAGTCAAACCAAATAAGTGACACGTTAATTTAAGCGTTTGAGTCGCTGTATCTGGTTTTTCTGGCTTTTTCTTCGCACGATAACATCGACAAGATCAGATAAGAGACAATAGACAAGCTAACAAACGTCTAAAAAGGGAATCATGAGGGTTTTTATTTAACTGTGTCTCCTTTAAAGCTCATTATTCTGTTATAACCTGTAGGAATAAGTTTCCCTACCTGAGAGGGGGTGATAAAATCATCGAGGTCGGTCAACTGAAGCACACCGCTGAAGTGCGAGGCCATACTTACACAATGCCGTAAAGTGTGGCTGCTCTGTTTATATTAGTGTCGTGAAAAGCTATCCTGAGTTCAACTCCGTGTTCCCGTCATTTCTCTCTTTCATGAGCTGTATCTTCATCTGTATGCGGTTTATTTCAAATCATAGTGATAGAGTTGAAAAAGAAAGTTTAATTCGGTGAAAAATGAAGTGAAATAAAACAAAATATGAGGATATGGGGCGCCGAATGTAAACATTCAGTCACTGTTTAATAGGTGACATTTTCTGAAGATTTAGCTCACTTTTCTCACATTTAGCTCGTTTTCTTTCATTTAAGACCGAGATTCATGTAAAAAAACATGTTCTTTTTATTTGTTAAAATATGTAGACATGATAAATAAATAAATATATCTTTAATTCTCACTTTGTGTGTGTATGTGTGGGTGAGTGAGGGCGGGTGTGTGTCTGTGGATTCATGGGTGGGTGTGTGGGTGGGAGGGTCAGTTTTTACAGTTGTTTAATTGTTTTTAGCCTCTGTTAGTCACTTTGAACTACATCTTTTGTCTGAAAAGTGCCATACAAATAAAGTTGAACAAACCTGTTTTTAATAGCCATAATTAAAGTAATGCAGAATAGTCAGCTCTTACTTTTTCATGTGGGTTCTCTTAAGAGACAAAGCACTTTGTCAGTTTAAATATCTTAATAATGCAAAGCTGCTTACAGTAAGCCTATCAGCCTTATTTGCCTTAACTACCATGTAACCCCTCCACACAACAATACTGCCAACAAGTTTTAGCTCCACTTCCCTTCTTCATTGACACCATCTTTGAAATAGACTCAGTACTATTAGAAAATGACTTTTTATTTCAGAAAAAAATGACATCAAATCCATGCTTGACTTTTTTCATGATGCGTGGGAGTGGACGGTCTTCTTTTTAATTTAGTATGAGTCAGGAAATGTAAGAAAATCTGGACACGCCCCAGCTTGGCCTTGTGTTTTTCATTTAATTCAGCACTCTATGATTTAAATGAGAATATCTTCTTGCACAGCACCGCCCAGTGTCCTTGATCCATATCTGTCTCCTCTTTCATTGCTAATCTGGGTGTTTTCAAATTGACCAAATAAGTGATGGTATCTACTTTATTAATTTTAGATATAGTTGTGTCGGATTTCTTGTGCCTTCTTTTTCTGAAACAGCTGCTTTCTACGGTGGCCGAGAACCGCCACTTCTGCAAATCAAAAAAGAATGCAAAAAAATAAGTCACAACGGAAGTTACCGATGCAAAAAAAAAGAAACTGAAGACCACTGTACTTTTCAATGTGTCATTTGGTTAGGCCATGCTGCGCCTGAGTTGATATGAAGCCTAACTAAATTGCACATTAAAAAGTTCATGAAGCAAAATTAAACAGTAACCTTTCCGCTTTCTTGGATTAGCGTAATTGTGTCTTTATTGAGTAATTATGATCAGATGTTCTTTTATACAGACAAAGGTTTTTTAATTACCTTGCTGACATGTTTTGATGTACTGGCAGCAGTCTTCCTCAGAGTGTCACGTTATGGTTGTGTGACGCGTCTTAAGACAGCTGATGTTTCCGAAGGTGTGACCTTTCCGTCAGTTTGCCTTCAGCTGCCCGCTCGCCCCCTGCAATATGGCACCCCAGGTGTGGGATAGCATATATGCCCCCTCATCCCGGTTGATGGTCCTTGGGCCTCGCTTCCGGATTACCATTGCCTCCCTGATCCAGCGCTGATGTTTATTTTCTTCGGTGCGGATGACTCTGGCATTTTCCCAATCCATGATGTGGTTCTCTCGTTTGCAGTGGTCTGTGATAGCTGATTTGTAATTTTCTTGTTGTAATTAAAAAACCTGTGTCTGTATAAAAGAACATCTGATCGTAACCTTTCCACTTACTTCTTTGCTGGTCTTCTTACCGTCATCTTCTGTGCCTAGATCGTAAAACACCACGGCATCATCATTATTGGTCCCTGGCTGCTCACTTCCCTTGTAGCTTTTTTTAAAATTTGCATCCTTTTATTTTCGCAGTAAGTAACTTTTAAAAAAAAATTTTAACTCCTTTTTTATTTTGTATCCACAATGTTTCTGGGGGTTTTTTTGCAACGGGCTTCGGTTTCTTTCTTTCTGTCTTTCTTTTTTCATTGTGGCTTCTTTTTCCCTTCTTTTTTTTATTTGCAGCAGTGGCGGTTCTGGGCCACCGTTGCTTTCAGATAAACCTGAATGATGAATAATGATATTTTTTATATGAGAGCTAAATAATTATGAATTATCACGGTAAATAAATCGTGAAAATACTCCAGAATCCTTCATTTATCAAGTGAGTATAAATTTAAACGATTAGCTAAAGGCGTTTCTTTAATAAACTTATATCAGTTGAATCAGACGCTCACGACCTTTTGTTGTTATGACTACGAGGTCGTAAATCCGCCATGTTTTCCCTCCTTGTAGTATCGTTGCGACAGAGACGGAGAGCTCGAACGACATGAATGTAGAAAATAATCATACGGCAGAAACAGAGACGGAGCAAACGAAGGACGGCAACGAGACCATCACCATTCAGACTACACTGGGAGATGAAGGTTTGTCGTCTTTAGACTTAAAAACAAAGCGAATCATTTATGAAAAACTGTGAATGGGGCCTAGCTAACTTCCTCCATCATGAAAGTTGCTAGCAGCTAGCATGCATTAGCAGCACATGAGACAATTTTAAGTCCAGCTTGTTGTCAGTGTATAAATCAGTGTCGTTTACTGTTGTGTGAGGCTGTTTCATCCTGTTTTGTGTTGCCTTTCTGCTGATAGATGAAGATGTGCACAAGTGTGGACGCTGTCAGTCCGAGTTTTCCACGCTGGAGGCTTTTATCCAACACAAGCTGCAACACAGCTGCCAACGAGCAGAGACACGGGAGGAGGCGAGCAGCCAGGAGGTAGAAACTCTAAAATAAACACAGTTTTTATGTGCAAACTGAGTTTGGATGCACTTTAATATTTACACTTTGCTGTTACAGGTTACAGCAGCTAATGACAGCTCCTCAGAGGTGAAACCAGCAGAAGGAGCATCTGCAGATGAGTCACTGAAGACCACTAATGGTAGGTTCAATAATAACTTTTATTCATAAGAATAACTTTATTTTTACGGCACTTTTAAAAACAGAAGTTTACAAAGTGCTTTGACAAACAGTACATCAGCACATGGAAATAAAAACAAACAAAAAACAAAAGCTCAGTTAAAAACAAGGTCTCTGAATTGAAGACCAATTTCATTTGTCATAAGAAACCCAGACAATACAAGAACCCTACAACATAAAATGAGACCATGAAGACCAAAATAAAAACATAAAATAGGTAAGAAGAAGAAATGTAATAAAAAAGGGGGGTAGAAAGCAGGAAACAGGATAGTAAATATAAAAAGATAATATTAACAATGATAATAAAATCATGGAATAATTATGATGCTAATATTGATGATAAAATGGAATAACAAAAATGAGCAGGAAAAAACTATAAAATCAATAAAAGGCCTAAAAGTTTAAATAAGAAAATATTATAATTAAAACAAAGGCTAAAAATAATACTAATCATCTTAGTATAAGAAAAAACTGTGCATGAGCATATAGACCTAAATTTACAAAATACTCCGACACTGGCATGGTCAGTAAACATTTTACCTTTACTAACTTCAGAGCTGTCAGTTGTAGTTTTAGGTTTATACAAACCACAAGCCTGGGCTCCATCCAGTGTTCAGAGTCAGAATTACATACAGAATATTCACTGTGCCTGCTAGAGATATTATATCAATAACTGAAAAAATCAATCAATCAGTTAATCAGTCTTTTTATATAGCACTTATAACACTAGAGGTTTAAAATCTAAAAGCAAAGTAACATAAATGATACATACAGAAATGATACATAAAATGGAATTAAAACAAATGTAAAAGATTCTAAAATAAGAGCACCAAAATAGCTTAATGAAAGATGATCCTGTCATTAAAACTAGAAAAGATAAATGCTGAAACACTTAATAATCCTAATCCACAAAGTGATTGATCGGCGATTTCCTCTTGTTCTCTTGCAGATGAGAGCGGCGGCATTTTGGGTCGCGGTCGCAGGAAGAAAACTGTTTCACTGAAAGTAGCTGACCAGTCGGACAAGACCGATGGATCCTTATCTGATAACGCTGACGGCGAAAAGCCTGTTTACAAAGTTAACAGTGAGGGACGCTACATCTGCCAACTTTGTGAAAAGACTTTTAAAACTGTGAGTATGTGCGCAGGTTCTACCAGAAAATGTTTATCTCATTAATTCTTGAGGTAATTTTTCCTGTTATCTCTTTCACTCAACAGACCAACATTTTGAGAACTCACATGAAAACTCACAGTGATCAGAAGAACTTCACATGTAGCCTATGTGGGACCTCCTTTAGGACGAAAGGCTCCCTGATTCGCCATAACAGACGCCACACGAGTAAGAAGAACTTGTTTTGTGCCTCAAATCAGTGTCCTCAGTAAACTTCACAAAATGATCATGCACCATCTTTTGGTTTTCTTGCAGATGAGCGTCCGTATCGGTGTAACTTATGTGGACAATCTTTCAGAGAGTCGGGTGCTCTCACCAGACACCTTAAATCCCTCACACCCTGCACGGAGAAGATCCGCTTTGTCCAGTACAAGGAAATTTTGGTCAGCAAAGATGGAGTCCAGAAAGGTCAGGTTTATGCTGAAAATATTTACTTGATGCTATTACTCCGTATTTTCTTATAAGAGCTTAAAGATAGAGTTAATGTTGAAGTTTTGTGGACTTTTGAAACTTGGTACAAAAGTTCTGGATTTCTGAACAGAGATGAAGTACATATGGAAGTTGCGTGAAAGTTCTGTGTGAATTTTTCAGGGGTTGACAATAATGCTGCTGCAATGGCTGACCAGCAAGAGGTGATGGTTGTGGAGCAGCAGCAGCCTGAGGAGCAGGAGGTCGAAGAGTCTCAAACTGCTGTTGTCAGTGTTGTGGAAACTTGTCCACAAGAGGTCCTCCACCAGGTCCACTTCACGATGGAGGTGGATGGAACAACACAGGAGCAGCAGGTAGTTAGAACGAGGGTCGGAATGTGACACAAAACATACGTTCTCAACCATTTTAATGATACAAACATGTTCTTCTCCACCTCTGGTCAGGTTGTAGTTGAGCAGTCTCAGGCGGAGGCTCTGGCAGCTGCTGCAGCAGCAGGCGACAACCTTATCTGCCAGGCTATCATCAACTCTGGCATCGCGCTGGGGACGGAGGAGACTGTGGTTGAAGAGACCTCGCAGGCAACCGAGGAGATAGACAAGGAGGTTTCTGACTGTCCTGAAACTGATGGGGGCGTCACTGAGATCCAGGTGAAGGAGGAATTTGTGGAGATGGAGGCAGAGGTGAGGATGGAACGGTATATCTTCTGCTCAGAGTTTTTTTGGGGACATGTTTTTGGTATTACGACCACTTTTTATTATCAGTTTCTTTTATTTATAGTTTTTTTCCCCTTCTTAATACTGTTATAAGACACGTTGTCTCATAAATGATCGTAGAAATTTGATATATAGCCGAAAATAGGGTAACTGTGTTTGGTGTTGCACTGACAACATTTACACTTCATGATTTTTAAAATGTTTTATGTCTATTTTTAATTTCTTTTGCAGGAATCAGGTGACGGAGATACTCAGACGTCAAAATTGTACCAGTGTCCACACTGTAATCGCTCCTTTAAGGGACTTAACTACTTCCGCTTCCATGTGAAGGGCCATTTAGGTGAGCCTCGTGAGCTGTGTAATTCAGAATATGAAACCCAAAGAAGGCCTTCAGAATTTTCCTCAAAAATACCAGGGAAAAGTCTGAAAGGAGCCTCCGTCTAAACTTTATTTCTTTGCAGGTTACAAGCCTTTCAAATGCACACTGTGCCATAAAGAGTTTCTGACTGGTTACCTGCTGAAGAAACACATGGAGGTGCATGTCAGTGAGAGGAGGTACAAGTGTGGCGAGTGCGGCAAGCTGTACAAAACCATTGGGCATGTACGTGAGCACATGAGGGCGCACTCAGATGAGAGACCCTACAACTGCTCTAGATGCAACAAAGGGTACAAGACCAAGGTAAATATGGTGATGATTGTTTTTGCATTTTGTTGGTTATAGTTTAAGCTCAAACATGTCTCTTTTTCCTTCACTCAGAATGCCTTGCAGGTCCATCAGCGGACCCACGGTGATGAGAAACCTTACGTGTGTCAGTTCTGCTTGAGAGGCTTCAGAGAGAAAGGATCTCTAGTGCGACACATTCGCCATCACACAGGGGAGAAGCCGTTCAAGTGTCCGAAATGCAAAAGAGGCTTCGCCGAGCACGGGACTCTCAACCGACACATGCGAGCCAAAGGTGGGTGAGATTTAAAGACAATAAAAAAGAATTAGAAAAAAAATGAGTGAGGCTAATAGACACACGATTTCCACCAGGAGGCTGTCGAAAGGAAGACTCCAGCGAGCAGCAGGGTGCAGAATCAGAGGAGCAGGCGTCAGCAGATAACCTCGCTACAGCAGCCATCATCTCAGAGGATCCTCATGCTGTGCTGGTGGAGTTCTCCTCAGTGGTGGCAGACACACAGGAGTATATCATCAAGGTAGGCCTCAAGGAAGCAGAGCTACTGCCTTGTCAATCACATCTGTGAGGAAATGCATTACTCTGTCTTAACAAAACCGTTAGATTACTTCCTTCTAATTTGGCAATGACAGTGATGACTTCAGTGTTTGAGAAAAGGTAGAGGAACAAACTGAACTGACTAAAAATAGTGATTTAAACTCTGATTTTACATTGTGAATTACTTTGGATGGAGAGCACTGCAAGGCAGACTTTTCACTGTTAGATAAAAGCTAAAATTTGATTTGTTTTCATGATCAAATTTCAGTCATGGAACTCAGAGATGTTAGAAAAAACTCAAAACTACTGATGTAACAGACTGAAACTGAAGCCGTGAAGAAACTGACTTGTAGGAATATCCATGTTTTATGAATATGATTCAAGGCTATGTTTTATTAAGGTTGTTCAAGATCAATTCAAATCTCCTTTTCTATTGTCTGTCTGAACTGAGGAGATACTCTGCCACTTTTTGATGTATCTCTCAAATCTCTACAGACTCAAACCGAGGAGGAAGTGCAGGAGGAAGAGGTCACTCTCATTCAAGACAGCCAAAATGAGGTCAGTATACTCACAGACACAGACACACACACATGCAAAAGTATCTGTGGGATTGATAGCAGAGGTTGAGGATCACTTACCTTACATACTTTCGAGGCAACAGTTTATTGTTATCATCAGTGATTATACAACAGCTGTTTTCTTGATCAGTAGATGTCCAAAAAATGTCCTGATTTGTGTGTCTGTTTGGCTTGGCAGCTAAATTGTGCGACCCAAGATTCAATAACATCCCTCTGCTCTTTGCAACAGCTTCCTTCTCAATTACTCCCCTAGTTTCTTACTTTATCCACTGTCCTGTCTTATAGAGGCCAACGTATTATTTCGGAACTTCTTTCTCATCCGTCTAACAACATAAAATCGAAGACTATTCATAAAATATCACAAATATCCACAAAAAAGTACCCAATCCTTGTATTTACAAAGCTATTTCCAGCACATTGTACAACATATTCCTTCATAAATCTCTGAAACAGCTGAGAGACTTTAGAGTGTGTGTAAAGTCGAAGTAATCAGATTGAAGTTTACAGTTAAGTAGGTTTACTGATACAAGGAGTTTCTGTGTTTTGAGCAGAAAGCTACTTTTCTACAGTGTTGAATAGGCTTGAAAAGAGGGATAAAGGAAGACAGATGTAGACAAAGCATCAACGACAGCATTAATACAGATAAAAACAGATGGGAAATAAAAATAGAAAAGAATCAGTTGATAAATCAAGCAGTTGAAACTCTGAAACTCCTAACTCTCCCCTCCAGATGGGAAACCACATCATGAAAGTGGTGCAGCGAATCGTCAGCCAGTCACAAGGCGCCGGCAACACAGGCAGCCATCAGATCATCGTGCGTGACGTAGCCATGAACGAGGAAGGCCCCTCCATCTCTGACTGCGGTGACACCATCACCATCGCTACACCAGAGTGCCTGACGGAGCAGGTGGCCATGACGCTGGCCTCCGCCATCAGCGACGGCACGCTGCTGGCCACGACGGGCACCGTGGAGACGGCAGACGGGACAGTTACTGTGGTTACCACGGAGGGAGTGGTGGAGGAGGGAATACAGGTTGTGCAGCAGCAGGAGGAATATGTCATCACTTCTCCAGAGGAGGTGGAGATTCAGACTGTCATTGTATGATGAAGAGGATAATAACTGTGAACTGCCATGAATTCGCCACGACGTTTCTGTGTAGCTGATGACTGCAGAGTGTGTCTGAGCTTCATGAGTGAGAGATGAAACAAACGCCAAACGAGTGCACATGAGGATTAGTTCTCTGAAACTTTGAGGATAGATTTACTCAAATGGACACTGCCTACATTAAGTCGGCTAATCATTTGACCTTTTGTAAACAGCCTGAACAAGAATTTATCTTGATTAATTTTGTATGTTTTTCATTCAAACACTTGAACTGATGCGTAATGTTTTTTGGTAGCACAGACTGAACATGTCTTCACTTTTATCCATGGTAAAAAAAAAAAAAGTGGAAATCTTTCCGTCTTAAACTCATCTCAGCTCTGCTACAGTCAAGTTCAAATCTCTTCATGTGGGCTCTGAAATGTGACGCCCTTATGAGATCAAGTGTGAGTGCCTGCAGATTTTAGGCCATGTACGGAGAGTATATCGGTACAAAGAGCTCCTCTGAGCTGGTTACGAATAATGCATCTTTAAGCACGACACAGTGACCAAACATAACAAATGCGTTCAGCTCATATGAGCAGCCTTTGCTTCAAATAAATGCTATTTTATTATACCTCTCTGTTTGCTGTTGGATTATTTGTTGGTGTTATCAGATTCCTGTGATCAAGCCTGTGTGGATGAGCTTTTCACAGAGGATTATGTGCGCGACATTTGTTGAGTTCAGTCTTAAACTGGATCATTGTTTCAGTCTAGCAGACTTGAAACCAAATCTTTTCTGACGTTAGTTGAATGACAGCTGATAACTTATGACCTGCTATGTTTTTATGTGATTGGTAAGGCAAAGCAAGTTATTTATAAAGCACACAGAGCATTTCACAGTGCCTTACAGAGTTAAAAAGGAAAGGGAATATAAATATCTAGAACTACTTTTCAACTTAGAATACTTCAAACAAGAAAAATAAAAAAGACTGCTTTGATATAAAAACAAACGACAAAAAAATATAACAGTGCAGCAGCCGCTTGGCAGCACAGTCTTTCACACAGTCCCGATAAAGTCTCAACCTGGTGGATGCTGATTTATCTGCCGGTCCTTAAGCAAAATTTATTTTTTTACAGCCATTCACCCCAAAACATCTTCCTCTGGATTCAGGCTCACAGTCTGATGTATCTGTGTCAGGAACAGCCCCAGAAACCTGTAAAGGTGGGCTGTGGCAGTGGAGTCTTTCTACTGTCAGTAATACTGATGGATTACTGTGAGTAATCAGCTCAGCCCGTACAGGGGTGATGTATGAGGGAGGAAAGTTGGGTAGATTCAGACAGACAGGGGAGAAGAGGTGGGATAAGATAAGCCATTTTTCATATTTCAGATCACTACATCGAGTCAATCATAGTTTTGTCTCTAACTAGTGTATCTGCATATATTTCAAGATGTTGCGCATTCCTGCAAACCAACAGAATGAGTGTAAACAGAACTGTCTTGATAATATTTTAGCATTTCCAAAACAACAGGGGGTGGCTCAACTTACCTTTTGGCTCAACTTACCCCACTCTCCCCTACTTGGTTTTCCGAATGAACGAAATAATTATGTTAAGATTACGGGAAATTTTTTGCTAATAAAAATGCCTCTGTTAAAATTCATCGCGTAATTTTTGGTCAATTCAGAAAAAGCGAATGCAATACGCGTTTATAAAATGGCGTCCATCGGAGCCGTTATCAGTAAGAATTAGCGCGTGCGATTCGATCGATCTATCGCACCAGTCACAGAACTCTATTTAAGTGACGACACGGGAGCGCGCTCCTTCGGCTTCTCCGGAAACAACCGAGATTAGCGCCACAGCCGTTGGAAACTGGAAGGTCTGTCTAATTCAAAATGGCGGCTACGGCTGGCTGACGCATTTCCATTAAAATAACTTATAACAGCATATACATCGTTAATTGGTGAGAACGTTTAATGTTTAATGGTAATATTTTGTTCCCAGTAGGGTAAAGCAGACCTATTTGCGTGTCTGTACCGTGAATGTCATCTGCAATCATCATGGGAATACCGCCCATTTACACCTGTCAGGTAAAACACAGCATCCATTCCCCTTGAGACATGTACACACCACGAGCTTTGTTCTTCTAGTTATATAGAGAAACTGAGTCTTGTGCAGTGAAAGTATTTTCATCACCTTGCTGTAGTGTATGCTTTTGTATTTGGTGTGTATAACCTTGAGCATATCTGCAGGCTACATCTCTGTAACTGGTGCTCCTGTGCTCAGGTTAACACAGCCGCTATAATCAGAGAAATGTCCCCGGCTGGTACACCATACAGTTTCTGGGTCAGTCCTCAGCCCTCTGAGGGGGCCCCATCCACATGAGCAACAGAAGAAGACAGAGAGTGAGGGTGGGAGAGAGAGAGAGTGGGTAAGGTATTTATAGAAAAATGGGGCTTCGCTGTACCTTTTCTTGCTAAGAACCATTTCAGGACCAAGTGAGCGTGTCCCAGTTTTCTGATCCTCGCTCAGCCATAGGCTTTGGGCTGAAGCTGAGGCTGAGCCTGGACCGCCTCAACCAGGATGGAGAGGCTGGCTCCCGGACCCTCTCCCCTCTCCTCCTGCCTCCCTCTCCTCAGCTGTTGGTTCTCTGATTGAGAAAAGAGGGAGGCACTGGCCCAGGTAACCCGCAGATGTGACCTTACAGGTACACTTGATTTGGCCAGCTGGGTAGAGGCTTTTGGAGGGAGAGAGCTCAGGTGAGGGGCGGCTCAAGGGTGTCCGAGGGCACCCTTTGGCTGTGAAGGGAGGCTGGCTGGAACGTGCCCTGCCGCAAGCCGGGCAAGGATGAGGCGTTTCCTGAGCAGAAAGGGCCGCTTCTCCCTGCGCCAGAGCAAGTCTGGGACCCGGAGTGCCTCCAAAGATTTCTGTAAGTATTCCTCCAAATCCTAATTTTTCATCTGCTGGAGGTTAGATAAAGAGGACGGATAAAGCTAAGGTTTTGTAACTGGGTCGCAGGCTGATGAGAAGAGGACAAAGAAGGCTCGGCAATCATCTGAGCTGGTTGCGTTCTGGTGGGGACGAAAAACTGTGATCCACAGCCCTGTGTCTGTGATTTCCCAATCTATTTTAGATCAACAATCAGCTCCAGTTTGATGTTCCCTCTCTGCAAGCAGACAACTTCTGTCGCTCTTTGTATCTTTGAGGAATGTTTTATTCACTCCGCTCCATCTCACTCTCAAAACTTCACCCTGTGCTCCAGTGAAATCTGATTTTTCCTTCTTTGTTAAGTCTTACTCAGTGATTATTTTCCTGCTCCTTTGCATTTCTTTGTGACTTTTCCTTCCTCCTGTTTCCAATTAAATCTCTGTCTCCTCTGTCTACATCTTTCTACGCGTGTGATCAAGCACGAAAACAGGAACAGAGCAGTGTTGTTCTGCAGATTTGATGCTTTTGTACCTGCAGCTTTATGATGTATATTACATAAATGGGCTCTGCTGTGTTTCCTAATGTGAAAATTTTCCTTCTAATTTGCATTATGGAGTCTTTTTGTTCCATTAGACAGAGGAGTGGTGGTGGTGCCACTTTGACATGGGGTGATAACATCTCTGTTATCCAGGTATTTTATGTTTTTGACGTCACGATAAAAGTTGATCCTATGAAGGTATTTCTATAAACACTTTTGGAATACAAAGGTAGGTCAAAAAGATCCAAAACAGTGAAGGTTGATTGGTCTTTTATTAGTTAATGGTCCAGTAAACCATTTTCGGAGAAATCTTCCAAAGAATGCAGCCTGAAAAATCTCTATAATGCCCCATATAAATCTCTGGCTGTAAATGAGAGCATATGAAACGAGTCTGTCGGGACTTTTCATGCTGCGGGAGAATGAGGCCAGTGACCAGGGGAAGGCCAGCAGTTCAACATGTGGGCTAGATACTGACAGTCAGAAATAACCTTCTTCACTTTTCCCCCTTCAATTCAACCGGCAGATAAAAAATCTACCGTATCTAAAATGATGTGTGGCCGACTTCACTCTGTGATTTCATTTACGCAGACCTGTGTACCTGCTGGTTGCAGCACCACGGCTGAGGTGCCCTACTTAAACCAGCGGACCATTTGACCTCCATTTTCCAGCTCACAACCTGCGGGTCTGTTTGAGCAGCATGCACCAGATTAAAAATGTTGCTCCATGCTCGCGTAACATAAATATCCTCCCTCCCAGGTATAAACCCATGTAAGTCTGAAACACCTTCAAAGAGACCCTGTAATGCTCTTTTCTACCTCACTGACAGATACAAAGTTGAAATATGAAAAGGCTATATTAAGCATGGGCAAAGTTTAAAATGTAAATGGGAAAGATTTGATATTTCCTCAATTTAATAGCAAATCTCCTCAGAAGAGCATAAAAAAAATGATAAAATTACCAAAAAGTAACTTTCAAAGCCTTAAAATAGAGGAATATATCTTTGTAGCAAGGCAACAGTGGAGGAGGTTTCTTGAAGCAGGGGCCTTTAAGAGACAGGTGAAGGTTTTTGAAGACACCAGCTGGAGATATGTATATGATATAAATGTTTAACTCGACATCCATCCTCCAGACCTCGGTCTACCAGCTACCAACCAGAACTGGCCAGAGGCTTTTGGCTTCAGACTAGGTGGCACAGGGCCCAGCTACATCCTGTCAGTGGTGGAGGGCAGTAGCGCCTACCTCGCTGGCCTGCAGCCCGGAGACCAGGTGGTGGACATCGAGGGCCAAGATGTGACCAACCTCAGCACTCCAGCGCTGATCGCTCTGGCTCAGACCCTCAAGACGGTGCCTCCAAGCATCGGCGTGGTGTCGAGGATCGAACAGGTCAGCTGATGCAGGGAAGTCAACATTTGCAAGGTCTGAACAGATATAGCCATTAAAAATGGTACTTAAAGAAGAAAAAGGGAAGAAAATCAAAAAGTTCACAAAAGTAATGAAATGAAAAAGTCAGTCATACCTAAAAAAAAAAACAGTCTGAAGAAAATTTCAATCTTTGTTTTAAAACTAATAATCAGCCTTTTAGTGGTGGAAACAGCACTGATGTAGCAACCACTTATTTTATCCTTAGATCGACATCACTCCCGGCCCGGATGGCCGTTTTGGCTTCACCATCATTGGAGACAGTCCTCTTATGGTCGAAGACTGCGCCCCCAACGGTCCAGCAGGCCGCAGCGGCTTAAAAGTGCGGGACTACGTCATGGAGGTCAACGGCATCCCCGTGAAACACCATGAAACAGCAGCAGCCATGATCAAAGCGGCTCAGGGACGACCTCTGCGTCTGGGCGTGCTCAGCATGGCCCGGCGACCCAAGCGACTGAGCAGCAGCATGAGGGTGTTGTCACAGAGCGGCGACAGCGTGAGGGAGAGTCGTGCTCACAAAGCCATGGAGTTTAACAAGAAAGTGGGTGCAACTCCGATTTCTGCCTCTCAAAGCAACTTTATGTGCTTACTCTTTGTGTCAGCCGTTTTTATGTTAATTAAACTCAGCACCGTCTTTTTTTCCCCATCAGGTGGAGGAAGTGCTCGGAGAGGAGCCAGATGTGAAGGAACAGCTGTTTGAGGTGCTCAAGCAGTACGCTGCTGAGAGGGATGTGGAGAGTCTGGCGGAGGCCCTGCCTGACATCCTGATCACAGAGGAGCATCAACAGCTGATTGACAGCGTCAGGTACCCTATCAATATGTAATGGATGACTGTGTGTAATTGTGACTCTTGTACTTTGTGGTAGTTTTTAGTAAACCTTATGGAGTGATTAGAGTGATCAGATTCAAGGGGATTTCTAGGAAACTGTTAACTCCTTTCAGATGAATCATATTTGACTGTGCAACGAAGTTCTGCTGCAGTGGTGGCTTTAGATTTGATATCAGCTGTCACTGATGCAGCCTGGACGGCCCATTAATTTCCTGCCTGCAGCATCTCCAGTTGAAAATCTCAAAAAGTGACTGTGTGCCTGTGAATCTAAAGATGCAGCTTAGTCCCCTGGGGAGGAAAGGCGACTTATTATATCTTCTTTTTGGGATGAAACTATCTAAGGGACAGATTAAAAAAAAAGCTTCTGGGGTGAGTTAAAATTGGTAAAAATTTGTGTAAATTAGTGGGTTAAAGCAACACTTTTAAGAAAGTACAACATAAAATAATTGTCACATTAAGATAAATGGGAAGAGCCTCAGTGTTGTGGGAATAAAGTAGCACCAATATAAAACTGTAAGAGAAGAAATTCATAAAGTTAGTTTAGTGTACGGCGATAAAAGTCATTATAATAAGAAAAATAAAGCTGCAGTATTATGAGAATGAAGCTACATTATAAGCTGAATTAAGTCACAGTATAACGAAAATAAAAAAATGTGATTGTTCACTATGAGATAAAACTTTATATTACCAGAAAAAAAGCTATAGATTTATAAGAATGAAGTCATTTATATGTTTTATGATAATAACGTGGTAAAAGAGTGACGTGGTATATGAAATTTGAGTCATTATATTATGAATATAAAGTTAAAAAGAAAATGAGGTAATAGTACAACGTGACCAAAGTCTAAATATTATGAAAAAGAAGTTAAATTCTTACGTGAAAAAAAGTTAAAGCAATAAAAAAATCTGTAGTATTATAAGGATGAAGTTGATAGTCAGCAGTTTAAGATTTCTATGTTATGAGACTAAAGTTGATATTTTATGAGAATACAGCTGTAAGAAAATGATGTGGTATGATGAGGGTTAAGTCCTCATATCACAGACATAAAGTTGTCAAGAAAATAAAGTGATAATACTACATGATTACAGTCATAACAGAGAGGTTAACTTGAATTACGACTTTATCCTGTTCACGTTTGATTTTATTCTCCTAACATTAAGACTTTATTTTTGTGACATTCTTAACTTATTTTCAGTCTCAAAATCTCTTTTTTTCTGTAAGATGGCCTTAATAATTTGTCGCAAGCAAGACCTTTCCACTAATCAAACTCAAACAAAATCCTCAGACTACATTAATCTTAATACAATCTGTATGTGTAGTTTGGTCTAATAAGCTGACTGGGGGAAAATATTGGTAGGACTGATTAAGACTAACTGCAGTTCTCATGCATGACTGTGTTATTCAAAAAGGGCACCAGACAGAGTTATTAGCAGGTCTGCTGTAATTCAGCTCCGCACAACAATGCAGCCACAGAGAGGGAACACAAAGTCCAGCACTAAGTCAAACAGTATAATCTTCTCCTCTCAGCATTTTACTATCAAAGCTCAGAGTGTAATTCAAGCTTATGACAAACCTTGACCTGATGCCAAGCACCGACTGCTGCCCGAGTGTGTTAGAAAGTCACTGTGTTCCGTTTTCCCCCCTATCAGGAACACCACGCAGAGGTATTATTGGAAATCCTCCGCTGTATATTACATTTCTCTCTCCTCAGCAAGGAGAAGAAAACTAAAACCTGAAGCCCAATCTCTGCACACGCTGGCAATACAATTTGTCAGCGCTCCTCCTTTTATCTTTCCCTTTGACTTTCTCTCAGTCGGTCTCTCTCTTTCCTCTGTCTTCCTGTCAGCTGTGATGCACTCTTTGATACACCAACTAAATTTTCACTGGGTGCTGTTTATTCCCTCCTCTGCATACAGCTCTTAGCTGCTACAGCCCAGTTTGCTGCTGGTGGTTGAGATATGCACACACACGAAAACAAAACATGCAGATGCTCCCCCCCTTGCTTTGAAGTTCAATGCTGGAACTAATAATGAACTGCTGCCTCAGGTGAGTACTGAAACACCGTTTGTGCATTATGGATTTGTCACAGCTTTAACTGTAACTGCCTGTGAAGTTTGGTGTCAAAGTGTCTCTAATGTCTCTTACATGGCAGTTTTAGACGGTGCAGTGAAGCGTTGATAATTGCAGCCTTGTAACAATCGATTAGCGACTTTCCAGCGGCTCATTTTTTTGGGAGTAGTCCTTCCAGCCAGGAAACGAAGCTGTCCTCCAGCCAGTGAATTTTACTTTAAGACAAAGCCGTCGGTATCACAGGTTTCACAGCAAGCTTCCCTCCTTAAAAAGCTGCCTGCAAGATGCTTTGTAATGTTTGTTTTGCACAGAGTCACATTAATTATGCATTAGTTTTATCGTTAGAGGACTGAGGACTGCTGTTTTCCTCACCTTTAGGCAGTAGAGATAGTTCAGTAACTCCCAATTAGAGCCTCTTTTTAGATAAATCAACTTCAGATTGCAGTCATCCGTTATAATTGGAAACTATGACCTTTGTGGGCTTCAGTACGCAAAGAGTTTTCTCTTCTCCCCATGGCTCTGCCTTTGTGTCATTATGTTGTTGTAATTAAAAGCCATATTTGTGCTATTATATTGTACTCTGCAGATTTTACAGGGAGTTGTTGGGAGTGCCTCTGAGGCGTAGGAGAGCTCTGTATGTATAAATCGGGATGCGTTGACGGTCTTGTTTCGGTTTTAGGAGCCTCGGGCAGTTCTGCCTCCAGGTTGCCTACTAGCCTCGCCTCAGGGTGGTGTTTGTGTGGTAGGGCATCTGGGCAAAAAAGGAACATGGAGTTTCTCTTGTGGAAGTGGGCCTCTGTTGGCACTTTGGTAGGTGTGTTTCAAAGCTGTTTTTTTCCTGTCTAGATCTTTGTCTTGATCTAGAGTAGACTGAGTCATCTCTTCAGGTAAACAGGATATGAAAGCTTTATCCGCATTTCTCTGCTAAAATAGCCCCCTTTAATGAGCTGTATCTCATTTTCTTCCCTCTGGATAAGATTGAAGTTTTCTCCACTGAAAGCACAGCATAAATAACACATTATTTCATGTTTTCCCCTAAACCTGCTCTCTGAGGGGCACTTTTTTCCCCCATTTATCATTCTGACTACGACATCTAGACTTTACTCATTTAGTTTTCTCCACTAGACACCTTTCCCCCACTGTTTTTTTGGGAGGTTATAAAATGCTTCATCACATTTTCTCCACTAAACTTTGACTCTAGGGGGCAGAATCAAGGTGCTTTACATTGTTTCCTGACTGAAAGTGCACCATTGATTGCACACTGCCTCATTTTCTCCACCAGATTTGCACACTCATGGCTGTAATGTTATTGTTTTCTCCACTGAACGTGCACGTAAGATCCCGATTTGATCCCATTTCTCTAATAAACAAAGAGACACTCTTATTGCATTATTTTCTGGCAGTCTTGTCAGGGGGTTGCTATGCATTTTCTCCACTTAGAGGACACCCTGTAGCCCACCGTTAATTGCATTTTCTCCGAAAAATGTGCACCATAGAAGGCGTTTTCTTCCCTTTTTTTCTGACACCTCCATTTAATGCATAATTGACGATCGTTTTCTCTCAAGTTATCCCCTTTTCCCTAATAAATGCATTACTTCAGGAGGCAGTTTATTCCAAGTTCTTCCTCTGGGGCCCTTTTTTATAATGCTTTCTCCACTGGAAGTGCACCATAGATGCTCTTATTCATATTTCGTTAATAAACGTGCACATTAAAGGGGGAATTATCATATTTTTTTAGGAGAGTCATATCCTGTTTCCTTCTTCCTGTACTTCCAGGAGGTGTTGCTGTGTTGTTGGAATAATGGGGATACACTGGAGCAGATGGGGATGTTCACTGACAGTATGAGAGGCTGTATGTCATGGTGTCGTCTTCTGAGGTGTGGAGAATTAATGTGTCTGCCACCGAAGCTGAACCAATCTCTTTTCCTCACTCGTTGTCCCCTCCCTCTGCTTCTGTCTCAATCACTGTCAGTCACACTAACACACACACACACACACCAGCTCACCTCTGCTCTATACTGGGGGGTCATGTGTCAGAGGATGTGCGATTTGCTCAACAGCTTGTGAATGTATTTCTCCTGCGTGTGAAAACTTGACCAGCTGGGCCACACTCGGCTCAGTCTGCCGCTGTCCCCTCTCTCCGGTTTGCCTCGCTCTCCCACAGGACGTGTTCTATTTTTACGCAGCCTATTTCTTTTAATAAATTCTCTTTTAGGTTTCTGAAGCTCTTGCCAGCATCGATTCTTGTACGACTGTAAAAACGCAGGGATTAGGGAGCGCTTGAACACTTGAAAGTTTGTGCAAAAGATTTAGTATCTGGCGTGTCAGTGGAGACAATCTTGGAACACCTATTAGGTCTTTTGTTCCTGTTGTTCTGTGGTGTTATGCTAATTGAATGTAATTAAAGCGAACCGTAGGCCTTTTTCTGGAGCTGCATCTGTAAACAGACTTCAAAGATGTGAATTAATTACACTGATGCTCGCTTAAACCAAATCTCAGATTACACTGCAGCTTTTTCTTTAATTCAAGAGTGTTGCTGTCTTTGATGAATGTTGTTTTTTTTTTTGACTTATTAAAGTTGTTTCGGGTTTGAAATTGTCCAGAACATCCTTAAAATTAATGTCAAACTTGATGCGCAGAAAAGTTTTGCATGCTCACCGGTTCACATTGCTGCTTCTTACACACACGCACCCATTGTGCTGACCTGCCTATAGAAATCCACTGGGGCTCCCCTCTCTTCTCCACTTCTCTCCTCTCTCACTTACTCCTCTGTTCATCTCATTCTTTCCTTCCTCCTTCCACCGAGGGAAGAGAGGATTTGTCACTCACTGGTTTTCGCCGCAGAGTGATGGATGACTCTTTGACAGGGATTATCCTTCAACTTTGACCCTCCGATGAAACATGGGGACAAAAGACGAGGGCTGCCCCGAGCGTGGAGTTGGAGAACGGCTGATGATCGTGCCTGAAGTTTCCCTGGAGGTGTGGAGGGACGTGAAACTTCTCCACTCTTACAGTTTGCTCCCTCCCTCTCTTTTCGTCTTTCTTTTTCTTCACCGGGCTGCTTTACGAGGCTCCAGTGAGCGTTTTTGAGATCCAGGACACCTTCCTTTTTTTTTCTCCTCTGCCTTTCTTCGTGCACGGGAGTTTGTTTGTTCAAACTAGATGGGGACTCACCGAGATAGAAGAGAAGCATTTGTGTTGCTTAACTGAGCTCAGACACCTCGTCACAGCCCCCCCAAAAGCCATGGGAAGGGATAGGAGCCTTTCCAGACACTTTCGGTAGGGAACTTTTCCTTTCATCATCTCAGCGCTGCGCTCTGTGCGTTGCGTTGTTTGTGTCGACTGATGCTGCTGAGACGTTGTTGTGCATCTGCCATTAGTTTGTTTGTTCTCAAAGTTTGTTCTGATGTTTTCCACATTTTTTGTCAGCATGCAAAATACAAAAATCTCTCCTGTCTGTATTTGAGTGTTTGGGAGCGTGATGAGAAAACCGATTTTTGAAACATCTCTCCTGCTGATGCTTCTGTCTTGTTAATTTCAGGCTTCCTAACCATTTTCCCCACTTTGTGATTGAACCTTAAGTGTTTTCAGCGTCCCTCCCTTTTTTGCGTGTTGGTTGTTGTCCCGCTTGTCAAACAGTCCGATCAGAAGTGGGTCTGATAATGAGTTTCCCAGCTGATTGCAATTGTCATTCATCCCTCTGTGAGCTGCGTCCCTGATCCATTCCTCCGTTAGACCTAATTATAGGCTCCTTTCGCCCTCATTGTAATTGAGGGCATCCCGAGGCCTACATCCAACTTCAGTTGAGGAAAGCTGTGAAGTTTTCTAACACTTGCTCTGGCCAGGTGACAAGATTCGACCAGAGGAAGAAGACCTCAGCCGGAAGTCCATGCAAGCTGAAGGTGTTGTTATGAGTGTCATGAATGCTCAATAAATGTCACCATTCTGGAGAGTTAGAGGAACCACGGGGATGTATGAGTACTGCATGGGAAAGTTCTGTGGCCTACATAGCCTGTGAGTGAGACTAAACTGCTTCATTCTCAGCAGCTTCATGACCCTGGCCTAGAAAGAGCTCCACTTCTCCACTCTCTCTCTCTCTCTCTCTCTCTCTCTCTCTCTCTCTCTCTCTCTCTCTCTCTCTCTCTCTCTCTCTCTCTCTCTCTCTCTCTCTCTCTCTCTCTCTCTCTCTCTCTCTCTCTCTCTCTCTCTCTCTCTCTCTCTCTCTCTCTCTCTCTCTCTCTCTCTCTCTTATTTCAGATTTGTTTTACTTGTATCCACATTTGCTTTTCCTTACTCCATATCATCACTTCTGACAACTCGCCAGCCTGTTGGGCGATATTGCCTCAAAACAGTTGGATATATTGATCAGTTCATCTCGATAACATTAATGGACGATAACTACTTTTGAACTGTCCTCCATCTCCTCATCTGTCTTTCCCTCTTTGTTACGGACTGGATGGGGTGGAGTCATGTCTCTGACGTAGGACAGCGTCTTAAAGGGACATGAGACCATAGCCGACCTACACACATCCAAAACCAACTTTTATTTATTGATTTGTATGACACAGATATGGGAAAAATGACGTCGGTTATTGTCACAAATTTTGGTATCGGTAAATTTTCGGTTTATCTCCCAGCCTTACTGTCGGTGCATCTTCATTAACTTCATTTTTCTTCCTCTGTCACTCCTCTACCTCTCTATCCTGGATGGATTCCTTACTTCCTCACACTGTTGACATTTTAAATCTCTAAATGTTGTTGTCGTAAATCCACTTTCTGTGAAAAACCAAGTCTCTAGATAGCCGAGCTTCAAAGATGAGCATGTTGCCGCCTCTGGGGGAAGTGTTTGATTTTTGTTGCATGAATACATCCTGCACTTACTCACAGTCACCTACATAAACTGTTTGCTTTCAGCCTCATTAATATGGATGCCTTCATTCAAGCAGATGCGGAGGTTCTTACAAAAGTCCTTATCTTTCAAATGATGCCAAAACTCGGTGACCAGGGTTACATGCACTCGCACAGTTTTATGCTCAGATGCTCATTCGTCTTTCTCCACCAGACGCATAAATATATTCATAAACAGCTGGACCAAAGTGACACAGTTTTGAGAATCTCTGCAGCTTGAGGAAAAGGAAGAAACCCAGAGTTTAAGTTTATGAAACACTGACTCTTTGACTTTAATTTCCCTCCTTTCTTTACACATGAATTATCTTCTGTTTAGTGTTTTTGTTTTACAGTAATACAAGGACATGCGCGCGTCGTATTTTCACCATACAGGACGAAGAATCAAGTTAAGATTTGTTCATCACTGTCTTTATTATGGTATTGAAGAAACAAAAGGGGACCCAGTGTTGATCCCTGTGGAATGCCATTTAACAAACTAATGCTGATCTATGCAGCTGCCCAGTTCTTTCAAACTGAGGTCAAATGCATCCAAATTGCAGCATGTGGTAATTTCTGGAGAGGGGCTTGAGTTTCCAACTTCCAATTTAGAGACGACTTATTTTACCTCTGAGCCAGAGCCGCCCGAATGCATCAAGTATTTAGAAAGAAACGTCAGTGAAATGCTTTGTGCAGCAAAAACAGTGTTACCAGAAAATGAGAACACTTAGGAATAGAGAGAGAGCAGAGTTTCATATGTGAAGCTGTTGAATTGTTGTTATATACTGTGCGGGAAACCCTGTCAATTTTCTGTTTCTCCCGAAAGAAAAGATCACGTTGCACAGATCTCTTCAGAGTCTAATTAGTGCAGTTTTTCTCTGCAGAGAGTGCAGAAAGTAGGTCTTGAGTTAAGGCTGCGGTTATACCTTATTAAATTTGTCCATGCTGAACTTCTGTAAATCTGTTTTTAATCACATCTTTAATGGTGTTTCTGACTGCGTTATTGGATTTTTAGGGGATTTAGCCTTTTGTTGTTGTTGCTGCAGAGTTCGTATACTAAAACACACACAAACACACACAAACACACACACACACACACACACTGTGAGTCAGCAGTTAACTCAGGGTTCCCGTAATGTGACTATGATGTGTGTAAATGACTCCACTGGATGGCAAGCTGCTGCAGACTGAAGACAAAACTCTGCTGCTGTAAACGCCGTCCAAGCATGTTTGGCTTCAGCTGGACAACATTTACCGACCTATGGAATGCAAGGAAGAGTTCAAAGGTCATGTGAGGGTCCAAAGTTCAAGTCGTATGTTGAATAACAAACTAGTTTAATAACCAGACCAACTTTACAGGAGCTCAAAATGTGTCTTCATGAATATTTCCATGACATGTTTCTTTTTTTGGAGTGACTGTTTGCTTGCAAAAGTTTGCAAACTATTGAGTCAGAATGTTGTTAAAATGAAAAAATAAGAGTGTTCACTTCTCCAGACTGAGAAATATTAGAGGCAGCTCGGCTCATGCATCACTCCTAATTCAAACCCAATAGTCAGTCTTGGTTTTTGCGAAACTACCTAGCAAAGAATCATCTAAGCGTCGCTCCCTAACAACGCTCCCAAATGTGCCTGCAAAGAGAGTGCGACACCTTTGAAATAAAAACCACACAGCCGAGCCTTATCCTCAACAGTCGCGTTTGAGTAAGGAGTTGTGCTGTGCATCTGGATGTACGCTGGAGCTGCTGCTTTTGCACTCGGAGAAAAAACAAAAGCGCTCTTTTCTCCTCTGCACAGTGGAAGCACCCTGGAGATTCATGTCGCAGACAGAGATTGAGGGAGGCTTGCATTGAGGATGGTGGCAGCTACGTTTTGAAGGTGGGAAGGGAAGATAAGCAAGAGAGAAAAGGGACAAATGAGCCGGTGTGTGCACGGGTGCGAGATGGGAGTTTGCCCGTTTATGTGTGTGTGCAGAATCACAGATTAAAGGAGGGGAAACAGGGAGTGGTGTCCTATATATTAAAAGAGAAAACACTTCTCAAAACATAGTTAACGGCAGTGTGTCATCCATTACTGGGTCAGCTGTTGTTATGTAATGTAATTTTCTTGTTCTTGCAGATAATTGGGCAAATATGGCAGACAGCGCAGATACAAGGATGCTAAATGGGAGTAGATGTCTCAAGTGTTCAAGAATATCAAAGTAAGATGTCAGATTTGAGTGCAAACAAAGATGCAGCTTTCCCTTTCACTCCAAGAATGCGTCTCAAGACTTTAATGCAAAATTTAAACAACATGTCGTCTCCCTTTAGTCTTCGTATACAGCAGCTTGCACAGAACGGGGTGCGCATTGTTCGGAAAACCACCCCTGCATGTTAGAAATTGATTTCTAAAAACTTGTGTTTCTCTTGTAGGCAGAAAAAGACATTAGCAGTTGATGATGGGAGGGGAAAACAACACGAGTAAGGGGGAGTGGAGCTCTTTCTCCCAGAGGTGGCTCCTTCTCCTTTTTCACATATTAGCTGTGAGCTGTCACTGATGCTGAACACTCTTACCTGCAGCTGTGAATGTGATAGGACCACACAGACGCAGCTTCTCTCTAACACACACACACATGCACACACCAACTCATGGATCCACCTGTCTCAGCCCTCCCATGAGATGATATGGACTGCACTATTTTTGAGCCAATTAAGTGGAACCAGGAGCTGGGACCAAATCCAGAACAAGAATCCCTCTGTTTTCTTTTTTTGTATACTCTGGACTATGCAAGCTTTGAGGGATTAGGATATGGAGAGTTTAGGATTTGGTCTGGATTCTGGGTGAAATGCCTCTCATGTGATCTTCTTGTTTGTTTTAGTCAAGCTTTCATGTGTTGCTCTGATGTAAAGAAGCAGACTTAGTCCTGGTTTTCCTCCCCTCCTGAGCTCCATCTTCTCTGAGGTTGTCTCTGATCCCACAATGTTTGTCAGGATCTTCATCCCCAAGAAGCACCGGGAGCGTTTTGACGAGGTGGTCTCCCAGAGCCTGATGAGCAGGATCAAAGGGCGGAGCTTCAGCGACCCCAGCCGCAGCCACCTCCGCCGCAGCAGGAGCGAGGACCACCCTGAGCGCCTCCTGGTCTCCACCCGAGCCAGTTCAGTGCCACGCACCCACGCGGAGGAGGGTGGGGCCCCTCCTGCACGCGGCATGCGCAAGACCACCTCGCTCATAGCTGGGCACTCCAGCGGCAACACCACCAACTGCAGGTCTGTACCGACACTTCAACAGTACAAATAACTCTTATTCCAGTTTGCATGTTTGTAAGTTTTTAAAACAAACTCCTCCCTTAAATAATATCTCCTCTCTTCTTGTGTCTGAACAAATTACAGGAACTCCCTCAGCAGGTAATCCTGTGTAAGCGTGGTGTTAATGTGAATTCAGATGAGCATGCGCTGAATAAAAAATAGACCCTCTGGTTCAAAAGTGTAAACTTCTCTAGACACTTCCTCCACATGCCGTCGTGTTGACATCCGCCACATCTCGAGGAATTAACGACAGTCTCTGTGTTAAAATGACTAAAACACACACGATCATTTACATCCCTCTGAGTTGTTGTGATAATCTGCCTTGAGAGACCGCCGGTTTCCTCTGTGGCTCTGCCTTGTGAGGATGTTATATGGCTCCCCTGGGATGCACTGTCCATATTTAAGCAGGGTTGTTAATGCAGGATGTGAATCTAAAGCAGTCGGCCGAATATAGAAATCTGCAGGAAGGCTGCAGTTTGACTTCTGTCAGGATGAGCAGAGGAACCTTAGAATAGATCACCTTTACAACAACAACAACAACAACAGTGTGCAGCAAATTCAACTATCAAGCACAGCTCTAATTGAAAAAGGTTAGAATGCTGAATTATTTAAAGCCTGCACATTAATTAGGAAAAAGCTGCAACAGGGTCATCTGTGCTGTCATCAGCTGTTTGAAAGTTCAGGGTGTTCTTCGAGGTACTTTATGCTTCATTCATGATGAGCCACATTTCTTTAATTGGTGACAAACTGGGACTGCAGGCAGGCCAGTTCAGCACTCTTCTACTACAGAGCCATGCTGCTGTAATACCTGCAGAATGTGAGATAATTAAGCTCTACCCTGAAAATCACTGTCTGGATGGCAGCATATGTTTTTGTTTTAACCTGTATTAATGGATACAGAGACAAACTGTTCACAGACAGTGGTTTATGTTAGTGGTTTTAAGCTCATGCAGTGATTTCCAATACAGAGTCATGTCTATTTCTGATGCGGAGCAGCCTTTATCTAGTATTGGTTTTGGGCTTTGTCCCTTTTGCAGAGGGATATCTCCCAATTCTCTGAATCTTTTAATGATATCATCTAATGTAGATGTTGAGCGCCCCAAGTTATTTGTAATTCTATGCTCAGTATCATTTTTTGGAAATTGTTAAACTATTAGCTCACACAGTTTCTCACTGAATAATCCTTTTTTCTATCTTTACAAGAGAGAGAGGACACTCCAGAGAGACTCATGCAGAAATTCAAAATATGGCCTGACTTAGTTAAGATGGATACTGTAAAGCTTGTATTTATCTCTTCAGGACGGTGAGAGTGTGTAAGGGTAACATGAGCTTTGGCTTCACTCTCAGAGGCCACGCTCCGGTGTGGATCGACTCTGTCATCCCTGGTGAGTTAAAAGAAATACAAGTGTGTTTCCCCTTTTATGTCATCTGTTGTCTGATTCAACCTTTTAACAGAGAAAGAGTTTGTGTTTGTGTCAGTGCGGGTTATTCTGAAGGAAACGAGTGTGAGATTTTGTTAATGTTACACTAGTGTGTAAATGATTAAGCTGTTATATGAGCTATTACAGCTTACATGCCACATTATGATGTTTTTACTTTTAACCAAAGAAAAACAGACCATGAAACATCTTTAATGTCTCCTTCTCTCACATTTATTTTCTGTTCTGTAGGAAGTCCTGCAGACAAAGCCGGTCTGAAACCAGGAGACCGGATCCTGTTCCTCAATGGACTAGACATGAGGTTGAGTGTTGACTCATTAAATGACGATTTACATGAAAAAAGTGTCACTAGTACACTTTAGTAAATGTAATATGAGTGTGTCTAACTTCTGCAGGACTTCCTCCCACGAGAAGGTGGTGTCCATGCTCCAGGGCAGCGGCGCCATGCCCACTCTGGTAGTCGAGGACGGTCCACCTTCTTTCACCATGTCGGAGCAGGACCTCGCAGGAGGCGGCATTCCCACTGAACGCGCCCGCTCCCCTGCGCTCAGCTCCCTGCAGTGGGTGGCGGAGATCCTGCCCCCCAGTATCCGGGTGCAGGGCCGCACCTTTGGTCAGCAGCTGGAGCACCTGCTGACCATCCAGGAGAGGTACACCATCTGCAAGGCTCTGGAGAACTTCTTCCAGCACAGGTGAGTAAAGTGACAAGATGGAAATGCGCTCTTAGAATTACAAAGTCTGTTTGCAGCTTTGTCTTTAGTTTAGTTTTTAAGTGAAACAGACACAAGGAATCCAAGTTCAGAAATTCTGTCCTTCCTCAGTTCACTGACTACATAGAAAAATGGAGCCGCCTGCAGCACCACAGTTCTTGCAGGTTTGCTAAGCTGAAACATAAAAACACAAAGAACTTCAAAAAACAATTCCAGGCTGTTTTTAAACTTTATACTTTATTCAGAGAGACAAAGAAAAGCCTCTAAATCCAAGTTTCTCCTTGTACAGTGAATGTCATGAGCAGAGGGGGTGTGGTTTAAACAATTATTGGTTACTCATGGTCACAAATTCAGGCAGAATAAATCTATTCCTACATTTACGGTAACAAAAAGAGTCACTCCAGAGTTGTGACAGATTTTGAAATCAAGAGACTGATTGGTTGAGCTGAATTAACATCTTTTATTTACCATAATGCAACTACTTTTATAGTTTCATCAGATCCTTAATGACGCTAAAGACGCTTGTAACTCATTCAGGCTTTTAAAAACAGCTGATCAAACAGCTGATCTGTGAGGAACTTCCATCTGTTGATTTTTGTGACAGTAGAGTTTTTCTAGGAATAAGACTGCATTTCCCATGAGCACTTCTGCCATGCACAGGTGGCCCTAGTGCATGCTGAACTAATGCAAATATAGACACAGTTTGGACATGACCAAGCAAACTGCCCTGGTTGTGGAGTTTCTTTGTCGAACAATTACATCTTTTCACAAATCAAGCTCAAGTTTCTGGAATAATAATAAAACACAAAGTATCTTATTGAAGAAAAATAGTCCTGCTTACTTACTTCCTTTACCAGCAAAGCCGAATCCGATCTTGGTGCTTGAATCCTCATTTCCCTCCGAAGGTCATGAAGAGGCATCAGTATAAGAGTGATTTCAAAATCAAATCTACTCACTCTGCCTTTAATATCATGATTTAAATGTTCCAAAAAGACAATCATACTTGGCTAAAGTTCTCAAAAGTTGTCTTCTGGGTTCAAAGATTTGAATCACCATGACCTGGATGAGTGCAAATCCTCACAGACTTGCTGACATGATCTGGGTTATTTTCGTTTGACAGCTCCAAATGAGACATTGACATAGTTCTTGACATTTCACAGTTTTTACCCCTGGTGATAATAAGTTCACTCGCTTTATGTGCGCAGTCATTAGTGCATCTGTCACTTAAACTCTGTTTCCTCTGCAACAGAAACGTGGACACTCTGATCGTGGATGTGTTCCCGGTTCTGGACACTCCAGCCAAACAGGTGATCTGGCAGTTTGTTTACCAGCTGCTGACGTACGAGGAGCAGGAACACTGCCAGAGCAAAATCTCACGCTTTCTCGGATTTAAAGCCCCAGGTGCGTGCACACCTTTGAATGCGTCCGGTGCATGTTCCCTCTGAGGTGTACCTGTGAGTGAATGTGAAGAGGTGTGTGTGTGAGATGAAAACTGTCATGGGGATCGCTAGTTCAGGTCAACGTAGGTGTTAGAGCCCTTCATATACACCTTTGCATTGCCGATGTGTGTGTGTGTGTGTTCCAGTTCCACCACCACCACCTCCTCCTCCCCCTCCTCCAGAGCCTGAGGTGGCCCCCGAGCCCCATCGGCGTAGCAGCTCCATGAGGGTGACAGGGACCACGTACAGGAGCAGTGTGAGGGGACGTAGCTCTGATGATCTGGTCATTGGAACACACTTGGGCATGGGTACAGACTTTCATGAAAGTCATTACCATCAGTAGGATAAGAAACGCTAAGACCGCCATGACACTTTTGATCATCATCACCATCATCATTACTGAGCCTGAAGCCTTCATATTGTTCTCAGTGTGATCTCTAAAACAGTTTAACATGCGGCTCTTTAGCTAAAGTCGCCGGGTTGGTTGCTAAGTTGATGCCATTGATAATTCTCACATTGGGGCCATTTTCCCTTGACATGCTCACGGTGGAAAACGTAAGTTCTTCCTTAGTTATCATTCTGTACGATAAGTTTAAAGTCCCACTCCGATCGTTTTTACTACTTAAAGTGTTCTCAGTGGTCTTTAAATTGTGATTATTTTGTTTTTTTAGCCAAAATCGTGTTACCTGTGTCGATTTTAAAGACTTTTCTTCAGCAGAGCTCCAGTAGCTCATTAGCAATTCGCCTCTGAGTTGTGGACAGAGACAGTGCTGTTCCGCACCCTCCTCTTCGCGCTAGCTTGTAGCCTTACATTGCCGGTGTAGTAGAAGAAGCAGGTAACATAGGAGTTTTTCAGCTCTTGGACACTAATGTCTTAGGGACATGATAAAAGTTAATATCATAATTAGCTTTCTTCAAGCATTGCAATCCGCTAATGCACACGCTTGTTCTGCGACCGTCCTCTCTATTTCTCCAAGTCTGGCCTTCATAGCGGGGCTCCGGGGGCGGAGCTTGGATTTGTGATGTATGAACTCTAACTGTATCTGAACCTGCTGTTTGGGTCTGCCAGAGATTCACAGCAGTTTGGATGCAGAAATACTCATAAACGCAATTTCGCTCTTATTTTTCTCATGATATGTCCTGTAGCATCAGAAAAATGCCACATGAACATGAAAGAACAAGAAGAAAAACGTGATTTTCATCGGAGTGGGTCTTTAAAATCACATTGGAACGTCTGAAAATTACATTTTGTCAGATGATGGAAAAAACATTGTAGTAAACACACCACATCCATGTGTGAACTCATTTCCTAAAGCCTGAACTCTTCCAGCTTCACTGTATCCTTGACCACACTTCACCCAGACAAAGATCCAAGAACCAAGCCCATCATGGTGACCACACATGGGCCAGAGCCTTCCCTTTGGAACACACAGCTTGTCATGTCTCAGTCGTACTAACAAGTATATCATCATAGGCCTCCGTTCAGAGCCAGTGCTGGAGGTAGGGATGAGGTTGGCTCCAGGAGAGAGGCAGTCAGGCGATGGTACCTCTCTTCCAGAGACTCCTAACAACCTCACCAATGTAGGTACCAAAGCCCGTCCTCGTAGAACACAATGCAGTGATGAAGGTGTGAAATCTTACTCTGGTTTCCCTCTGTGTTTCCTTCATACAAGCTCTCAGCAGTGTACGCTGAACTGGAAAACATGTATTCAACCAAGAGGTCCAAGTCCCTGAAGAGCCGCCCTCCTCCTGCCCCGGAGAGTTTGTTAGATCTGGAGCCCCCGTCGCACACGTCCTCCCCTACGATGCATGCGAACACAGGTAGCTGGTAGTTTATATCTATTCTTATCATCTAGAAATACAGTTAAGACACACAGCATATAAAAAAACTACCTGACTCATCTGCTGTTTGCTTGTAAGTGTGTGTATGTGTGTGTATTAGTGTGTGTGTGTGTAATGATGTAAGAGAGGGAGGATAACAACATGTTCAGAAAGTACTGCAGTGCAAAAATGATAAATCCCAAGGTAGCAGACCCATTTCTGCCTCGACTGAATATCCTTGAGATTTGCATTAACTGGATTTTTTCCTCATTTATGCTATACTTAAATATACAGCACAGCTAAGTCTCAGAATAAACCCACGGCTGTATATCTTTTTTTTCTGGATCTTACTTTAAGTTGAACTTTGCAGCATATCATCAAATTAAGACGTCCATTTAAGATCTACTGACCTCTTGATACGAAACTTCTCATTCATTCTTTAAAAGCTGATTTAATTGCAGGATGGCTTCTCCGTCATCAAAAAAGACTTATTTTCTCTCCAATTAGGGATGCAGCTTGCACAGATAAGAGTTAAGTCTGTGTGCTGAATCCTCCTCAAAGTAAATACCAAACTTAGGGCATGCAGACTGAAACCCTGAACCTCTCCGGGAGGATCTGGCGATGGTGGAATTAAAAAAGACGCTGTTAAAAATGTGTTTTCTGCAGAGGGATGCTTTGATCATATTCTGATAAATTCCACTTCCGCATACATGATATTTTAGATTTAATTGGTGAAATCTGGTGCAACATTGGCACTCTCATCTGAGACTAAATGTTGATTGTGTTTGTTTTGGAGCCAGAAGAGCACACACATGCAGTTTTAGGTCACCAAGAATGATGCCGCATACATACATCTATAAGTATCTAACTCCATACTGTACATCTCAGGTAGCCGTAAAGGCGCCCCACTGCCCACATCCTGGCCGGAACCTCTCCCGAGTCCCCCTGCGACCCAGTTCTATTCTTCAGGCCTGACCAGCCAGACCAGTGGGGATTCCAACCCTTACATCAGCCTGGACAGTCCCCCTCCATCGCCAGAGCCCCCCGACTACCCTTCAAGCCCCCCCACGCATCGTAGCAGCAAGCGGCGCTACACCTTCTCCAAACCGCCACGCTCGGAGGACACAGATCGGTTCCTGGATGCGCTGAGTGAGCAGCTGGGACAGAGAGTGGCCATCGTTGACGACTTCCTGACCCCTGAGAATGACTACGAGGAGGTAGAATCACAGCTGAGCTAAACCAGGAAGATGCATAAAATAGCGTTGAAGCCCTGTTGATAAAAGAAAGATTATCAATCACCTGTTTCTGGTTTCCATTCAGTTAATAAATGTGCAAAATTGGATGTTAATAGTTCTCAAATTATGTAACACTATAAATCATTAAAGTTTTCCTCGAGCATGCCTCATCCTGATTACATAACGATTCCGTAACAGCCGGATATCTGATCTGAATTGAAAATGAAGCATCCCCTCTTTATTGGTTTCTTGGTTGATTACAGGTCTATATTAAATTATACAGGTGTATATGAATTAAACACCATAGGAGAAATGCTGTGATATGGAAGCGGAGAAACAACATTGCATTGTAGAGAGGAATCACTGCTGTGTTTTATTCTGTGCAATGACAATTAAGAAAGTCTAAGTCTAAGTTATGTATACGTCACAATCCCAGGATTTGATATTTTAACATTTTTGTAGCTTTTACGAAGAAATAAAGTCTAGAAATCAAGTGGAACCAGCCCACACAATAATAACTACAATTTGATTAAATCACCCAGATTTACAAGTAGAGCAAAATAATTTTAAGTCTCGTTTTGACATTATAGCTAATAAAGTGTACTTGGTGTTGATGCCAGGATATTGTGCAGATGGGTTTCCCGGATGAGGAGGACGAGGATAATGAGGAAGACTTGGGGGTCGACGAAGAGGAGAATGGAGGTTTTGTGGCTCCAGAGCTCAGCAGCCCCAGTGATGTTCAAAGCAGCAGCGGCGAAGAGAATGCCTCCTCCCTCACCTACTCTTCCTCCTCTGACCATATCCCTCCACCACCAATGACCCCTCCACCGCCTCCGCCCGTACAGTTCAATGACCCGCCTCCTCCTCCTCCTCCTCCTCCACCGGCACCTGCACAGCCTCAGCAGCAACAACAGCAGCAGCAGCAGCAAAACCTCAACTTCACCCCGGAACATTCCCCGAGAGCTTATGTTCCCATTCGCCGCAAATCTGGTCCTCCTCCCCCACCTCCTCCTCGCAGCAATCCACCACCTAAACGCCACTCCTTACACAAGGTATTGCCTACCAGAGAAGACCTTCAAGTCCATGCTACCATACAAGAGCTGAAAGCCTACCAAGAACAACAGGCTTACCAGGATAGACAAGCATATGAGGAGCAACAAGCATATAAGGAGAGGCAGGCGTATGAAGAGCAGAAAGCCTTTGAGGAACAACAACTGTTCCAAGAGCAGCAGACTTTCCAGGAACAACAGGCCTATCAGGAGAAGATTTTCAAAGAAAGACAGGCCTATGAGGAGCAGAAGGCCTACGAAGAGCAGAAAGCTTTCGAAGAGCAACAACTGTACCAGGAGCAACAAGCTTTTCAAGAAAGACAAGCGTACGAACAGCGCCAAGCCTACCAAGAACAAAAGGCGTATGAGCAGCGCCAAGCTTACAAGGAGCAAAAAGCATTTGAGGAGCTTCAGGCCTATCAGGAGCAAAAAGCTTACGAGGAGCGTAAAGCGTACGAGGAGCGCCAAGCCTACGAGGAGCAGCAGGCTTACCAAGAGCAGCAAATGCAACAGATGTACCAGAGTCACCACTCGATGCCTACACAGCCAACGCAGCAGAAAGCTCACTCACCATTGCCGCTACAACAACTCCACCAATCCTTACCCCCCTTACCATCCCCAGACTCCAACCACCAACACCCTGGCCATCCTCTGTTGATGATGCGCCAAGCACAGCATCAACAATCCCACCAGAGCCATCACCATCGACGCCAGTCCCGTTCTGCCCCATCCCCGCACCAACCATCGCCGCAACCGACATCTCATCCCAACCAACAAGTTCAATATGCTGAAGGCATCTACCAAAGCCATCAGGGGATGAGATCCCAGCCCCACCACTCTTCTGCGGAGGTGCTCCACCAGATGCACCAAGCCCCAGTCCACCATTCCTCTGCTGAGATGCTGCATCAGTTGCAACAATCCCAGGGCCTCCACTCATCTGCTGAGTTGCTCCAGCAGATGCAACAGGTACATTCCCATTACTCATCAACAGAAATGCTCAACCAGTTGCACAAAGCAAAGGCCCATCATTCTTCAACAGAGCTTCTGCAGCAAGCTCACCAGATGCAGCAAATGCAGCCCCACCACTCCTCAACTGAACTCCTCCATCAGGCCCACCAGATGCATCGAGGACAACCGCACCATTCCTCCACTGAGCTGCTCCATCAAATGCATAAACCTCAGGCCCACTATGCCTCCACCGAGTTGCTCCATCAAGCCCATCAGATACACCAACCTAAGCCCCATCACTCCTCCACGGAGCTCCTGCATCAAGTCCAACAAGAGCCGGCCTCCCTCCCAGGTCAGCTTACCCGGGACGGCCACTCCCATCAGAGTCGGAGAAGTCTGAAAAGCCAACATCAGTCCCAGCAAGGAAGACACCAAGAGCAGCAGATCCACCAAACCCATCACCCCCAGCCCACAAAGCCCTCTCCTCAAAGACCGCACTCCATCCAGCAGACGCACCACCATTCCAGCACCCCTCAGATCCACCATATCCACCACATGACCCCGCAACCTCCTCCGCAGGACTACCAACACCAGATTCACGTCATCCACCCTCCTCAGCAGCCCCACAGACCTCAGCCCCTTCTCTCCACCTTTCAACCCCTCCAGCCACACCAGCCTACCCTCTCCACTTTCCAGCCTCTCCCCCAGCACCACCAATCCCAACATCAGGTCCAGTCCTCCACCCAAACCACCCGTCCACAGTCTCAGCCCTCACACCACATGCTGCAGTCAGTGCACCAACCGCCAGCTCAGCCCCACCAGAAGCAATCTCACAGCCAACCGCAGTCCCTGCCCCACTCTTTATCCGACCCAACAGAGCACATGGAGCCACCACCACCTCCACCCCTGCCCCCGCCCTGCTCCCCTCCACCACTACCCAGGCCGTCGCTCTCCAGGATGGACTCCAACCACATGAGTGTGAAGAGGCTGCGCTGGGAGCAGGTGGAGAACTCAGAGGGGACCATCTGGGGACAGGTGAGCTGAAATATTCTCGGTTTGAATCTCTAGATTAAAAATAAACATTCAGAAAATTTTATCAGTCAAGTGCTTTTTTTCTGCTTTTGGTAGCTGGGTGCAAATTCTGACTACGACAAACTGCACGACATGGTGAAGTATCTGGATCTGGAGCTGCACTTTGGGACACAGAAGAGCTCCAGTGAGTAGAAGTAGTCATCTCTAATCATCATATCATTAAGTTTAAACAGAAAGTTTGAACAGAAAGCTCAGTGACTCTAAAGTAAAAGCTGTTGACGCTTTCTCTCGCCAATTCTCCTCTACTTCTTTATCCTGCCAGAGATCACGTTTGTCTGCATCTATGTCAATCAGTCATCTTTTAAAAACCAAACAGTTAATGCTGAAATTCTTAAGAAAACGAGCTGCTAGACATAAACTAACATTACAGGAACGAAAATTTTTGCTGTTTCCTGAACTTTGACCAATGTTTATGATGTAATACTTCAGCTGGCCAGTAGGGGAGCTCTAAATCTTTTGGCTTCACAGTCAGTGAACACCTATGGCGTCTTTTTTAATATACAGTCCATTTCTTATTCACTAATGCCGGTACAATATTTTGATTTCACATTTTTAACACTTTCCCCATTTGAAGTGCCATTGCTGGAACCGCCTCCGCCAGAAACCTTCAAGAAGAAGGATGTGATTGAAATTCTGTCCCGTAAGAAAGCTTATAATGCCTGTAAGTATGAAATTACTGTGGATATATTTTATGTATTTTTAGTTTTCTCCTATTTAAAAAATCTAATCAAAAATCAGCTAATTGATATGAAAGATACTTTAATATGTGACCTTTAATATCCGAGCTTCAATTCGTGGTCACATTTTCTATCCTTTCCTAAGCCATCCTGATTGCCCACCTGAAGCTGTCTCCTGGGGAGCTCCGCCAGGTCCTGATGAACATGACAACTGACAGGCTGGAGCCGTCCCACATCAAACAGCTGCTGCTGTACGCCCCAGACGCAGAGGAGGTCAAAAAGTATGAAGAGTACAGACAGGACCCGAGCAAACTTAGCGAGCCCGACCAGTTTGTGTTGCAGGTACGGGGTAAAAAGTAACATCCACGGACCACCTGACAAATCTGTGTTTGTGGTTATAAATGCATGTTTTTTATGGGGGTTTTTTGTGTTTTCTTCATCAGATGTTGTCAGTACCGGAGTACAAGACCCGCCTGCAGAGCCTCCTCTTCAAATGCTCTCTGCAGGAGAAGACGGAGGAGCTGAGAGGAGCGTATGATTGTCTGTACAAGGCCTCAGTGGAGCTGAAGATGAGCAAGAAGCTGGCTAAAATACTGGAGGTAGTTTCCTGTTCAGTATCAGTTTATCATTAATTATTGTTTGAAATTAAATGATCAAACAATTGAAATGCTGCTTTATGTCTCCCTGTAGTTTGTGTTAGCGATGGGGAATTACCTGAACAACAGTCAGCCGAAAACCAACAAGACTACTGGCTTCAAGATCAACTTCCTGACAGAGGTACCTCACACAGAAATCGATGTTTGTTACTTGGAGAAATATTTGTACTATCATGTCTTCATTGTGTCATTTGCAGTTGAGCACGACTAAAACAGTGGACGGGAAATCAACCTTCCTGCACATTTTGGTCAAGTCGCTGTGTCAGCACTTTCCTGAAGTGTTGGACTTCTCCAAAGATTTGACTATGGTTCCTCCTGCCGCCAAAGGTCAAAACAGGCTTACATCTCAAAGTGTTTACGTTTCCTGTTCATGTTTTTGGTTTATTACTGATTTTAAGTATCCGCTTCTCCTTCCACTCCCGCTTAAAAACACAAATACAGTTAACCAGAGGACCATCACTTCAGATCTGAACGACCTCCAAACCACCATCCAGGAAATCCGCTCAGCCTGTCAGAAGATGCCTGCGACCTCCGAGGACCGTTTTGCAATCGTCATGAGTGTATCCTTCACAAAAAAATCATAATTATCCTGGTCTTTTATACATTTAAGAGTAAATTCTCTTGACTCCTGTATACGCAGAACTTCCTGGAAAACAGTCACCCAGCCCTTCAGTCTCTGGAGTCTCTGCAGCAGAGAGCGATGGAAGAATTCAGCAAAACAGCCTCTTTCTTTGGAGAAGACGGCAAATCCACCAACACTGAGGCTTTCTTTGGGATCTTTGCAGAGTTTATGGGCAAGTTTGAGGTGAGCCGGAGGGATTCGGTTTGACTCTTCTGAGAGCTAAAACTCTTTTCATCAAAAACACACGCCTGGTCTGATGCTTACTTCACTACTTTCTAGATTTTCAACTTTTCCTTCAATTTGCATTAAAACAAAGGGGCCTCGAAGTATTTCAAGTAATGAGCACTGACTGAGTTTCATTAAAGAGGATCTGATTGGTCGACTCAATTTTTTCCACGTCAATTTGCAGTCTAGGGTTAAATTCATCAGGAGGAATGTACCAAGTGCTAATAGGGGTGTTTTCAGAGCACCCCTGTTTCACACCTAACAGCCTGTCTCAGAACACCCCCCTTGTTTTCACCATTTTGGATTTGCCCAACCCACTGGAGACCGGCTGGACATTTGATTGTCCTCCACGTTAATCAAAATGCTGTGGTTTGCTGAATATAATATTTGTATTTAATTGCTTTCTTGTGTTGATATCAGTGTATTTTCACCCCGCTGAGCCGCGTCGTCCCCCACCGCAGAAGGGTTTGCTGTCAGAGTCGGAAAAATCGACCCCCGATTAGTCAATTTTTGGTCGAAAATTTCAGTGTTTTAGTCGATCAAGAATTTCTTTGGTTGATTACAGCCCTAGATGAGAGACATTCTACTGAACCCAGATGCCGTTATTGAGCTGCATAAGATCTGTACAAGCTACAATTCAGATTTATGCACTTTAAATATCAGGGTTGTTTCTGTCGCAGCCTTATCGGTTCAGTCAGGACTGTTTCACTCAAAGAGAGTCGCTTATTTTATGCAGTAAGTTAAATTTGTCCTGGCCCTTTCACAGTTGTACGCTGGATGCCAAAGCTTGAGGCGGGCCGACAAAATAGGCTAGGAGTTAAGTTTGACTTCACGACCTGTCTGAACTAGCACTACGCTCATTGCATCTGAATGTCACTCTCTTAAAACTGATTATTTTCACCTTTTCAGATTATATTCACCATTTTAAGATCATATTCATCCACATTAGTGATGACCCTCCTTATGTCTCTTCCTCAGAGAGTTCTCAGTGATCTGCAGGCTGCAGAAAACCCAAAGAGCCCAAGAAGTCCTCGAATGACCTCCCCGCTGGCCTGGTAACAAACAGCCACACATATATGAGGACGAACTTCTACTCTTTGAACACAAAGACGGACAGTGAAAACCAGGTGGTGTGGGATTTTCAGTCTAATTTTAGGAGGTTTATAAAGTTTTAAAGTCTAAAATGTCTTAGACTTAGAAGCAGCTGTGTTTGGTTGAAGGTTCCTTCACCATGCCACACATAGTTACTCATTAACATCCTTAAGGTTTAAGTTTTAAGAGTTCAGCTGTATTACAGATTAATGGTCTAATCTTTGATATACTATATATATAAATTTATATCCATTAATTAGATATAGATTTACAAAAACTCTCATAAAAGTAGGTATTTAATTAACAATATTTTGGCTGACTCCTCATGGACATATAATTTTGATTTCATGCAAAAAAAAAGTAAGCAAGGCCACATTAACGATGAAAGACTTTGGATTTTAAGACTTTGGATTTTAAGAATAACCACAGAAACCACAGAAGCTGTTTCCTATTTGTAAACATGAGCTTCCTTTGTGAGAGAACCGCCCACCACACTGAATGTAACATAACGTATTAACAGACTAAGTGTAGCTTATTTCCTCCGACGAATAGCTCCTTTGTTTCTCCTGCGGTATATTTATGCCTCGATGTAAGCAAACCTCCAAACACTGTCAGTTACATCTCTTTGTTCTATATTATAACGACCTTTTAGTGCTTTTAACGAGACGATGTAAGTGAAAGTTAGCACTGTTTTATAAAAGATCGTCCAAAGTCGTAAAAACTGTATTTTCAAGGAATCAGAGGTGGGATTATGTGGAGTCATCAGCGGGCAGTGTGCAATATGTGTGTGTGTGTGTTTGCTGCTGTCTAGACTTTTATCAGTAAAGTTTGTTGTGTACAGGAGGAGAGCTGCAAACAGACTCAGTTTACTTCATGTGTTGCACTTTTTCGTCTGTAAACGGACTGTGAAACGGCGCCGCAGAGAGGACGGCGATCGGAGCCTTTAATAACGTTGCTTCATGTGATGCTCTTGAACCTTTACAGCTTTGCTCCCTGATGGTCTTACTTTTTTTCCAGCTTATATTACAGAATGTAAACCTCTTAAGATTTGCTGTCCAGCTAACGCCTATAATGTATTAACTCTGTATTTTGTATCGTATCCTGATAATGCTGAAAACTATAAAGGTGGTATGATATCTGAAGTCGCCTGGATGTCTGTGTTCAGATTATTCATGTGTCTTTAATGAGAGAATACAGTATAACCGATCAGCGTTTGTGTGTTTACAACTGTTGCTCACACACACCTGACCATGATGACATGAGCTTATCTGCTCACCTGATAAGCGTTTATTTTCATGAGATAAGCCTGTTCGTTCTGGACAAACAAAAACACAAACAAATCTCCTTTTTTCACACGTTTGCTTTAATTTCACGTATTATTATTATCGATATATTTGCAGCTCATCTGTGACTCAGATTCACTCACAACTGTGTGAACAATCATTTAGCTCCTCTGTGTTGTGTAAACGCCCCCCCTCTGTTTAGAGTAATAAACCTCTTACATTTTAACCAGACTCTTGATGCGCACACACACACAGAAAAAGTGGAGTTTGATCCTAAAGCTTGAGGAGGAAGTTTCCAGAAATCTTCCTCCGGATGTTCTGTTATAACAACAGACTGAGGAAGATTTGTTTAGAACAAAACAACACAAGGCTGGATGAAACGCAGACCGACTGCAGACTGAAAGGTGAGTTTATTCATGAGATCATAACAGTGTGTAAACTGCGGTGAAATGTCAGACTGTACTAACCTTTATAATCTTACATTATTGTCATTGTTCCTCTTCTTGTAACATCACTGTAAATATCTGTGAACTGAGGACGCCAGTTTACAGAGTTTGGGACGTAAAAAGTTGATTTAGGATTTCAGCTGCTGAACAGTTTTAGGTCCATTTTACAGTACATTCAATGATTCTAATGAAGTCTGCTCTGAGGGTAGGCCGGTTTCGCACCTAAACACCAAAACATCTGAGCCATGCTGTTGTGATATTTACAGAATGAGGTTTGTCTGTATTATCTTGCCAAAACATCAACGAATAAGCATTTATAGTGCATTCCCAGGTATGTGAGCGACCCATACCATGAGCACTGAGGCATCCCTATACCATCATTATAACAGCCACAATGATGCCTCTCCTGTTAGGAGGGCAGGGGCAGCATCCATGGTTTCAAAAATAACATCGGATTTGGATTTTTCAATCATGTTTATAGAAGATTTTCCACTAACAGGATATAGTATCAATCTGCATTTATGGAAGCAGTAACAAACATGGATTTTGTTTGTGATTTTGAGCCGATGCAGTGATTTCCACTACAGAGTTATGTCTGTTTTTTATGCATATTTTACCAAAGATCACAGCTATGTTCCTGGTGCGTCCCTTTTGCACAGAGATTTCCTCTTTTAATGATATTATGTACTGCTGATGATGAAATCCCAAAGTTTCTGGAGAACATTGAGACTAACCCTCCCAGTCAAGTCACTAATATGTTGCAGATTAACCTCATTTGTGAGGAGACATTCCTCCATGTGTGTGTTTTTTTACTAACACACAAGGTTTTAGTTGCTTTGTTAGAACTTCTTGGAAACTTGAGGTTGGCATCAAACTTAAAAATATAAGTTTTTAAAACATGGCTCAGCTCCATTTATAACTGCAGGTTGTTTTATCCATAATAGTTGATTGTTTCAAAAGACACACATGCTTTTTAAACTAGTGGTAAAATCAAACTTAAGGAGTTGCAATTGAAAGGTAAATGTGAGCGACTTGTGGGGCAAAGTTAAAGAATTTTTATTAAGAGGTGAAGACTTGGAGAAGAGGAAAGTCATGGCAGGTTTGGACGGCTGCCTGGATCAGTTCAAGGATGAGCAGACAGGAGGACGATCAGGTGTCATGGATGCAACGGAGGACATTCAGTCAAGGTTAAGATGTTCAGACTGTGAGGAAAGTAAAGGACAGAGAGTCCAGGGGCCACAGGGAACCACAAAAGTGAATCATGGGATGTCATGTTTCCTCCTTCAATCAATGAATCCTGGGAAAAAAATCAGCAGGCACATCAAACATTTCTCTGACAGGTTCACAGGATGAACTTAAGTTTTCAGGCTATACTTGTCAAACTTAACACGGTTTATCTCGACACAGCAGTGGACACAATGGACCCTACACACGGCCCACAGATGACCAGCGTGTCCCCGTCTCCGTCACCTCCAGGAGGATCACCTTCTCTGGCTGCTGTGGACATAGTGGTGCTGGTAGTCTACTTTATACTGATTCTGGCTGTTGGTTTTTGGGTGAGTACAACAGAGACACAGACAGAGAATTGAGGGATCCATACCCATGTCCTTCAACAAGATCATCCTAGCAACAACTTCTGTATAAACCTCAGAAGACATATTTCATCTGTAACTGGGTTTAAAGAGGCTCATCCTCACCTCCCTGTCAGTCCATGTTTAGGACAAAGCGCAGCACGGTGGACGGATACTTCCTGGCTGGGAAGAACATGACCTGGTGGCCGGTGAGTCGAACATCAATAAACCATCAATCAATTTTGAAATCAAACATACTGAACCCCTGAAACCCTGAATCCATCCTGATGCTCAGGTGGGTGCCTCGCTGTTTGCGAGTAACATCGGGAGTGGACATTTCATCGGCCTGGCCGGGTCAGGAGCTGCAGCGGGAATTGGAGCGATTGCATATGAGTGGAATGTAAGAAATTATAAAGATACTGTGAAGTCTGATTAGAAAAGTCTTTATTTTAAAGTGTCTGTATGATATTTGGTCGTCTGCAGGGTATGCTGATGGTGCTTCTACTGGGGTGGCTCTTCTTACCCATTTACATCGCCTCTGGGGTAAAGCTTCAAAACCTGAAATATCGCACATGTGCACCTGCCCAATCGAGTCATTTATCTCTTTACAAACCCTCTCCTTGGATCCTCCAGGTTACGACCATGCCAGAGTATCTGCAGAGGCGGTTTGGCGGCAGAAGAATACAGTTATTTATAACCGTCCTGTCTTTGTTTATCTACATTTTCACAAAGATATCGGTACGACACAAACCTGCTTCCACTCTCTTTTTTGTCTATCCAGATGAGTGTGTTTTGCATGCTCTCTCATCTGCTTTCTCTGTGTGTTTCTGTGTAGGTGGACATGTATGCAGGTGCTCTGTTCATTCAGCTTGCTTTGAAGTGGAACATCTACCTGGCTGTGATCTTGCTCCTGTCAATCACAGCTATCTACACTGTAGCCGGTGACTTTTTCTCTTTCTTACCTTTGGATTCAAATGTTCCAGTCACTGACAAATCCGAGCGCGGTGTTTATTCTCCTGTCGGTGTTTTTCTTCAGGGGGTCTGGCTGCGGTGATCTACACAGATGCTGCTCAAACAGTCATCATGTTAGCCGGATCGCTCGCTCTCACAGGCTTCAGTAAGTCGAACCACGACACCCTCTCATCATCATCAGCTGTTTATAATCCAGTCGATGAGACCCTCATGTTCCCATGTTAAGGTTTCGCAGAGGTGGGCGGCTGGAACGCTCTGATGGAGGGGTACTTTGAGGCCATCCCTTCGATCCGTGTGCCGAACTCAACCTGCGGCATCCCCAGAGCCGACTCCTTCCAACTCTTCAGAGACCCGCTGACCTCTGACCTGCCCTGGCCGGGGATCATCATCGGCATGTCCATCCCCTCCATGTGGTACTGGTGTTCAGATCAGGTAAAGACGCTCAGTTTGTTGGGGACTGGAGGGTTGAAAACTGGACTTGGTAGCTTGAGAGGTGCAAGACTTGATTAAAGGTGGGGTAGGCAGGATCTGAGGAAGTGCCAGTTTTTGGGAGACATCTTGAATGTCCTCCTCTCCCCTCCCTCTCTGCTCCAGCAAGCCCCGCCCACAAACAGACGCTCCTGCCCGCTCGTATCGTTCCAATTAAATTCAGATATAATTCAGATAAATACTTCAGATCATTACAAATGGGGCCCAGTCAAGGTGAAAGTCAAAAGCATTGGTGCTACTGTAGATGCCAACAGACTACCAGCAAACACAATGTTTGCAGGACTTCTACAACGAGGATAAAGTGACATAGTCTAGGACCCGAGGGAGGACAGTTTAGCGATGGCGCTACAACACGCTACAGCAGGTCCGTTTGACAAGAAACACTTCTGTTACAGACACTTGGCTTACTTTGTTAAAGCGGTTTACCTGTCCAGCAGAAAGGTTACAGGGTCACCAAGATCCCCAAGCGTCCCCCATCGTTTTATGTTGACCCGGCTTTTTAGCTCTTGTATGGTCTACCTCCGTTTTAAGCGCCCGTTATTCCTCCAGAGTCTCTGGTATTTACTTCATGTTCTTGCTTGTGTCGGCAGTCGTGGCCAAAGGAGGATTCAGACAATTTTCCGAACTTTCTGGTTGGTTTCTACTGTCCGATATTGTAGCACGCTAACTTTGTTCGGGCTCCTGAACTTTATTCTTGGAGTGTTCGCATCACAACCAGTCAGGTCAGGGAGATGGAGAACGGCTTTGTTTACAGTCAGAAAGAGAGGGCCACTTAAAAATGTTAACATGTTGACTACACAGACATAAGAGAACACAGCGATATCGTTATATTACTAAGTGTCATCAATAACTAATATCTATGTTATTATATTCATTATTTTTATTATATATATATATGACTGATATTAAAAGCTTTTTTTGTATTTACACCACAAAAAAAAGACACTTTTTTAACGGAATCCTGCCCACCCCACCTTTAAATGTCTTCTTTGTGCAGCTAGTTGAGTTGCCCCCTGCTGGCAGTAGTAAATAATGCAGTTTTGTGTCACTTCCTCATGTGCTTCAGCTGTTTAAAAGTTTAGTGATAATGTACTAAGCAACCAAGCATGAAGACCTAATGGTCTCAAAGAGCGTTTCACATAACACCTTCAACCCTCGATATCTCAGCGATAATTATCCAAAAGTGTGTCTCACGCTTTACACGCCTCGATTTAAATGCTCGTCTGCAGGTGTTCACGCCTCTTGAAGGCTGTGCTGTGGTTGTGATTCTCTGCAGGTGATTGTGCAGCGATCCTTGGCTGCCAAGAACCTAACCCACGCCAAAGGTGGTTCACTGATGGCTGCTTATCTCAAGATCCTGCCCTTCTTTGTCATCATGCTGCCTGGCATGATCAGCAGGATACTTTACACAGGTATCAGATCGATGCTTAAGTCAAATTATTAGGTGACCTCTTCAAAAGAGTTTGAGCAGATGTAAAAACTCGTGATGATATCCTGCAGATGATGTGGCGTGTGCAGACCCTGAGGTGTGCAAACAGATTTGTGGGAACTCCGTTGGATGTACAGACACGGCCTACGCCCGGCTGGTGATGGAGCTGCTGCCTGTAGGTAGGATCGTTCCCCTCCGTGTTTCACCTCCTGTCCTGCCTCTTTTTTCTTTTTTTGTGGTGACTCTGTGCGTGTTTCCCCTCCCAGGGCTTAGAGGTTTGATGATGGCGGTTATGATCGCCGCCCTCATGTCCTCACTGACCTCCATCTTTAACAGCTCCAGCACCATTTTCACCATGGATCTGTGGAAGAGCTTCAGGACCAGAGCCTCAGAGTGGGAGCTGATGATCGTGGGCAGGTTGGATGAGATGAATCTTACTTTAAGCATTTTTCTACTTAATAACCTCCAGCTCCTTTAGTGGTTAAAGAGCACAGTTCATTTTGTTTATAGAGTAAAAAGAGTCGTTGATGGTAATAATACAGAAGGTCAGAGATTTCTGCAGGGAAAGCATTTGGTGAATGCTTCTCTACTCTTGGCAACAAAAGTCTCCAGAATGTGGTTATTTTCAGCTCGGTTAGGCTGACCTGACCTACATGTGGTCCTGGTTTCTGCACATGTGCTGTGCACAGTTCTGCAGTCCATGGTTTAAGTCTTCATAAAGAGCATTTATTAAGTTTTATTTTAATGTCAATAAAAGTTCAGCATCATTAAAAACACTGATGGACTTTGCCGTGTGCTTTTCTGCAGATGTCTGTAGTTAAAGGCTTGTGCTTCGTGTCAGATGTTATTTCCTCTCAGACCTGCTGCACTCAAACAAGCCTCATGTTTAAGATGCACAGGAATAAAACTACACATTCAATCAATCCATTTTAAAACAATAACCCTTAATCCAGGCTTAATCCAACTCGCACAGAACTTTAAAGGGATTTTCTGGAGTACAATTAATTTAGGGTCAAACTCACCATAACACTGAGTTAAGACAGATGAAGTTTCCTCGTCTTTTGAAGCCGTCTGTTCTGTTTGCAGGGTGTTTGTACTTGTACTGGTCGTGGTGTCAGTGCTGTGGATTCCCGTCGTTCAGGCCAGTCAGGGTGGGCAGCTCTTCATCTACATCCAGTCCATCAGCACCTACCTCCAGCCTCCAGTCTCCATCATCTTCCTCATGGGCTGCTTCTGGAAGAGGGCCAACGAGAAGGTCAGAAAAACCGATCATCTTGAGTATCTTGAATTGACACAGTCACAGAGTCCACAGCACCCACTCTCCCCTCCTCCTCCTCTTCCTCCTCCTTCTTCAGGGGGTGTTCTGGGGTCTCGTAATCGGCTTGGCGATCGGCTGCACCCGCATGTTGTTGGATTTCATTTACCCCGCGCCCCTCTGCTTCGAGGAAGACGACAGACCAGGAGTGTTGAAGTACGTCCATTACCTCTACTTCTCCACGCTCCTGTCCTTCATCACCCTGGCTGTGGTGGTGGTCATCAGTCTGGCCACAGAGGAGCCCAAACCAGAACAGGTGGGACCATCTGATCAGGTCTGAATCCAGTCTTGGTTTGATATCTATGAATATATTCAACGAGGGTACATTTTCACCAAAACATTATCGATGATTTAATAGACTTTTCTCAAAGTGCACCGCCAAAGCAGTTAGTACAGGTGCATTCCTTTGTTCCCATGGTAACCAAAGATACAAGCAACTGCATACCTTCTTTGAGAGTGTGGATGGTATGAGGACACTTTTTGCATTTTGCATCGTCTTATTATGTGTTGCAGATTAGTCGCCTCACCTGGTTCACAAGGCTTGACCCCGTGGTGCAGAGAGAAAAGACAGACGTGACGACTCGCGCAGAGACAGGAAACGAGCACGAGGGCTCCAACGGAAACACGCATCACCACAGGAAAGGTGAGTCCTGTCTCCTATTACATGTTTTTATTACACCTGCATGTTCACACACAAACACCCTCTCCCTCTCTTACTCTTTCTCTCCTGAACCCTGCAGACTCTTCATCCTCCACGTCCAGCACCCAGAGTCAGTCCAGGCTGATGTGCGCCCTCTACTGGCTGTGCGGGATGGAGAGGAAAAACAAAGGAGACGACGATACTCCCAAGGAGCCCGTCACACCTGAACAGACTATCTGCTCTCTGGAGGAAGATCCACGTTTCAAACTCATCGTCAACATCAACCTCCTGATTTGTCTCTCTGTGATCTGGTTCATTATCGGTTACTGGGCTTGATAGCAGCCTGCGACGCAGATACTTAACGTGATATTACGGCTGATTTTCTTCACTTTTCACCCCAAAAACAAACAGTAAAAACAGAAGATCTACACAATGACTCTTCCTTTTGCAGCTTGCAGTTTTTTACCACTTGTTACTTGCAGAACTGAAAACAATGTGGTAAAAGTTTAACACTGATGCATCAAGAAGGTTGAAAATTTGATCTTGTGCACACATGATAGTTATAGATGTTTGGGCCAGACGGCTATCTTGTGTGCAAAGGATAAAAACTTGTATGCACAAATTAAAAATATCACTTTTGGACATCAGACGTCTCAGAAGGTGCATCCAAACCCACAAGGACAAGAAATGACCAGCTGACAACAGTGTTGAAAATGTTGAACAATCTTTAATCTTGAAGAGTAATGATGCATTGTTCGATGCATTATGTGCAGACAAGCCAACATAAAAATGATAAGAAGAAATTAAAAAAAAAAACAATCAAACACCTGCTGAAAAAAAACAAAAACACCTGAACATGGTGAGGATCGTCAGCCGGAGCCAAAAAAATACACAAAAGAAAATCCTTGAATCACTCTGGCTGTATTTGGTTGGAGCTGTAAGCTTGTGTGTGAGTGATAATTTACAAGAGAATAGCATTTATAAAAATCACTTTTTTGTTTTAATAGAAAAATCCCTTTAATAATAATAATAATAAAAGCTAACCCACAGAAACCCGCTGGATTCTCCCCCCCTGGATTACTCAAAGGAAAACTACCTGAAATACTAAAGATGGATGATTGCATTTCAATATTGCACTCTTATAATATTTGGTCATTACATCCTTAATAAAGGCCTGGCAGCTCTTATCTTTGATTCTTTGGCCTCCTTGCATTTCTTTGGTCCTTTAAATCTGCACACACATGGTACGATGTTGGAGTGAGTCCTTGTTAGAGTTAAGAAAATCAGGGGAATTAATCAAAACGATGAGCCTGCTTCATGATAAATAGATCATCAGTGACTGGAAACACTCAGACATCTCAGCTTGTCTGTGCTGAGATGTTTTCTGGCTGTGATATCTCTGGAGTTCAGCTCATGTGTGTTTAGTTAGAAGAGCTGAAGATGCTTTTCTGCAGACGGCGGCCCGGCATCATGTGAGTTCAGATATTCGATTCTGTACATTCAGATCTGTTACACCGACCAGGTGGATGGAGGAGGATTTTTGTGATTCCTCTTCTTCTTTTTTTTTTTTTTTTTCACAGCGCAGTGCTCTCTGATTGGATCTCAGGGTTGGGAGGCGGGGCTGCGGCAGAGGCGGCAGAGGCGGCGGGCTCTTGACCAGCAGAGCTCTCCTCTTGTTCGTCCACAATCACCCCTGGGATGAAGGCTCGACCGATCCCCTTCAGGACCAGACCGCCATCTGTGCAGGAAAGAAGGAGTTAGTCTGGAGCATCACACACACTTGAGCACACACACACACACACACACACAAACAGACGCTTTTACACACTCAGTAAGACGCCAAGGATTCATGTTTGTGTTGAGTATTGTGTTTGTGTCCATCTGAGTCACACTTTCAATCGAACAGTATCCTTGGCGTGTTAATCTGTTTAAGCAACTTAATATCTTCATAAATCTGTTTAAAAAAAGGCGCATAAATGCAGGTTTAAAGGCTGTTTGGATGCATGTTAGTGAACACAACAAACTCAGCAGGCAAAAGCACTCAAAAGACCTCAGCGTGGGGGAGGGAGGGAGTCGGATACACAAGCTTTGTTACACAGCACGGTTAAAATGCAAACTTATATACATAAAAACATGTATATATATGAAGTGGGTTAAAACCAACAATAACACGCCACCAGGAGGGGTCAGTCTTTTTACTCCCATACCCACAAACACAGACACACACTGCGGACACAGACGCGGAGCCAAAGACATCAGCCAATCAGATTCTTACCATTACCTGCCTTTGCAAAGCTCATCTTACAGGCAGGCCGGCAGTTCAGACATCTGCAATATTTACACATTTCCTGTCATGCGTCAGATCACCAGATTAAGTTTGTGAGGTACTTTGAAACAGTGAAACCAAAAGCCAGAGGACTACAAACGGCAATCGCTCTGAGAGGAAGCAGAAATCACTAAAAACTGAGTAACAAGGTGCGTCGTTAAGGGTGTGTTTAAATGATGCAAGGGTTACAAACTTCATAGAAATGATCTCTATACTCTAAACAGTACGGTAATCTCTATTAACCCTCGGTTCCTGTTAATTTGAAGCTCCATCCAGACTAATAAAATGAACATGCAGATAAGTGCTCATAAAATAATCATTTTTTAACAATTTATTTTACTTTTTTCTACTCAGATCTCTTGAACAACTTCAGCCCTGACCATTAAAAAAATAATACATACAAAAATTCGATGTCACACCCTTTTTATGCCAGTTTTCGTGCATCATGTCACTGCTAGTTTTAGTGGTAAAAAACACAAAATCGCCATATTTGCCATATAAAATGTCCAAGAGGAGGTTTTTTTTGATAAATAGAGTTTGGGATATGTCAATGATGAGAACTTAAACTGATTTTGGTGCATTCTAATTCTTTTTGTTGTGCCATTTTTTTGTACTTGAAGCTCCATCCAGCCGACTTTGTCCCCAAAATGGGCATGCAGATAAATGCGCATAAAAAAATCATTTTCAAACTTTTTTAAAACTTTTTTCGACTCAAATCCCTTAAACAACTTCAACCCTGACCAAATAATAGTAATGAATAAGAAATTTGATGTATTACCCTTTTTATGCCAGTTTTTGTGCACACTGTCATATTTATTGATTAATTGTGTGTTCTTAACAGCTGAGTCTATTGGAGCGGAAAAACACGCCAATTTCTCCCTCTTTTCTCAAGCCTCGTCCTCTACCAAATCAAATGCGATCAAATTCATTTGTTCATAATAAATTAATTTTATATATAGGCATATAAAATCAGAAGATATATGTAAGATAGGAATCATTCACAAGTGGTTATCCACCTCGAACCAAAATATGACCGTGATTTTGCTGATTGCACGCATATAAAAAATAACTGCATATTTGAGATGATCTTTAAAATGTGACTGTCAGCTCAAAATAAAGGTGAAAAAAATGAAAATGTCCTCAAAACGGACGTAGTAGGAACCGAGGGTTAAAGGTATAGCGAGCAGAAATGGGACTATTTAGAGTTTAGATTGTTAACTGAAATGCTCCCCTGCTCACCCGTCCCACTAGTGAAGCTACACAGGTGACGGTGGCCTTTGAGGACAAGAAGCTCCTGTGAGGCATGACAAGTTTGACCCTCAATTTGTCAGGTTTTCTACCAAGTCTGTTCTGCTAAAAACAGCGTACTGCACCTTTAACTGATGCATTATTTCTTCTGACTCTGACTGTTCATTAAAAAACTTGCTCAAACATTTACATCTTGCCCAAAAAAACTTTGTAAGGGAGAGTAGACGGACTGTTTACCTGTTATGATCTTGGAGGCGGAGCTAAAGAGGCCATTACCATCCTCATTGGCTCCTGGTTGTGGTGGCGGCGGCATGCTTGGCCGGGGTCGTGGTTTAGGCGCCGGCCTGGCCGGGCGAGGGAGGGACCCGGAATGGTGGTGATACAGGAGGTTGGAGTGCGGTGCATCATGGGGCGGAGTGTCAGGAGGAGTGGGAGTGCTGGGGGGAGAAGGCTCCGACTCCCCGTGGGCCTGGTGGGCTGGAGGAGGCTGCGGGGGCGGGTGGCTCGGGGCGTGGATTATGCCGTCTTTGCTTGGGTGGCGACGGGGGGTAACAGCCGGGTGATGAGGTGAGCTGGGCGTTTGGGCGTTGCTTGACTGGGAAGCGAAAGGGCTGGCTTGTTTGGGCGGGGCGGGGGCCTGCTTCTTGGTACCTTTGAATAAAAAAACATATATTAAATATTTTCATGTGCAACAACTATGATTCCAAAATACAAAATTTGATTCAAACCCAGTTTTTGTTTGGGTTTTCTCTCACCTCTGCGGACCATGTGTGGACTCGGGCCCCTCGATCCCCCCTGAGAGTGAGGAGTTCCTACTGAGAGGTGGACCGAACCATTCCTCTGAGGAGGGGGGGTGGACATCAGCTCACGGGCGGGGCTGAGGAAATACAGTAAAATCAAATCTTAACCCATCAACCTGCCGTACCAAAACTTCACAAAGACAGCTGTGCATCTATGCCAGGAATCATGCATGATATTTAGAAGGATCACACAACATTCAGAGGCTGATAATCACATTAAAAATGAAGGTTATTGCACGAGAAGACAAACAAAAAACAGCATGAAGACAGCACAGACGAGAGGATGCAAAATCAGGAGAGGTTTGTGCGGTAAAGTGTTTCATGCAAAATCAGACATCGCCACAAAATCATCTCTGCAACACAACAGGCAAGAGGGAGGAAGTTGATAAGAAACACGACTCAAAATAGGCTGAATTTGGTCAATCATCACAACAAGCATTACATGATTTTTCAGTTTTAATTTGTTAAAATGAAGCCAAATTCAGAAATGTGGGCGCAGTCGATTTTTGTATTTCATGACGTCCGACAGGTGAACAGTGAACTGACCAATCAGACACAGGACAAACACAAAAAAAGGGTGGACGAGCTCCGGATTGGTTGATTGCCAGCGGGCAGGCGGAGGTGGAGAATAGTTGCTACCTCAGCTCACTCCTCCTTACCTGCTCTCCTCTGCGCTGAGCTGCGTTACAACCTGAGGTTTCACTGAGGCTACCTGGACCCCACCTCCCAGACCACCACCACCAATGCCACCGCCACTGGGGAAAGGCTGCTCGACATCTGCAGCCGGGGACAGAACCTGAGGCTGGGGCTCGGGCTGGGTAGTACCCAAGGCTTCCAGAGGGGGCAGTGGGGGTTGGAAGGTGGGTGAGGTTAGGTGTGGCTGCTTTCTAATAACAGCGTTGACTCTACGTGGAGCGGGCTCCGGCAGTTTGTTAACAGGGCTAGGGAAGGGGGTGAGAGGGGAGAGAGTTCAGGAGGGGCAAACCAAACGCCAGTCAGTCAAGTTTGAAAGAACAAAGAGACAGAGAGAGAGAGAAACCGAGAACAGAGACAGACGGAGATGTAGCAGGAGACAGGACGAGACGCCACTTCCTTAAGTTCAGTTTCAGAAAGCGCCCAGAGAAGACAGAAAAACCACATGACGGTGACCTTAAATAGAACAGCGGTACGGTGGCCGAGAACCAACACTGCTGCGAGTAAAAAAGAATGCAAAAAAAGAAGCCACAACGGAAATTACCAATGCAAAAAAAATGAAACCAAAGTCCGCAGTAAATAACAAAAAGAGACAGTGCAGATAAAAGAAAAAAAAAAAAAAAAAAACACAATGGAAGTTAATGACACAAAAAAAGAGGTGATGCAAAAAAAAAAAAAAAACAGTTAACTACTGCGAAAATAAAAGAATGCAAATATTAAAGCCAAAACAGAAGTTATTGATGCAAAAAAATGAAACCAAAGCCCGCTGCAAGTAAAAAAAGACACGGTGCGGATAAAATTTTTTAAAAAGCCACGACAGAAGTTAACAACACAAAAAAAGTGGTGATGAAAAAAAAACTGTTACTTGCTGTGAAAATAAAAGGATGCAAGTAAAAAAGGATTGCAAAAAAAAAACAACACTACTGATGCAAATAAAAAGAATGCAAAATAAAGTAGCTACAACGGAAATTACCAATACAAAAAAAAGAAACCGAAGCCTGCTGCAAATTAAAAAAAAGACAGTACAGATATAAAAAAAAAGCCAAAATGGAAGTTAACGACACAGAAAAAAGTGCTGATGCAAAAAAAAAAAGATTAAAAAAATTTTTACTTACTGCGAAAATAAAAGGATTGCATATAAAAAAAGCCACAACATGAGTTATCGATGCAAAAAAAAAAAAACATGGTGAAGATAGAAAAGACAGAAAGCAACAACGGAAGTTAACGACGCAAAAAAAAAAAAAATGAAACCGAAGCCCGCTGCAAATAAAAAAAGACATAGTGCAGATTAAAAAGAAAAAAGCCACAATGGAAGTTAATGATGCAAAAAAAAAAGTTGCAATGCCAAAAAAAAATCGATAACTTCCGTTGTGGCTTCTTTTTTTTTTTGCATTCTTTTTTATTTGCAGCAGTGGCGGTTCTCGGCCACCGTACAACCGTGCTCTGCTACATCTTTGCAGGGGCAGAAGAAACAGATACCACGTCGTACGAACAAAATGCAACAACAGAAGAAGCCCACACAAGACATAAAACCAGCAACCTATATGAGAACCTAGGCTTTAATAGGAAACAGAGAGAAAACACCAGAGTACACAAGAGTGACAAGAGGAACAGCTTCAGATCAAATCGTCAAAAGTCAAAGTGTTTGTTTTTTTTTGTTGCATTAAAGGAGAACTCCAGTACCAACCTTATTAAAGTACCACTTAATAGCTTGTGCTTGAATTACTGAAACAACAGACATGTGGTGCATATATGACACAGAAAACATGAACCCTTCTTGTACTCGTAGGTGACTTGATTCATGGGAGCTACGCGGGACTACGGCACGGCTTTGAAGTCTGGACTGGGCAGATCTTCAGTGGGCGTTTCAGAGACTGTGATGGACTCGTTAGCCACTACATAAAGGGCCGACACCGCCGGGCCCCGCGACTCCTGCCTGCTCAGAGTCTTGGGACGGGACGGGAGGGTGAGCGGCAGGCTGAGGCTGAGGTTGGGGCGAGACAGGTACCTGTCTTTACGGGGGGTGTGACTGTCCCCGTCCTGCCCCACTAGGCTGCCGGGACGTTTCCTCTCCAAGCCGGATTCAGGATCGGGGGTGGATGGGTGGGTGGGCATGGCGAACATGCCTGAAACATTGAAGTCCACCTCTGAAAGAGACGCGGGTTTGAGGTGAGCAGTGAGGAGATGATGACTGATCGTTCATATCTAACAGTCAGAGCTGTCTTACCTTCAGGGAAGAACCAATCAGCATGCTGGATGATGGGCTCGATGATGGCGACCACATGGACAGATGTAGCTGCCGCCATTTCTGCCAGAGTCCTGATGGACAGAGGTGAACGCTTATTAACCGCTCAGAAATCACACTCAGAAAACGGACTAAAAACACACCGTTCTCACCCTTCTGTCTTTGCCCAGAGCAGGTTGGGACCCAGGACGATGGCGATGTTGCTGGGAGTCATCTTGTTAACCTCGCTGTCCTGAGCCAGTTTGGCCAGAAACTTCACCAGATACCTGAAACAGAGAGTCCAGTTGGTGAGTGTAAATGACCCACATTATATGTTGGTATCGTCAGTCTTATTTTGAAGGTACAACCCCTATTTACTATTATTTTACTTCTGTGAGCAATACATTTTACAGGAAATCGTCAACGGACAGTTAAACGATATGTAAACTCAGGATCTACTCGCCAATAACGATCTCTTTAAGTTGTTTAAAGTATCTAGAGGCACAAGGTTCGTATATGCGTCTTTTCTCACACAAATTAAAATGAAGTTTGGTCGAGTTTCATGTTGCCGAGTATTAGCAAAGATGGGTCCGTGTATTATCCATCAATTCAATTATTCCATTCAATCTAGTGAACGAAAAACAAAAAAATGAGTCGATATTTTTTTTATTTGTTTCTCTGTATAACCAAAAAATAAAAAGGTAGTGTTTGTTTTCGTATTTTCAGCTCAAAACAGAATATGTAATAGAGATGGAAACGAAAAAAAAATAATAATCTACTTTTTGTTTTCGGGTTATTGATGTCCCCATTTCTCATGGTGCCTTTTTACTGTTCGCACATGCGCATTTATGATCATTACTTTATCATTTCCTTGAAGTAATAATCATCATATTAATCATTTTGTACTGCAGACGTGGTAGTTCTTCTGCCTTAGCGTCTCAGTCTGATTGCATTTCCATGAAGAAATGATCATAAATGTTCTTCCTTGAGCTGCGTCACCCCACTGTAGTCCATAATGGACTGGCCTGAGGTCTCGCTACAAACAAACGGCTTCTGGAAGAGAGTAGGTGAGTTGTTTAGTTTAGTCTCTTTGCTAAAGAAATAAGTCAAAGCTAAAAAGATGTTTGGTGGTTAAGGTTGAGGAAGTTGGTAAAACTAGAGAAGTAAGCGGTCAGCAACATCCATCTCTCGACGGGTTGGCTAACTCTGTGTTATGATGAGTTTGACCTAAATTAATTTTACGCCAGAATATCCCTTTAAGACGCTCTTACCTGAGGTTTGATTTGTGAGTCTTTGGTAAATGGTCACATGTCACCCACAGGGCCTGGAGCCTCTTGTCGGGGTCAGTCACACTGAAAACAAACACACACAGTTTCTATTTATGACATGAGCTCTAAAATATCTCCACTCTGCTTCATCAGGTGTGTGAACAGGATATTAAAAGAGTCCCGTCTGTGTGTGTGTGTGTGTGTGTGTGTGTTTATGTGTGTTTATGTGTGTGTTTCTCACTTGGAGGCCTGCAGCCACTCGTCATACAAGCCAAAAGTCATTAGAGGTTCAGGAAGTTCCCTGAGGTAGGACTTCAGGGCTCCTGTGTATGAAGAGAAAAGCTATGAGAAAATTATCTACAACAGATGGTTCGAGTTTTTGCAGATTTTCTCTCTTTTACCGGCGACGGCGTGGGGATCCGAGTAGAACTCCTCCAGCTGAGAGGTGGAGCAGTCCAGCGCTGCTTTTAGCTTTTTCAGTTTGGAGGCTCCAGCAGCTATTCTGAAGAGACCCTGTGGGGAACAGGAGACTGAAAGGTGCTTTTTCTGTTTCAGGCAGGTACATGTGACAGGTTTCAGTCCTGAAATTAAGGAAGAGAAGAAGGAGATGTGGCTCTTACGGGATGAGTACACGCCGCACAGCTCGAGTTCTGCTTCCTTTCATGCAAACGTCTTAAACGGTTTCTCTACAGGGAGTCTGGTGTTACAGTTAAATTTAAAGAGCCAAATAGTGAACATCCTAATAATTAACAGATGCCTGCGCAGCGAGAGCGCCCGCGGCCTCCAGGGACACTGACCACAAGTCTGCCAGAGATGTTTCCAGACTCTACACGCCATCATTTTTCCAGAACATGTTTAATAGAGACGAAGGTCTCAAATAACCCTTCAACTTTACCCCACTTCACCACAATAAACCCCTCTCCTCCTCCTCCTCCTCCTCCTCCGCTTTCTCCGCCTCATACCTCCTCCTTCATGCCGGTCTCCAGCAGCATCATGACGCAGGCCTCGATAGGCAGAGCGATCTCACGGTTGCTCCTCTTCAGATGCTCCTCCAGAGCCGTGCCGAACGCCGGCTTCTCCATCCAGGAGTCTAAAACAGATCATGATTGAAGAGTTAAAGAGATTCATCCTCAGACGGTCGCTTATTCACGGTAAATCTGTCTGCGTAGAGGAGCGTCTGAACTCAGAGGGATTTCCGTGAACAGAAATAAACCTCTGCGTGTAACGAACTCTCTTTCATCCCGTTTCTTTGCTCTCAAAATGACACCTTTGCCTGTTTGATGTCTTTATGATGCAAATTAATTCAGGTCTAACTAGAAAAGCACTCGGAGAGCGCAGACCTCCGCCAAGCAGCTCGTGTCCCCCCTTATATTGTGATTCACACCAAAACTTTGACTGTTACGTGTCTTTTATTAACTTTAATTTATGTTTAAACTGGTATGTTCACTGTTCATAATGTTCCTAAAACAAGAAATGCCCTGACCGGATTCGAACCCAGGACCTTCTTGCTGTGAGGTGACAGTGCTAACCACTACACCACTGTACCACCTATCTACACCACTGTGCCGCCCATTGGTTATTGAAAATTCCAACGACACCCTTATTTTTGTGTGTTCTGGATCACAGTATCCAGAATTTTGTCTGGATCAGGATCAACCTTTGACACCTCATAAAACTCATTGAGATCCTTTTGTGTAATTTTTTACTAAAGACTTTTTCATCGAGTTAAATGCAAAAATTCCAAAATTTGCCCTATCTCACAATGATAAAGAATCCTTCAAAAAATTCCTGGATCCAGAAGGCGATCCGGATCACCACCAAAATTTAATGGGATCCTCCTGGGGCTGAGACGCACCTCTGGTGAAAGTTTCAGGTCAATCCGTCTGTAACTTTCTCCGTAAACTAACAAACAAACAAACCAACGCTACTGAAAACATTACCTCCTTGGCGGAGGTAAAAAAAAAGGATTTACAAAAGTAAAGCAGCCGGGTTTCTTTATCACCACAAATAAGAATTTCTTATTGAAAAACGTCAAGGAAACATCAGGTAACTTTCAAAAGACAATTTGAAACTTGTGTGAGTGTTCGTAAAACAAAAGAGTCCAAAGAAAGAAAGGAAATTTGATTTAAACCAGTTATGTTTGTGCAAAAACAACATATCAAATTTTAAAAAAGAGCCAAATCTGATGTGTTTTCAATTGAATTTAGGTTTCCATGAACCTCATCTACTGCGCCTCAATTTCTTGGCGAATCGAGCCTGTAAGAGGACAGATCACAGCGGTTATATTTCATGTCCAGCTGTTCACCTTGTTGTATTTGGATGGTCGGGATAGCTGCCTCCAGAGCCGCCAGAGACCTCCTGTGGTACTCGGCCTGGGCCTCTAATAACTGCGGGACAAACACAAACACACACATGGAAAAGTCGCACAGCTGCACAAGTGGAATTTGCATATCGTTTCCATTTAAGTTCCGGCTCATTTACACAAAAACTGACGTGCACCCACCATGACATAATAACGTGCGTAATCCCCCTCTTTGGAAGAAAACATGTACATGTCTGCAGAAAGTTGGTCCTGGGGGATGGAAAGACATATTTAAATGACCATTCATGGCGAAGGAGACGTGAACCTCAAACTGACTTCTTTATTATTCCACAGAGAAAACGCTCATTAAGACGAAGATGAGCTCCAGATGACAAAGCAATGACCTTTAATGATACGGTCTCGATTATACTCCGCTGGTACAAGGCTCCCTTTGTTCAGACACTTCATTAGATATGATCCCAAAGAGGCCCCAACCCGAGTCTGCAGTTTAACCACAGTGGATTCTACATGGATGATTTCCTTACCTTGCATATTTCTACTTTGTTCAGAGCCTCGTCCATCTCGTCTTTGAGCGAGTCCACCTTAGCTGCCATCGCCTGGTTGTTGGACTTGGTTGCCTGGTACCATCTGCAGGAATCAAATGCGTAAGTGTGACTCTTAACTGAAGCTCTTGTGAGATTAGATTCACTCAGAAAACTACCTCGTCTTGGCCGAGTCGTAATCCAGAACCAGTTTGGCTAGCTGTTTTCTTTGCTTCAGTATATTTGGGATCTCCAGCTGTGAGAGAAAAAAGAAGAGAGATCAGAAATCTGAGCGACACCTTTCCTGGGAGGAGATTTGCTGCCAAAAAGACGCCAAAGGTGATACTTAAATAAGAGATTTAAAAACAAAACAAAAAAAAAAGAGTACGTGAAAGTTCTGTGAAGGTTTCATCTTAAAATTATACAGTGAAAAGGTAGGGTGACCATACGTCCTCTTTTACCAGGACATGTCCTCTCTTTTGGGGGCTGTCCAGGTCTGTCCGTCTGTGTCCGGGGAAGTTTATAACATCCTTCTGGTTTTGTACGTCAGTTTCGATTTTGTGTCACGTGGACTTACTGAGTAAGAAGCGCATAAAAGACACTTGATCTGACCCGAAAAACTCAAAATTAACTTTGTGCGACTCTGTGACTCTGGCCCCGCTTAGCTGTATCCTCTTTTTGGGAAGTCAGAGTATGGTCACCCTATAAAAGGTGCTTCTTTAATGAGCTAGATCTGCCTAGTGGTTAAATCTGTTGCCTCTTCTAGTTTCCTCTTATTGACGACATAAAATAGGGTGACCGTATTCTGACTTCCCAAAAAGAGGACATGTCTACGTGGGGGCGGAGTCACGACGTCAAACGAAGTTAATTTTTGTGTGTTTTTCGGGTCGGATCGAGTGTCTTTTACACGCTTCTAACTAAGTAAGTCCACGTGACACAAAATCGAAACTTATGTACAAAACTGCGGACATTTGAAGGATATTTTTTTACATAGGATAGTAGGGGAGGGTCCCGCCTCCTTTGCCTCTGATTGGCTAGAAGTGCTGGGCTCTGATTGGTTATTCCTCATGGCTGTGAAACGTCATCGGGTTAGGGTTAGGAGATTCAGAAATGCGATAATGTTCTGTTTGATGTACAGAGCCGACAGCCCACGCTCAGCTTGAGCTTGTGATGAAATTTTCAGCTTTTCTAGCCAATCAGAGGCGAAGGAGGCGGGACTTATACACACAAAAAAAATATCGCTCCCCAGACAAAGCCTGGACATCCCCTAAAAAAAGAGGACATGTCCGGGTAGAAGAGGACGTATGTTCATCTACATAAAAGCCCCAAAATGATGTTAAAAAGGGGATTTTCTGAGTCGTATCTAAGTGGTTCCTGCAGTATGAGGAGGACTGCCCACTCAGCATTTTTTGGTCTAAAAAGGTCTAATAGACGTCTAAATGTAGTCTAGACGTCTGGTCTAAAATCAGGCTACCACAGGTCTAAAAATGAAAGTTTTTTAGACGTCTAAATTTAGATCGAGTTTAGACTAGTCAGCTAACAGACGTCTACCAGTATTTTGCTCAACAGCTATCATAATTATTTTGGTTTAGTACTTGGAGATCAGTTCTGCAAATCACAGTTTCTTTTTCAAATAAAGACTTATTGAATAATGGGTTAAAGTCAGACGTCTCAATTCCGTCTACAGAATCTAGATGTTGAGATTAGGTCTAAAAAATAACTAGACGTCAAATATCCGTCTATTGCTCAGTGTGTGGGTAGTCTGGGTTCAGTGTTTTTACCTCTGCCAGCTGATTTAGAGGTTCAAGGATGTCTCTCTCGATCTGGACTTCGTGCTGCATGAGTTCACTCGCTAACCTGCTCTCGGCGTCTCCGCACACGTCCATCATCTTCCTGCAAAGTACACAAATATGACCGTTATTTGTCTTGAGAAAACATGAGTTTAAAAGACAAACAGAGGCGCACCCTCGGGTGAAAAACCTGCGAGTTTTGTTGTTGTGCATGTAGTAAGTGGATCTCACCCAATCAGGCTCTCGTCCCCCAGCTGACTGCCTCCCTCCTGCATGGCCTGGGACAGCGCCGTCAGTGGAAGCTTTTTCTGCAGGTGAACGAGCAGAAACATAAACTTTTCTCTGACCCTGTGAGTCAGGTCAGTTTGATCGTACGTGCACGGCAGGGGCAGATCTGTTGTTCAGTAAAAGTGAAGCTGGCATGAAGCCGGCGCTGAATATTTTCCCCCTGAGTCTCTGTCATATCATCGTGTTACATAATGGGAGACGCTGCGTGTTCCTAACACAAGATAGAGTCTCCTTGCTAACGCTGACAATAGTTTCACGATGACTCAGAGGCGTGATACACCAGCGAACTCAGACTCTGATGTCAAACCTGCTAAAAAGAAATTGATCGTCTCTTACGTGTCTCTTCTCCGTGTCTGTTCCCAGCTGACCCTGCAGACACGACACCAGCCTCTTATGTGTGTTGTGCGACACCGAGCGAACCAGCTCCATCCGCCTCTCGATCTGTGAAAACATCAGAAATTCAGAAGACGCTGAGGCACACATTTTCACACAGGTGGTTACAGCGAATCAAACGCCGGAGCTGCACTTCCACACATCCGTCTTTAAAATTCCCACCCTGCTCTTGCGTTTGAAAGATGATGAAGGATGTCAGCGCCGCTCGTCTTGCTCCTGCTGCATTACGACAGGTGGAGGGAGTTACACAGACTGATGGATTGGGGTCTTTATGGAGATCAGGGGGGACCTCTTTGTCTCTGGACTCCATGTAGAGAGTTAGCATGAATACAGATGAACGGCAGGTGGCCTGTTGCTGAACTTTAAAGGCTTACAGAGTTCGAACCCCTTGACAAGTCCTGTATCCAGAGGTTGTTTAAAGGGCTATTCCAGTGTTTTTTAATCGGGTTTGTTGGAGTTGATGTCGGTCAGGTCTTTCTCTTTAATGTGAGGCTAGTTAGGCGCCACTTAGAACTTTTGTTTTTGCACTATTTGTGGACAAGACACGCACACTTCCTCCTCCGCCTGAGGCAGAATAAGCTCACCAGGGTCCTCATGTATCAACGCTTGCGGCGCAAGAAAACCTTGCGTACGCCAAAATCGGCGCACACGTCCAGATTTATCATCGCGAAACGAGCGTCGGTTCCAGCGCTAATCAACGCAAAGTCAGGAGGTGGTGTAGAAATTGGCGTTGAGCCGAAAACTTGCGTTGACTGTGATTCGCACTTTGGCGACGCTGTGTGGCGGTGTTTGGTGACTCACTATGTGACAAGCGTGCACCACATCCCCGTGGCCGAGCAGCACGTCGCCCCACATGACGAACCAGCAGCAGACGGAGGGATGCGAGCTGATCCCTGCCGGGCCGCCGTCCTCGCGCGGGAGAATCTCATCGCCACAGTGTGAATGGGTAAGAAGTGAGCACACAGTTGTTCAATGAGCCAAATTAATTCATTTTCTCCTCCAGACGCTCGAGGACATTTACGAGCCGGTCCAGCCGCTCGTTGATCCCCGTGATCCCCCTGATGATTTCTTCCTGCGATTGCAGGACCCCCTCCGCGAGGACCCTTCCACTGCGTCCGGGTGGTCCAGCGGAAACGCCGCGGCTGGTGGACGCTCCACCGCTTGTCGGCGCGCTGGTGCTGATGCTGGTGCTGCCGCGGGTCGGGGTTCCGCAAGCCGGCGACACGGCCGACACATTGATTTCTGTGACACAATAAAAATATTGGTTCATTTCAATTCCTGCTTCTGTGTATCTGTTGCGTTTACATCTCTCTCCACGGTGTCATAGGTAATGTAATCCAGTATTTAGAGGTCAGTTATGCACATTACAGTTGTATATTGCATAAAAAAGTTATCGAAAAATGAAGTTAAGGGCGAAGTATAAATCACGTCCAAAAATAGACTGAATCCCGACGTTGAAATGAAGTATAAACTTAGACTAGACGTCTAATATATGTCTTTTGCTCAGTGGGATGACAAAGCATGTGGACATTTGTGTGACACGCCACTTACCCTATAATAATAATCGCCACCACTCGCTGCTCAAACGGTGTGAGGGTCTCCTCCCCCGGACCCTCACCTGTCAGGCCAGTACTCCTCCGGAGGGCAGCTGTACGCCGCTTGACCTCCACCTTGAGGTCCGACCACTTTTTTTTAATCTTCGCGGGGGTGCGTGTCTCGGAACCCACCGCATTCACCCTCTCGCAAACTTTCTCCCACTCCAAGCGTTTCCGTTTTGCACTGACGCCACTGGACAGGCTGCCAAACAAAACACACTGTCGCTCCTCCACCTCCGCCACCAGAACCTCCACCTCGCACGCCGTAAATTTAGTTTTTCTTGTCATTTTGTCTGCGTGCGAGGACAGGGAGACCCTATTTAAATAAATCTGCATATTTATAGGAGGGCGTAACGGGGGCGGGCCCAGTCACTCCGACATCTGCGCTCAATTCCACGCTGATTGGGATTTATCAAGGAAACACACGTGGATTTCGGCGCCCGCACACATTGATACATACGGATTTTTTTCAGCGTGACGGACCTTGCGTGCGCTCGTTTCTGGTATGAGTTCCACGCAAGTATTGATACATGAGGCCCCAGGACTCTTCTGTGAATTTTGTTTTTTCTACCCCGCAGTTCGAGTGAGTTTCTTTGGAGTTTCTTGTGTTTAGGAGATCATGTCGGCGTATCTTGTTCAACAGAGAAGGAAAACACTCATTAGCCTCCGTTGGCAGCTTTTACAGTTAGTCTGCATCAGGCTTCGGTTCTCCCAGTTAACTCTAGTAAACAGCCCCGGCCTGTTAATTACATGAACCAGCAGAAGAGCAAACAAGTCAAAACCACACAGACCAGAGGGCTTTCTCAGCGTAAAGCTCTTTGATCAAAGATCGACAGCCGTGTTCCTGAAGGTAAAAGCTCCATTTCAAACACAGTTATAGTCCTTTACTTGCTTTTACACCCAACTGTCTGTCTCTCCGTCATTTCTCCTCTTCCTCTTCCTGTTTCAGCGTAAACATCCAGCTGCGGCACGCCATCATTTGCCTCCTGATCCCCATCTCGCTCCCTCGCTCCTCTTCCTCTTCCTTTCATCCTCGCTAATTCGCTCTAACTCTCACATATAGACACAGACGCTCCACGCCTCCTCCCTCTTCCTGCAGCTGGAATCGGCTCCTCGCCTGGATCCAATCGATTCGCTCGGCGTTCAGCTGATCCTCGGCTCTGATTAATGCATGGAAGTCAGGCTCTATTTGGAGGATCCAGACCTCGATTAAATCAGCAGTAAAGAGGAGAGAGAGCGTGGGCAGTCTGTTTTCTAGGAGAAAAGTAAAAGTCTCCAAAAATGACTCCTGTAAGCTTTCTAATGATCGTATCCATAATTTCACAGCCGTATATCTCAGTCCGTAACTTTGCTGTGTTCACAAGAAGAGATTTGGCCTTGAGGGTAGAAACTGACTTATGAAACAGACTCCTACACTCAGAAAACACCCTGATGAGCTGATATCCCAGCGCTGGAAAACTCCCTGATCCACACACACACTCACACACTCCAGCGATTAACAGGACTACGACGATCCCATCTGCCCTGCCTCTCCGGTTATGGAGCTGTCCAAAGGTTTACAAGCACACTACCGGCATTTTCCCTCCAGTGAAAACAGCGAACAGAGCGAGCCGACCTCTGACCTGCCAGAGCAGAAAACACTGAGCGCTCGGTGAGTCAGAGAGGAACCCGGTGGGTGGATTCAGTTTTGTTTTCTGGCTGACTGTGGAGCTGGTTCACTGACAGGCTGCTGGCTGACCTTGTTGGCAGGATTGCTAACTGTCTGGCTAGTTGATGACGGAGCAGAAACAGGAATCAAGAACAGCAGACAGTCGTGTTTGTTTGAAGGGAGAGGATAAAAAAAACATATCCAAGCTGAGACTCAGATGAGAGGATGAATATCTCTTCAACAGCTGGCTGTTAATTAGGAAGTGAAGCCAGAGTCATGCTCCTCTTTATTTGATGGGACAGCTTGAGAGAGAGGGAAGATGTGCACTAATACATACGATCACCATGATGAAGACTGTCCTCTGTTATGCTCTGCTAACTCTGTTAAGTCTACATTACCACAGACGGATGAAACACACCACAACACCGAGTTAGACACCCCCTCAAGAGATGAATGTTGCCGACCGCTTGCTTCTCTAGTTATACCAACTTTAGTAACGACCACATGATAGCAATACACAGCGGTCTGAGGAGCCATAAACAAACATCAACCAAAACGCCACTCTATAGCCACCAAACATCTTTTTAACTTTGACTCATTTCTTTAGCAAAGCGACTAAACACAACTCACCTACTCTCTTCCAGCAGCCGCTTGTTTGTGGGGAAGCCCTGACAAGTCAATCACCGAGTGCAGCGGAGTTTCACAGCTCAAGGAAGAACATTTATGATCATTATTTCATGGAAATGCAATCAGACCGAGACGCTATGGAAGAAGAACTACCGCATCTGCAGTGCAAAATGATTAATATGATGATTATTACTTCATGGAAGTCAAGAAATGACCATAAATGTTCTTCCTTGAACTGTGAAACTCCGCTGCACTCTGTGATCGATTCGTCAGGGCTCCCCCACAAACAAGCGGCTACTGGAAGAGAGTAGGTGAGTTGTGTTTAGTGTCTTTTCTAAAGAAATCAGGCAAAGTTAAAAAGATGTTTGGTGGCTAGTTCTATGTCTGGGACCCTATATGTACTGTTGATGAAGTTAGGTGCTGTTCTGAGCATTATTTGTGGCTATAGAGTGGCGTTTTGGTTGAAGTTTGCGCATGGAGACGTAGACCGCTGTGTATTGCTATTGTGCTGTTGTTACTAAAGTTGGTATAGCTAGAGAAGCAAGCGGTCGGCAACATTCATCTCTCGAGGGGAGAGATGAATGTTCGACTCAGTTACCAAGTCGAGAAAAAGCAAAATCGGAGGTGGAAACAAGATGGCTTCATCTATGAAAGTTATTTTAGCCCTTGCCTTGTCTGAATATGAGGCAAGCGCTAAAATAACTTTCGTAGATGTAGCCATCTTGTTTCCACCTCCGATTTTGCTTTTTTTCGACTTGGTAACTGAAACGCTGGTAACTTGGATGTGACGTCATTTTCAGCTCCAACATCTGACTTTCGAGGTAACTCGGATGCACCACAAGGTACTAACAAAGTAGCAAGGGTTAAGAGTGATGTCAGCATTGTGCAGTATTTTTTTGTTTAAGTCCGAAAAAGACACAGCTGAGTAAAAACATGTCATGGACAATTTTGTGCCGATATCGCATCAATATCAGTATCGGTCAACACTGAAGGCTACAATATCGGTATCGTATTGGAAGTCAAAAAGGTGTATTGGGACACCCCTAATATATAGAATAATTCATCCTAATGTTGCTCCTAACATAATGAAATCGAACCCGTCTATCAGGAAATTCATGATTTATTTATCTCTAACATTATCATAACATAGCCTGACTCTCTCTCTCTCTCTCTCTCTCTCTCTCCTGTTTAAGAGCAGCAGTGTAAACCTGGTCCATGAGCCTCTACAACTCTCCCACCGAGGCGGGACGTGTCAGAACAAGAAACATGTCCTCGCCTCAGGACTGTGGAAAAACTGAGGCGAAAAATACTACCACACCATGGAAATCATAGTGTCAAATTTCAGGTTCAGGGGAGGGGGGTGTGGGGAAGGGGAAAGGAAAAAGTTTTTATTCTCTGCTCATGTTTGGAAAGAGGAAAACTTCCCCACTGAAGGGTCATTAAATTAAAACAGTGATTCACCCATCTGGGGTCAGCTCCAACCAGGTTGCAGAAATGACTAAGAGCACACCGCTGATCCTGGAGTTGTTGTTTTGGTGCCAAAAAGCCACTTCCACCGAGCTGAACGCCTGACAATCACATTCCTCTTTGAGAGCTGGAGCTACAGGAATGTCAAACGCTGCACAAAGCCCCATTCGTCCAGGACCAGAGACCAGAGAAAGGGTTCTCTGGAAGTGGACTGTGTGGTTTTTGGAGCTGTGGCATTGTGAACACGAGCGAATTTAACTTTTGGCCTCGAACGAGCAAAAACAACACAGCCTTTTCTTTTAAGATTCAGCTTTTCTCCTCCTTTAAAACAGGAAACAATCATCCTGCTCACCACCACTCATTTGTGTTGCTGCATGTTTAAGACACAAGAGGTTCATAGTTCACTTCTGCCTGTCATAAAACTGTGACTACATGATTAAACGAGAGCTTTAAACTTCACCTCTAAGTCTCCTTTCACTGTGAACACACTCAGTCTTTTTCAGACGCTCTTATGATTCCCGTTTTTCTAGAAATGATCTCATAGTTTCACCATCCCCCTTCACACAAACACACACACACACACATACAAACGCACAGGGTACACCCAGTCTGATTTGAAGATAGCAGAGCATTTCCAGAATTTGCCCTAAGTGGGGAGGCTGGCGAGGTATAACAGAGAGAAAGACTCCCCTGTTGTGTCTAAATGCCAGCAGCAGTCGTAGTTAAATACTGCAGTGAGACTCGGCTAAAGGATAATGGCTTTAACAGAGTCTTTAAGGAAAACCCATTCAATGACCTCAGACTTTGACTCTTTAAAGAGAGCAATATGAAAAGAAATGGATCAGACGTAGAAGATATAACGCGCAAAAAAGGGAATATTTACGATATTTAGCGACAGTTTAAAACCTCTCAGTATGTGTCCTTTTGCACAAAACAACCACCTCTTCATTTACTTTGTGGTGCACTCTGCAGGGCCACTCACTAAAGACAAAAACTAGGTGTGCACGGATGTATCCACACCTGTAGCATCTTTTTAAAATCTTTGTCAGAGCTGAGAAGTTTTGAGGAGAAACGAGCAAATTTACACAAAAACCAAACCTTAAGGTTCATCAACAAAATCAGACATGGCTCGGAGTAAGCTCAAATTAAATTTTTAACATCGGCTTTGTTTTTCACAATTAGTGCATCTTCAACAAAAACCTCAATGTTATTATAAATTACATCTTTAAAGCTCCAGTGAGGGACTCTCAATTTGTGGGTGCTTTGTCGCCCCCTGTGGACAAATCAGTCTTTGCCTAGTTAAGTGATTTCACACCAGAAATCTCATCTGCAGACTTTTCACAACGAAATCTATCAGTTATTGTGAATATTTCATGTGTAAACTGTAAAAGAAGACTCTTTCTTCAGCTACTCAGCTGACACCGATCTCCTTGTGTGAATTTCAGACATTAAAAATCACAAGATAAAAATCTTGTCGTCAATGTTTTTTTATTGCCTTTTTGTATCATGAAAAGGCATCAATACGAATTTTGGTTTATTTTATTAACATAAAAAAAATCCTCACAGGAGCTTTAAAATAAAAAATCAAAACTTTATCAATATTACTAAAAATCGTGTTGTTTGTGTGGGGCATTATTTTAATCACTGCCTGAATTGTAGTTTCCTTCTCGGTAAATAAATCAGTCAGAAAAATATTGGTAATGCTAAATATTTAATATTCAAATAACTTGTAGGTGTTTTGTTTAAATCTGATCACAGTAGGATCTCGTTCATACAGATAAGAGTTTTTAACAATCATGCGGTCACTTCATAGAAAAATTATCAGAAGCATTAATGACTGACAGAGTTTCAGTAACGTGTGGATTATTTGATCAGATTTACATCAAATTTTTTAATGATTAACTCTGTATATCTTGCCTTTTTAATAGTGCATAAATCAACTATTTCCTGATTTATTTTCTTTTAATGTAAATATTTAAAAAGTTTCCGACGATAAATCTCTATTTACAGGAAACGGGTCTTTGGATGTTGAGACTATTTGATGGAAATAGATGTACAGCTCTTTAAAACCGAGGAATAAATGACAAGTTACGTAAACCAGTTGATTATTAATTTCCTTTAAGTCAATTAATAAACTAAATGTCGAGATAAGAAAGTGCTGAGAAAGATTATAAGAAGTATGAGCAAGAAGTCGTATTCACCTGCAGGAGGTCATCGCTCAGCACCTCAGTTTTCTCAGCTCTGTTGAGAGAACAGACAAGAGGCCAAAGGTTAGAGATAAATAATACAATACCATAAAAAGAAAGAAGTATAGACACATAGATAAACTGCCTTCAACATGCAGAGATAAGGCATCAAACCACAATCATTAGAGCGATAAAATACAATCTAAGGATATGATTTCAGAGCGCTCTTTCAGCATCTAATCTATATTAATCCATAAAACACACACTTGTCTGTACTGGAAATACAATTCTACACACTAGAGTTGTATTTCAGCGACACAAGACCAAACCTGCTGTTGAAACTGAACTAAAAAGCCAACACAGCAAACTCTGAATTAAAGCAACACAGTCGATCCTGCACAACCTGTCTGCAGTCTGAGCCTGCAGCGACGGTACGAGTGTGCGTTACACGTCATCCAAATTCAACCGTTACGTGATACGCCAGCTGATGATGGGAAATTAGTCAGGATACATCAATTACTAGTTCCCTGTTTGTGCACACATACTCGGCGTTTATGTGCAAACAGACAAGCCCTGTGGCTGTTTTCCATGATAGACATGTCGGATTCCTGCGCTCTCCCTTTCGAACACATGCTTCCCGTTGTGTCATCTCCACCTTGTTTGTTATGGCAACAGAACAAAGGTGTGTGAATTTGGAGGGGGGAGGGAGCCGCGCGGAGGCTTGTTGGTGTCTGGAACAGGTCGCACATTGTAGTAGACCTTGCAGTAAATAGAAAAACAGTGATGTCATTAAAAAAAACTTTGAGAACATGTCGACTAAACGCCAAAATAAAACCCTGAAAATGTGATACTTTACCATTACATGTGACCTCAGCAGCTCATTTGGATTATACCGCCTCGTTAAAATCTGTGAGCAACTCATCGCTCACCTTGTCGATACCCCGCTAAAAAAAACACTGACGCACACACTTGCTGCATCTACACACTAATCTCCAAAGACCCCTTCCAGAACGAGCCCACGCTATAGATTCAAACCTCACAGGGATCAATTAACCCTCACCCACACACAGTTATTACCTAATACCGGTGTAAGTAACACCCTATGGATAGAGGCTTACCTCATAACGTCTAGAATATCCTCACTGCTAATCGAACCGCCAGCTGCAAACCGCAAGATTCTTACATGTCTGTTAGAAAAGTTGGACTAACACACAGATATGAAACACTTCACTTCAGCTGCTCTCTCTCTCTGAGAAATACGAGACTGCTTTTTCATGTAGCCAGCTCTCTGGAGGCCTCATCCACTGCTGCCGAGCTTCAAAGTTAGACATGATTTTTCTCTGTTTAAAAAGTCCACTTAAAGGGATATTCTGGTGTAAAATTTATTTAGGGTCAAACACACCGTACACCGAGTTAGACACCCCCTCGAGAGATGAATGTTGCCGACTAATTGCTTCTCTAGTCATACCAACTTTAGTAACGACCGCATGATAGCAATACAGAGAGCCACTCAGAACAGCACCTAACTTCATCAACAGTACATATAAGGTCCAAGCCATAGTACTAGCCACTAAACATCTTTTTAACTTTGCCTAATTTCTTTAGCAAAAAGACTAAACAATACTCACCTACTCTCTTCCAGCAGCTGCTTGTTTGTAGTGAGATCCATTACGGACTGCTGTGGGGTGCCGCAGCTCAAGGAAGAACATTTATGATCATTTCTTCATGGAAATACAATCAGAACGAGACGCTAAGGCAGGAGAACTACCGCGTCTGCAGTGCAAAATGATTAATATGATGATTATTACTTCAAGGAAATGATAAAGTAATGATCATAAACGTTCTTCCTCGAGCTGCGTAACCCCACTGCAGTCCGTAATGGGCTGGCCTGAGGTCTCCCTACAGACAAGTGGCTGCTGGAAGAGAGTAGGTGAGTTGTGTTTAGTTCTGAGCATTATTTGTGGCTATAGAGTGGCGTTTGGTTGAGGTTTATCTATGGCTCCTCAGACCGCTGTGTATTGCTATCCTGCAGTCGTTACTTAAGTTGGTAAAACTAGAGAAGCAAGCGGTCGGCAACATTCATCTCTCGACGGGGTGTCTAACTCAATGTTACAGTGTGTTTGACCCCCACATGTTTGAATTCCTGAATCTGAAAGGGACAAATTGGAGATGAGAAAGCGAAAAGAAAAACAAAAAACAAAGTAGGAAGTTTTACGAGCTCTTTTAAGGGAGTCGTCAATCTGTGATGTAACAAATTGAGCCAATCCCACGCCCCTCTAATATACCTCTAAACAAGATTCCAACTAACCGACCAATTAGACGCTCATAAAACAGTCTAAATTGAGCACACTTCTTTTATTAAGGCTGAACACAAAAGTACGCGGGTTAATTACGCCAAACTGGTTTGCGGGGTGTTGCTAACATTAGCATAATTGGTTCCTCCTCCTTCCTAGTTAACATTGAATTCCTGGTTACTACTTTAACCAGACAGAACCTACTTACAAACCATATAAATCCTGAAGTTTTGGTCCCTGCTCACTTCCCGCTAATATACGTCACATGTTTCAGACTTCCTGAGCAGCAGAGGACCTTCCAAGAAAAGAGGAAACTCTTGATTGATGTTTAAAAAAGAGTGAAGAAAAAAAATGAGGAAAAAATAAATTGAATTTTCAGCAGGCGGCTGATAAGCTTCCTACTTATTCTCACAATCACAGCTCGTCTCTCTTCCAGTTAAAGGGTTTTATTTATCGCCCGTACACTATATGAAGGCGTGAAATATGATCTGCAGCTGGGATGCCTTCACGCTGATCCATATGATCCCATTACACGTCAGGCTTCACTCTCAGGGAGCATGTTTAGATTCCTATCAATAGTGAATTAGCATTGATTTGACTGGAGCACAGCTTGGCCCTGCTATTGTTCTAAAAATAAACTCCCACAATGCTGGAGCCCATACCCTGACAGAAAACTTGGAGCACAACGCCACAGAAAGAAAGAGCCGAACAGGAACGGAGCGCTCCAAAAACAGACTCTCTAACTGACGAAGAAACCTGCTTATTTCATGTTTTTATATGAGGCTTGACTGCCTGCATCTTCACCCCAGATTAGAGTCTTGATTCTGCAAAGTGCTCCACTATAGCACGCATGTCTCACCAGCTCTACCACCCTCACCCATCACGCCAATCTGCGACTGAATCAAACTGCTTCCCCTTTATTAATCACATGTAAATCAAACTGGCTTCCTCTTTTGTCAAAACACCCTCTCCCTCTCTCTCTTTCTCTCTCTGTGTCTCTGCGTGCGTGACGTCCCCCGGCCCTCCGCTGTGTCCCTGTCAACAAACTGTGGAAATGCTTACTCCACAAAAAAAAAAGGGCCTCCATGCCGGGCCCTTCCTGTGCCAAACAGAGAACCAAAACAACGCTTGCAGAGATCCACTGGGTTGTGAAAGAGAGAAAGAGCAATCACATAAGAGAGTCATAATCACTGAAGTATGATTTGGGAGCATCCAAAATAAAGAAGGAGGGGGTAGAGGACTTCTCCGAACCCTGTTTGGGGGGAATTATCTAGCACAAGACAACGCAAGGATGCTTTAAGTTTTTCTTTTTAATCAGGGCAGCTTACAACCTCTTCTTCAAACTATTGTAGATGCAAACTGTGACAGCTGTGCCACAATCATAACCCCATTTCTGAGCGAGTCTTGTGCAGAAAGCGTGGATAAGGAGATAGTTGTGCGGCTACCTTTTGTGTTTTTACTTTGACTTGTTCTTATCTTCATTTAAAAATAAAGAAAAATCTATTTTATTGATTATTTGATCACAGCTCCATCTACGAAACAGATCTACACAAGGAATAGAGGCATTAAAGCTCATGTAAGGAGGACTGAAATTCATATTTACTATATTCCTTAGGAAACAAGTCCATCAGCGTAATGATTTTTGGTTCTTATACTCTAATTTTTAATGCCTGAAACTGAAGTATTAGGGTAGATGTCACCTGAACAGGTAGAAAAAATCAAATGAAGTCTACTTTTTCAAAAGGGGGCACCAAAATTGAAAGTTGCGCCCTGTTTTGAGTCAAAAGTCCCTCACAGGAGCTTTAACAGATGTTTAGCAGAAGTAATTTGCAGGGAAATCAAAAAAAAAAGAAGAAAAGTAGTAAAAAGAAGAATATATTTTTGTTTTAGGTTGTTGGCCTTATATGACTTTTAATAAACTATAAATAGTTTAACCAGTTATGAAATCAAACTCACTATTTGACCCCTGAGGTCTTCAGTGATCCTTCACCGCACATTTCCACTCCAACCACCTCTATATAAAACCCAATACTGCGGATCTGGACCGCTTTTTATAGAAAATCTAAACTCCCACTTTGTTTTAGTCATGCAGCGGTGCAAAAAGCACCAGAGGGATTTCCTGGCATGTTAAACTCTCCTCGCAGAAAAGCCACAAAAGTCCAAACACTCCTGCCTCTCTGCAAAGCAAGCTGTCACTCTGCTCGGTTTGGTTTTACTGCTCTTACACAACATATGGAGGAATGTGTGGAGGAATCCAGCGGCTGCAGGGTTTTACTGGTCGGAAAGTCATTTTGAAAGGGACATAACTCGGAGGGCATCATCTGCAGACGACATTAATGCAGCAATAACTGGAGATATGGTCTCAGAGATGGCTGCTGATAGAGGCTGGAAGCCCCTGTGGGGACGGAGATGAAGGGAATGGAGAGGAGGGGGTGTAAATACTGTGTTTGTGTGTTTGTGTATCAGGGGGGTCGAAAACTGCCATAAACACACATCAGGAAATGTGTGCTGCAGTCTACAATGACTCTAAAATAACATCTCACAGTGTAAAGACCAGAAGTGAAAAGGGGTCCTGCAAACCCTGAAGTCTGCCTTCAGGTTAAGTGAATGTTTAATCGATTAATAGATCCAAACTTCACTTGTGAAAAATACACTTTTGCAAATACAGGGCTCTCAAGTCTCACGCAATCAGCGTGAGACACACGCATTTCCACCCGTTCACACGCTCACACGCCACACATTGTATTTCTCACGCATTTAAATGAACACGGTGATGTCCACCATGTTGCACCTCTTTAACTATGGAACAGGTAGGAATCAACTGAGTTTCTCCGAGAGTTCAGAAGCTGCGTGCCACGCGCAAGCCAATCAAATAAAGTATATCTACTGAACAGCCAATCAAAAAGGAGCATTGCTGTATCCGGGAAGATTTTGATATCTTGCGGTTTGACTACAGAAGAAGACAGACACTCGCCGTAATAGAGCAGGTTATTTATAAGGACGAGATAGACCCGATGATTACAGTAAGTCAGTAACCTACACATGCAGAGATCTCAACACCTCATGGCATATAAACTCATATGATAAACTAAAGCCCTATGCTATTGCTATTAACAGCTGTATTGACGGATTTAGTCTCTGTACAGCCATTTCCAGCCATTTTCCCCTCCGCAAAAGCAGCATTTCTCATATATCTCAAATATAAGTTCTGATACTCATGACAGTGTAATGCTCATGTACCAAAGGATTAAGTATCTCCATGTTTGTGACACCTATACTAAAGTACAATTCATCTAAATGTTCCACAGTGCTGATTTTAACAACTCTCCTTCACAACAGGTAACTTTACTACTTAATACTGAGATATTAATAACTTTATTCTCCCAAATAATAACTTTATTCTTTGAGATTAAAAGGCGCTTTTTTTCTAATTGTGCCCCTTATACTCCGTTGTATTTAAGAGATAATTATACTCCCCCCCCCCCCAAGGAAATCTCACTCTAAGCTTAGTTCAACACTTGAGAGCCCTGCAAATATATCTTCTAGTTCTTGCATGTAATTATTGAGAATCTGCTGCTTTTGCACAAAATAATAACTTTATTCTTTGAGATTAAAAGGCGCTTTTTTTCTAATTATGCCCCTTATACTCCGTTGTATTTAAGAGATAATTATACTCCCCCCCCCCCAAGGAAATCTCACTCTAAGCTTAGTTCAACACTTGAGAGCCCTGCAAATATATCTTCTAGTTCTTGCATGTAATTATTGAGAATCTGCTGCTTTTGCACAGTTTATGTCCTTTAAAGCCATTTTTGTCAAAACGGAGCTTTTCTTGATACAGTCGATGAATCAGTTAATCGATTCAATCAAACAAATAAAGGTCTAGTCGACTAGAGGAGATTACCAAAGTGACATTCTGACATGAGCAGCCAACTCTACAGGTACTTATCAGGTTTAAACCCAGCCCAACCCTGAAGAAGACGGATGATGGACTACAACAAACTGTCAAACTGTGAGAAGGAACCACAGAGCAGGATTATAAATGACACAAACATGCAGCATAGAGGTTTAAATCAACGCTTACCTTCCAACAGTCTGGTTGGCGAGTTGCTTCATGCGGTTAAACTGTTTCTTCATCTTTTCCTCTCCTTTGTCTCTCCCTAAAAGTCTGTAAAAGTTGGCTGCGCCCCGGAGCGCCCTCGTTCATCCACCGTGGATCCAAAAAGTTGCGCTACGTCGCAGCCATTGTGGCGGAATAAAGGGCTGAGCTCAGGCGAGTTGAACACAGTTTAACAGCTGATCGGTTTCTCTGCTTAAACCCGGTGACATTTGTGACTAAGAAAACCAAGAGGAGTCAACAGGCGACGAGCTTGAGGATCTCCATTGCCACGAAAACCAGACTTCCTACTATGCAGAGAGGAGTGTGAGCAACCAGTGAGGTAGGAAGGAGGAAGTGTCTTTACTTCCCTACTGTACGCTGCACGGCCCATTACTGACATGTGATACCTTAGCAAGAAAGGAAAAAAAAGCATTGAGTCAGCTATTGGGCTGTCAGAGTTATGACACAGCCACAAATCACTGCCCTTTAAAAAATACTTTTTAATGTTTTTTTAATAACTTGTAGATAAAAGTTTTAATGTTCAGAGTAAAAACAGGTTTGTTTCCAAGAGGGGGGCAGTGCAAATAGTTTGGGAGTACACGTTAGTGATGGGCACTGCAGCTCTTTAAGATGTACTGAATCACTAGAATCAGTTCACTAAAATGATTCGTTCAGAAGATTCGTTCATCGAATTACCGAATCATTCAGCGCTTGGTGGGAGGAGCCTGTGACTCTAACTTTCTGAACTGAAACACAGCTGAACGATTCAGGATTCAGTTCAATAGTTTCTTGGACTAGGAGACGAGAGTGTTTGTCTGTGTTACTTTGGCAAACAAGTTTGTAAAAATGAACTTGTTCATTAGTCATGATGTTTTAAGTGTACTGTCCTATGGTATGCTATTTATCAGGTCTGCTCTGTAAATTGGGCTCAATGAGTGATTTGTTCACTGAACGTTTGGAAGAATTCACACTGAACATACACTGTTCCCTCACAATCCGCTGAAATGATACGATCCTGCGGGTTTAATTCACTACTTGTAACATGCTGTGTCCTATTGTATGCTAGTTGTTGTGGTGGCAATTTAGCAGTGAAAAAAAAAGGTTTGTCTGACAAAACAGTGCGTGATTTCTTTACCAAGTGATTTAGGCGTTGGTGCATGCGATCCCTTGTTTGCCGGCTGCTCGCCTGGCAATGCTGCATGCTATAGCATCTGCTAACAGCTCAACTGAGAAACGATCAGTACTTTACTGAAAAGATTCGGTTCTTTTGAAGGAATCGTTCGCGAACGAAACAACACTTGTACACGTCTTTCCTACAGGAAAAATAAAGGATATGTTAATATTGCAAATTGGACGGACACCTTTTTGTAAAACACATTAAAGCAGCTTACTCAAAACAACACTAATAGGCATAAAACACTTAAAAACAGCATACATACACCTTTAAAATACATTTACAGTTTATTAACTCAAACTCAACTTTATTTTTATGGCACTTTTCAGACAAAAAAATGCAGTTCGAAGTGCCTCACAGAGTCTAATAACAACAATTAACTAGGGCCCCGGTGGGGCACTGGCGGGCCCGAGCCGTGTCGCGCCGCCCCCAGCGTGACCGCCTCCCCCTCCCGATTGCGTCACACTCAAGGTCCAAAGATGGTGTGCGCACTTGTCTGTGGTCATTTACCATTATAATGAATGGGAGGCGCAGTTTCTACCAAAACGCTCGCTGCAGACAAACTCCATGTCCTTTTTGAAAATAGTCTGGACCATGAGTGAGGGCACAAACACAGCTAGTATATATCCAAATGGCAAGTTGCTCCTCCTTTCGGTTTTGCCGGGAGAGCGATGCGTTTGAGCCATTGAGCGATGGGCAGGAAAAACTTGACTTTTTCTCCTGCCATAGGGGGGCGCTCTTTTGGGGAGAAAAAATTCCTTCACAAATGTGTTGATGGCTGGACATTGCATCATCCTAGAAAACTTGGAGGCCAGTGAGGACAAAAATAAAAGGTTATTAGACTTTTAAGAATGTGGATTTTTGGGTTATCTTTGGCGCCCCCTAGAACGTAGACCGTGGGGTGCAGCGTCATGATTTTTACAACTTTGAATGGCCATGGGGTGTAGATTGGCCTGAGCAAATTTGGTGCCAATGGGACGAAAGCCCTAGGAGGAGTTAGCCACATTCCAATGTGTGCGGATCGGCAAAAAATGCGGAATAGCCCTTTAACCGTACATTTTACAGATACGTGCCTATTGAGTTTTTCGTAGATCTGATTGAGATACACGTGATTGTCAAATTTTGTGTCAATATGACAAAGCGTATAGGTGTGACACTCAACAATGTGTATTTTCACCTTAGGGGACAAGAAAAAATTGCCTTTTTTCTCCTGCCATGGGGGCGCTCTTTTGGGGAGTAAAAATTCCTTCACAAATGTGTTGATGGCTGGACATTGCATCATCCTATAAAACTTGGAGGCCAGTGAGGACAAAATTAAAAAGTTATAAGACTTTTAAGAATGTGGATTTTTGGGTTATCTTTGGCGCCCCCTAGAACCTAAACCGTGGGGTGCAGCGTCATGATTTGTACAACTTTTAATGGCCATGGGGTGTAGATTGGCCTGTGCAAATGTGGTGCCAGTGGAACGAAAGCCTTAGGAGGAGTTAGCAAAATTCCAATGTGTGCGAATCGGCAAAAAATGCAAAATAGCCCTTTAACAGTACATTTTACACTTACGTGCCCGTTGACTTTTTCATAGATCTTATTGAGATACACATGTGTGTCAAATTTTGTGTCATTTTGACAAAGCGTACAGGTGTCAGGTGAGTTTTCACCATAGGGGGCGCTATGGAGCCATTTTTCATTTTTTTGTTTGGGCGACTTCAGAATATCAAATTTTTCACCAGGCCCGGTCGTCCTGCCAAATTTCCTGAGTTTTCGTCAGTGGGAAGTGGGCCATTTTCCAGTTTAAAGCGGAGGAAAAATAACGAAAGAAGAATCCATCAGGAACAAGAGGGCTCTCGCAGCTGCTGAGCAGCTACGCTCGGGCCCTAACAACAATAAAACCCGACCCTCCCACCCACACACCCACCCGTGTAATGCTAAAGAGACATTACATGAGGAAAGGGAAACTCTGGAAATAAAAGATAAAAGGTAAAAAGAAAGACATCCCTAAGACGAGAACTAACAATGAAATAGATCAATATATAACTAAAAACTCCTCCTCCATGTTTATCAGTGCTGTAAATGATAGAGAAATAATTGATATTGTCAAAACACTTAAGAATAAAAAGTCCACTGATTGTTTTGATATAGACATGACATTAGTAAAAAGTATTATAGAATATATTGTGCAACCATTTACATACATTTGTAACCTTTCTTTTCAAACAGGTATTTTTCCTTCGAAAATGAAAACAGCAAAAGTTATTCCTATATATAAAAGTGGAGATAGGCACCAATTTACCAATTATAGACCAATATCACTACTTCCGCAGTTCTCAAAGATTTTAGAAAAATTATTTGATCATAGACTTGAAACATTTATTGAGAAACATAATCTTTTAAGTGACAATCAATATGGCTTCAGGGCAAAAAGGTCCACCTCGATGGCAGTGATGGAACTTGTGGAAGGGATATCTACTGCAATAGACAACAAGGAATATACAGTTGGTGTTTTTATAGACTTAAAAAAGGCATTTGACACTATTGATCATAGTATATTAATGAATAAACTAGAGAGATGTGGTATTAGAGGATTAGCATACATGTGGATGGAAAGTTACCTGGATGACAGATATCAGTATGTGCAATTAAATAATGTAAAATCAAATCAATTGAGGGTCACTTGTGGGGTCCCTCAAGGGTCTGTGTTAGGCCCGAAATTATTCATATTATATATCAATGATATCTGCTATGTTTCCAAACTGTTAAAATGTGTTTTGTTTGCTGATGACACCACTCTCTATTGCTCTGGTCAAAACCTAGAACAGCTTCTGACTACAGTTGAAAAGGAATTAAATATTCTGAAATATTGGTTTGACATTAATAAGTTATCTCTGAATTTAAATAAAACAAAGTTTATCATTTTTGGCACCAGAAAAATAAAAACTCAAGTTAAAATCAGGATCAATTGCATCGAAATAGAAAGAGTGAATGAAAACAAATTTCTTGGTGTGATAATTGATGATAAGCTTTGTTGGAAGCCACATATAAATAATGTGAAAACCAAAATGTCAAAAACCATTGCTATACTTTATAAAACAAAGGACATCCTCAACAAGAAATCACTATACACGCTATATTGTTCTCTGTTACTTCCATATATGACCTATTGTGTGGAGATATGGGGTAGCACATATAAAACCAATACTGATCCTATCTTTAGGTTACAAAAAAGAGCTATAAGAATTATAAATCGATCCCACTTTCTTGAATCAACTAATGCACTGTTTCTTAATTCAAATACCCTTAAATTTTATGATTTAGTTGAATTTAAAATGGCTCAGATAATGTATAAAGCACATAATAATTTACTTTGCCGTAGTACTCTGAGGCTGTTTGAAACCAGAGAGAGTCAATATGATTTGAGGGGAACAGGTTTCTTCAAAAAAACTAAGACAAGAACGAATATTAAGCAGAGGTGTGTTTCTGTTAGAGGTGTTAACCTGTGGAATAGCTGTGATGATGAATTAAGAATGTGTAGTTCACTTTCCTTATTTAAGAACATGTATAAAACTAAAGCAATAAGAAAATATTTAAATCCGGTATGAAGAAGAGCAATAACAAAATATTGAAATTTTTGGTTGTGTCTGTATACTTGTTATGGAATATTGTTGGTTTATTTATTTTCTAACATGTTTTTGAGAATTTATCTTTTCTTTCTCTCTTTTTCCCTTTTCTTTAGAAGACTTGTGGTGTAACTCAGACCATGTTGTTAAAGAGTCGCCTTGCTAAAGTTTTTGTTTTTTTGTAAAAAGGGTAGGCAAAATAAGCATGAGCTTCAGCCTACACCTTTTCGATTAGCTTTATGATCCTTTTGAAATTTACTATGTATCTGTTGTGGGTGGATTTTAAATGCTAATCGAATAAAAAAAATAATTGAATTGAAAAAAAAAAAGTAAAACCTCATGGGCTAAAACAAGAAAATAACATCAAATGAACGGAGAAGTAAGAACTCTTAACCATGTAAAAGGGGTAAAAGAAGTAAAAACCTATGACGGGAATTAAGAAAAAGAAGAACAGAGATAATTAATAAAATGACATAAAATAAACATTAAGAACTTCGATTAAAATGAACATTTGCAATAAGAGAAATATAAAAAGGCAGTAAATGAAAAGCCTGGTTTAAGCTGTTGTTTTAGTGTTCTTTTGATGAGTTTGGCTTGTTGTTATGAACATTGTTCGTTTTGGCCAGTTTGAACAATTTTGAGCATGTGTAATGGCATGAATGTGTTGAATTAGTAATCCAATGTGTTAAGCCGTTGTTTTAGTGTTCTTTTGATGAGTTTGGCTTGTTGTTATGAAAAGTGTTTGTTTTGGCGAGTTTGAACGTTTTTGAGCATGTGTAATGGCATGAATGCGTTAAGCTGTTGTTTTAGTGTTCTTTTGATGAGTTTGGCTTGTTGTTATGAAAAGTGTTTGTTTTGGTGAGTTTGAACGTTTTTGAGCATGTGTAATGGCATGAATGCGTTAAGCTGTTGTTTTAGTGTTCTTTTGATGAGTTTGGCTTGTTATGAAAAGTGTTCGTTTTGGCCAGTTTGAAGGTTTTTGAGCATGTGTAATGGCATGAATGTGTTGAATTAGTAATCCCTTGTGTTAAGCCGTTGTTTTAGTGTTCTTTTGATGCGTTTAGCTTGTTGTTATGAAAAGTGTTTGTTTTGGCGAGTTTGAACGTTTTTGAGCATGTGTAATGGCATGAATGCGTTAAGCTGTTGTTTTAGTGTTCTTATGATGAGTTTGGCTTGTTGTTATGAACATTGTTCGTTTTGGCCAGTTTGAAGGTTTTTGAGCATGTGTAATGGCATGAATGTGTTGAATTAGTAATCCCTTGTGTTAAGCTGTTGTTTTAGTGTTCTTTTGATGAGTTTGGCTTGTTGTTATGAAAAGTGTTTGTTTTGGCGAGTTTGAACGTTTTTGAGCATATGTAATGGCATGAATGCGTTAAGCTGTTGTTTTATTGTTCTTTTGATGAGTTTGGCTTGTTGTTATGAACATTATTCGTTTTGGCCAGTTTGAACGTTTTTGAGCATGTGTAATGGCATGAATGTGTTGAATTAGTAATCCCTTGTGTAAAGCCGTTGTTTTAGTGTTCTTTTGATGACTTTGGCTTGTTGTTATGAAAAGTGTTTGTTTTGGCGAGTTTGAACGTTTTTCAGCATGTGTAATGGCATGAATGCGTTAAAATGTTGTTTTAGTGTTCTTTTGATGAGTTTGGCTTGTTATGAAAAGTGTTTGTTTTGGCGAGTTTGAACGTTTTTGAGCATGTGTAATGGCATGAATGCGTTAAGCTGTTGTTTTAGTGTTCTTTTGATGAGTTTGGCTTGTTGTTATGAAAAGTGTTTGTTTTGGCGAGTTTGAACGTTTTTGAGCATATGTAATGGCATGAATGCGTTAAGCTGTTGTTTTATTGTTCTTTTGATGAGTTTGGCTTGTTGTTATGAACATTATTCGTTTTGGCCAGTTTGAAGGTTTTTTAGCATGTGTAATGGCATGAATGTGTTGAATTAGTAATCCCTTGTGTTAAGCCGTTGTTTTAGTGTTCTTTTGATGAGTTTGGCTTGTTGTTATGAAAAGTGTTTGTTTTGGCGAGTTTGAACGTTTTTGAGCATGTGTAATGGCATGAATGCGTTAAGATGTTGTTTTAGTGTTCTTTTGATGAGTTTGGCTTGTTGTTATGAAAAGTGTTTGTTTTGGCGAGTTTGAACGTTTTTGAGCATGTGTAATGGCATGAATGCGTTAAGCTGTTGTTTTAGTGTTCTTTTGATGAGTTTGGCTTGTTGTTATGAAAAGTGTTTGTTTTGGCGAGTTTGAACGTTTTTGAGCATGTGTAATGGCATGAATGCGTTAAGCTGTTGTTTTAGTGTTCTTTTGATGAGTTTGGCTTGTTGTTATGAAAAGTGTTTGTTTTGGCGAGTTTGAACGTTTTTGAGCATGTGTAATGGCATGAATGCGTTAAGCTGTTGTTTTAGTGTTCTTTTGATGAGTTTGGCTTGTTGTTATGAAAAGTGTTTGTTTTGGCGAGTTTGAACGTTTTTGAGCATGTGTAATGGCATGAATGCTTTAAGCTGTTGTTTTAGTTGTCTTATGATGAGTTTGGCTTGTTGTTATGAACATTGTTCGTTTTGGCCAGTTTGAAGGTTTTTTAGCATGTGTAATGGCATGAATGTGTTGAATTAGTAATCCCTTGTGTTAAGCCGTTGTTTTAGCGTTCTTTTGATGAGTTTGGCTTGTTGTTGTTAAAGTGTTTGTTTTGGCGAGTTTGAACGTTTTTGAGCATATGTAATGGCATGAATGCGTTAAGCTGTTGTTTTAGTGTTCTTTTGATGAGTTTGGCTTGTTGTTATGAAAAGTGTTTGTTTTGGCCAGTTTGAAGGTTTCTGAGCATGTGTAATGGCATGAATGTGTTGAATTAGTAATCCCATGTGTTAAACCGTTGTTTTAGTGTTCTTTTGATGAGTTTGGCTTGTTGTTATGAAAAGTGTTTGTTTTGGCGAGTTTGAACGTTTTTGAGCATGTGTAATGGCATGAATGCGTTAAGCTGTTGTTTTAGTGTTCTTTTGATGAGTTTGGCTTGTTGTTATGAACATTGTTCGTTTTGGCCAGTTTTAAGGTTTTTTAGCATTTGTAATGGCATGAATGTGTTGAATTAGTAATCCCTTGTGTTAAGCCGTTGTTTTAGTGTTCTTTTGATGAGTTTGGCTTGTTGTTATGAAAAGTGTTTGTTTTGGCGAGTTTGAACGTTTTTGAGCATGTGTAATGGCATGAATGCGTTAAGCTGTTGTTTTAGTGTTCTTATGATGAGTTTGGCTTGTTGTTATGAACATTGTTCGTTTTGGCCAGTTTGAAGGTTTTTGAGCATGTGTAATGGCATGAATGTGTTAAGCTGTTGTTTTAGTGTTCTTATGATGAGTTTGGCTTGTTGTTATGAAAAGTGTTTGTTTTGGCCAGTTTGAAGGTTTTTGAGCATGTGTAATGGCATGAATGCGTTAAGCTGTTGTTTTAGTGTTCTTATGATGAGTTTGGCTTGTTGTTATGAACATTGTTCGTTTTGGCCAGTTTGAAGGTTTTTGAGCATGTGTAATGGCATGAATGTGTTGAATTAGTAATCCCTTGTGTTAAGCTGTTGTTTTAGTGTTCTTTTGATGAGTTTGGCTTGTTGTTATGAAAAGTGTTTGTTTTGGCGAGTTTGAACGTTTTTGAGCATATGTAATGGCATGAATGCGTTAAGCTGTTGTTTTATTGTTCTTTTGATGAGTTTGGCTTGTTGTTATGAACATTATTCGTTTTGGCCAGTTTGAACGTTTTTGAGCATGTGTAATGGCATGAATGTGTTGAATTAGTAATCCCTTGTGTAAAGCCGTTGTTTTAGTGTTCTTTTGATGACTTTGGCTTGTTGTTATGAAAAGTGTTTGTTTTGGCGAGTTTGAACGTTTTTGAGCATGTGTAATGGCATGAATGCGTTAAAATGTTGTTTTAGTGTTCTTTTGATGAGTTTGGCTTGTTATGAAAAGTGTTTGTTTTGGCGAGTTTGAACGTTTTTGAGCATGTGTAATGGCATGAATGCGTTAAGCTGTTGTTTTAGTGTTCTTTTGATGAGTTTGGCTTGTTGTTATGAAAAGTGTTTGTTTTGGCGAGTTTGAACGTTTTTGAGCATATGTAATGGCATGAATGCGTTAAGCTGTTGTTTTATTGTTCTTTTGATGAGTTTGGCTTGTTGTTATGAACATTATTCGTTTTGGCCAGTTTGAACGTTTTTGAGCATGTGTAATGGCATGAATGTGTTGAATTAGTAATCCCTTGTGTTAAGCCGTTGTTTTAGTGTTCTTTTGATGAGTTTGGCTTGTTGTTATGAAAAGTGTTTGTTTTGGCGAGTTTGAACGTTTTTGAGCATGTGTAATGGCATGAATGCGTTAAGATGTTGTTTTAGTGTTCTTTTGATGAGTTTGGCTTGTTGTTATGAAAAGTGTTTGTTTTGGTGAGTTTGAACGTTTTTGAGCATGTGTAATGGCATGAATGCGTTAAGCTGTTGTTTTAGTGTTCTTTTGATGAGTTTGGCTTGTTGTTATGAAAAGTGTTTGTTTTGGCGAGTTTGAACGTTTTTGAGCATGTGTAATGGCATGAATGCGTTAAGCTGTTGTTTTAGTGTTCTTTTGATGAGTTTGGCTTGTTGTTATGAAAAGTGTTTGTTTTGGCGAGTTTGAAGGTTTTTTAGCATGTGTAATGGCATGAATGTGTTGAATTAGTAATCCCTTGTGTTAAGCCGTTGTTTTAGCGTTCTTTTGATGAGTTTGGCTTGTTGTTGTTAAAGTGTTTGTTTTGGCGAGTTTGAACGTTTTTGAGCATATGTAATGGCATGAATGCGTTAAGCTGTTGTTTTAGTGTTCTTTTGATGAGTTTGGCTTGTTGTTATGAAAAGTGTTTGTTTTGGCGAGTTTGAAGGTTTCTGAGCATGTGTAATGGCATGAATGTGTTGAATTAGTAATCCCATGTGTTAAACCGTTGTTTTAGTGTTCTTTTGATGAGTTTGGCTTGTTGTTATGAAAAGTGTTTGTTTTGGCGAGTTTGAACGTTTTTGAGCATGTGTAATGGCATGAATGCGTTAAGCTGTTGTTTTAGTGTTCTTTTGATGAGTTTGGCTTGTTGTTATGAACATTGTTCGTTTTGGCCAGTTTTAAGGTTTTTTAGCATTTGTAATGGCATGAATGTGTTGAATTAGTAATCCCTTGTGTTAAGCCGTTGTTTTAGTGTTCTTTTGATGAGTTTGGCTTGTTGTTATGAAAAGTGTTTGTTTTGGCGAGTTTGAACGTTTTTGAGCATGTGTAATGGCATGAATGCGTTAAGCTGTTGTTTTAGTGTTCTTATGATGAGTTTGGCTTGTTGTTATGAACATTGTTCGTTTTGGCCAGTTTGAAGGTTTTTGAGCATGTGTAATGGCATGAATGCGTTAAGCTGTTGTTTTAGTGTTCTTATGATGAGTTTGGCTTGTTGTTATGAACATTGTTCGTTTTGGCCAGTTTGAAGGTTTTTGAGCATGTGTAATAGCATGAATGTGTTGAATTAGTAATCCCTTGTGTAAAGCCGTTGTTTTAGTGTTCTTTTGATGACTTTGGCTTGTTGTTATGAAAAGTGTTTGTTTTGGCAAGTTTGAACATTTTTGAGCATGTGTAATGGCATGAATGCGTTAAGATGTTGTTTTAGTGTTCTTTTGATGAGTTTGGCTTGTTGTTATGAAAAGTGTTTGTTTTGGCGAGTTTGAACATTTTTGAGCATGTGTAATGGCATGAATGCGTTAAGCTGTTGTTTTAGTGTTCTTTTGATGAGTTTGGCTTGTTGTTATGAAAAGTGTTTGTTTTGGTGAGTTTGAACGTTTTTGAGCATGTGTAATGGCATGAATGCGTTAAGCTGTTGTTTTAGTGTTCTTTTGATGAGTTTGGCTTGTTGTTATGAAAAGTGTTTGTTTTTTCGAGTTTGAACGTTTTTGAGCATGTGTAATGGCTTGAATGCGTTAAGCTGTTGTTTTAGTGTTCTTGTGATGAGTTTGGCTTGTTGTTAGGAACATTGTTTGTTTTGGCCAGTTTGAAGGTTTTTTAGCATGTGTAATGGCATGAATGTGTTGAATTAGTAATCCCTTGTGTTAAGCCGTTGTTTTAGTGTTCTTTTGATGAGTTTGGCTTGTTGTTATGAAAAGTGTTTGTTTTGGCGAGTTTGAACGTTTTTGAGCATGTGTACTGGCATGAATGCGTTAAGCTGTTGTTTTAGTGTTCTTATGATGAGTTTGGCTTGTTGTTGTGAACATTGTTCGTTTTGGCCAGTTTGAAGGTTTTTTAGCATGTGTAATGGCATGAATGCGTTAAGCTGTTGTTTTAGTGTTCTTTTGATGAGTTTGGCTTGTTGTTATGAACATTGTTCGTTTTGGCCAGTTTGAACGTTTTTGAGCATGTGTAATGGCATGAATGTGTTGAATTAGTAATCCCTTGTGTTAAGCTGTTGTTTTAGTGTTCTTTTGATGAGTTTGGCTTGTTGTTATGAAAAGTGTTTGTTTTGGCGAGTTTGAACGTTTTTGAGCGTGTGTAATTGCATGAATGCGTTAAGCTGTTGTTTCAGTGTTCTTTTGATGAGTTTGGCTTGTTGTTATGAACATTGTTCGTTTTGGCGAGTTTGAACATTTTTGAGCATGTGTAATGGCATGAATGTGTTGAATTAGTAATCCCTTGTGTTAAGATGTTGTTTTAGTTTTCTTTTGATGAGTTTGGCTTGTTGTTATGAAAAGTGTTTGTTTTGGCGAGTTTGAACGTTTTTGAGCATGTGTAATGGCATGAATGCGTTAAGCTGTTGTTTTAGTGTTCTTTTGATGAGTTTGGCTTGTTGTTATGAACATTGTTCGTTTTGGCCAGTTTGAAGGTTTTTTAGCATTTGTAATGGCATGACTGTGTTGAATTAGTAATCCCTTGTGTTAAGCCGTTGTTTTAGTGTTCTTTTGATGAGTTTGGCTTGTTGTTATGAAAAGTGTTTGTTTTGGCGAGTTTGAACGTTTTTGAGCATGTGTAATTGCATGAATGCGTAAAGCTGTTGTTTTAGTGTTCTCATGATGAGTTTGGCTTGTTGTTATGAACATTGTTCGTTTTGGCCAGTTTGAAGGTTTTTTAGCATGTGTAATGGCATGAATGTGTTGAATTAGTAATCCCTTGTGTTAAGCCGTTGTTTTAGCGTTCTTTTGATGAGTTTGGCTTGTTGTTGTTAAAGTGTTTGTTTTGGCGAGTTTGAACGTTTTTGAGCATATGTAATGGCATGAATGCGTTAAGCTTTTGTTTTAGTGTTCTTTTGATGAGTTTGGCTTGTTGTTATGAAAAGTGTTTGTTTTGGCGAGTTTGAAGGTTTCTGAGCATGTGTAATGGCATGAATGTGTTGAATTAGTAATCCCATGTGTTAAACCGTTGTTTTAGTGTTCTTTTGATGAGTTTGGCTTGTTGTTATGAAAAGTGTTTGTTTTGGCGAGTTTGAACGTTTTTGAGCATGTGTAATGGCATGAATGCGTTAAGCTGTTGTTTTAGTGTTCTTTTGATGAGTTTGGCTTGTTGTTATGAACATTGTTCGTTTTGGCCAGTTTGAAGGTTTTTTAGCATTTGTAATGGCATGAATGTGTTGAATTAGTAATCCCTTGTGTTAAGCCGTTGTTTTAGTGTTCTTTTGATGAGTTTGGCTTGTTGTTATGAAAAGTGTTTGTTTTGGCGAGTTTGAACGTTTTTGAGCATGTGTAATGGCATGAATGCGTTAAGCTGTTGTTTTAGTGTTCTTTTGATGAGTTTGGCTTGTTGTTATGAAAAGTGTTTGTTTTGCTGAGTTTGAACGTTTTTGAGCATGTGTAATGGCATGAATGCTTTAAGCTGTTGTTTTAGTTGTCTTATGATGAGTTTGGCTTGTTGTTATGAACATTGTTCGTTTTGGCCAGTTTGAAGGTTTTTTAGCATGTGTAATGGCATGAATGTGTTGAATTAGTAATCCCTTGTGTTAAGCTGTTGTTTTTGCGTTCTTTTGATGAGTTTGGCTTGTTGTTGTGAAAGTGTTTGTTTTGGCAAGTTTGAAGGTTTTTGAGCATATGTAATGGCATGAATGCGTTAAGCTGTTGTTTTAGTGTTCTTTTGATGAGTTTGGCTTGTTGTTATGAAAAGTGTTTGTTTTGGCGAGTTTGAACGTTTTTGAGCATGTGTAATTGCATGAATGCGTTAAGCTGTTGTTTTAGTGTTCTTTTGATGAGTTCTGCTTGTTGTTATGAACATTGTTCGTTTTGGCCAGTTTGAAGGTTTTTGAGCATGTGTAATGGCATGAATGCGTTAAGCTGTTGTTTTAGTGTTCTTTTGATGAGTTTGGCTTGTTGTTATGAACATTGTTCGTTTTGGCCAGTTTGAAGGTTTTTGAGCATGTGTAATGGCATGAATGCTTTGAATTAGTAATCCCATGTGTTAAGCCGTTGTTTTAGTGTTCTTTTGATGAGTTTGGCTTGTTGTTATGAAAAGTGTTTGTTTTGGCGAGTTTGAACGTTTTTGAGCATGTGTAATGGCATGAATGCGTTAAGCTGTTGTTTTAGTGTTCTTTTGATGAGTTTGGCTTGTTGTTATGAAAAGTGTTTGTTTTGGTGAGTTTCAACGTTTTTGAGCATGTGTAATGGCATGAATGCGTTAAGCTGTTGTTTTAGTGTTCTTTTGATGAGTTTGGCTTGTTGTTATGAAAAGTGTTTGTTTTTTCGAGTTTGAACGTTTTTGAGCATGTGTAATGGCTTGAATGCGTTAAGCTGTTGTTTTAGTGTTCTTGTGATGAGTTTGGCTTGTTGTTATGAACATTGTTTGTTTTGGCCAGTTTGAAGGTTTTTTAGCATGTGTAATGGCATGAATGTGTTGAATTAGTAATCCCTTGTGTTAAGCCGTTGTTTTAGTGTTCTTTTGATGAGTTTGGCTTGTTGTTATGAAAAGTGTTTGTTTTGGCGAGTTTGAACGTTTTTGAGCATGTGTACTGGCATGAATGCGTTAAGCTGTTGTTTTAGTGTTCTTTTGATGAGTTTGGCTTGTTGTTATGAACATTGTTCGTTTTGGCCAGTTTGAAGGTTTTTTAGCATGTGTAATGGCATGAATGCGTTAAGCTGTTGTTTTATTGTTCTTTTGATGAGTTTGGCTTGTTGTTATGAACATTATTCGTTTTGGCCAGTTTGAAGGTTTTTTAGCATGTGTAATGGCATGAATGTGTTGAATTAGTAATCCCTTGTGTTAAGCTGTTGTTTTTGCGTTCTTTTGATGAGTTTGGCTTGTTGTTGTGAAAGTGTTTGTTTTGGCAAGTTTGAAGGTTTTTGAGCATATGTAATGGCATGAATGCGTTAAGCTGTTGTTTTAGTGTTCTTTTGATGAGTTTGGCTTGTTGTTATGAACATTGTTCGTTTTGGCCAGTTTTAAGGTTTTTTAGCATTTGTAATGGCATGAATGTGTTGAATTAGTAATCCCTTGTGTTAAGCCGTTGTTTTAGTGTTCTTTTGATGAGTTTGGCTTGTTGTTATGAAAAGTGTTTGTTTTGGCGAGTTTGAACGTTTTTGAGCATGTGTAATGGCATGAATGCGTTAAGCTGTTGTTTTAGTGTTCTTTTGATGAGTTTGGCTTGTTGTTATGAAAAGTGTTTGTTTTGGCGAGTTTGAACGTTTTTGAGCATGTGTAATGGCATGAATGCTTTAAGCTGTTGTTTTAGTTGTCTTATGATGAGTTTGGCTTGTTGTTATGAACATTGTTCGTTTTGGCCAGTTTGAAGGTTTTTTAGCATGTGTAATGGCATGAATGTGTTGAATTAGTAATCCCTTGTGTTAAGCTGTTGTTTTTGCGTTCTTTTGATGAGTTTGGCTTGTTGTTGTGAAAGTGTTTGTTTTGGCAAGTTTGAAGGTTTTTGAGCATATGTAATGGCATGAATGCGTTAAGCTGTTGTTTTAGTGTTCTTTTGATGAGTTTGGCTTGTTGTTATGAAAAGTGTTTGTTTTGGCGAGTTTGAACGTTTTTGAGCATGTGTAATTGCATGAATGCGTTAAGCTGTTGTTTTAGTGTTCTTTTGATGAGTTCTGCTTGTTGTTATGAACATTGTTCGTTTTGGCCAGTTTGAAGGTTTTTGAGCATGTGTAATGGCATGAATGCGTTAAGCTGTTGTTTTAGTGTTCTTTTGATGAGTTTGGCTTGTTGTTATGAACATTGTTCGTTTTGGCCAGTTTGAAGGTTTTTGAGCATGTGTAATGGCATGAATGCTTTGAATTAGTAATCCCATGTGTTAAGCCGTTGTTTTAGTGTTCTTTTGATGAGTTTGGCTTGTTGTTATGAAAAGTGTTTGTTTTGGCGAGTTTGAACGTTTTTGAGCATGTGTAATGGCATGAATGCGTTAAGCTGTTGTTTTAGTGTTCTTTTGATGAGTTTGGCTTGTTGTTATGAAAAGTGTTTGTTTTGGTGAGTTTCAACGTTTTTGAGCATGTGTAATGGCATGAATGCGTTAAGCTGTTGTTTTAGTGTTCTTTTGATGAGTTTGGCTTGTTGTTATGAAAAGTGTTTGTTTTTTCGAGTTTGAACGTTTTTGAGCATGTGTAATGGCTTGAATGCGTTAAGCTGTTGTTTTAGTGTTCTTGTGATGAGTTTGGCTTGTTGTTATGAACATTGTTTGTTTTGGCCAGTTTGAAGGTTTTTTAGCATGTGTAATGGCATGAATGTGTTGAATTAGTAATCCCTTGTGTTAAGCCGTTGTTTTAGTGTTCTTTTGATGACTTTGGCTTGTTGTTATGAAAAGTGTTTGTTTTGTTGAGTTTGAACGTTTTTGAGCATGTGTAATGGCATGAAAGCGTTAAGCTGTTGTTTTAGTGTTCTTTTGATAAGTTTGGCTTGTTGTTATGAACATTGTTCGTTTTGGCCAGTTTGAAGGTTTTTGAGCACGTGTAATGGCATGAATGTGTTGAATTAGTAATCCCTTGTGTTAAGCTGTTGTTTTAGTGTTCTTTTGATGAGTTTGGCTTTTTGTTATGAACATTTTTCTTTTTGGCCAGTTTGAAGGTTTTTGAGCATGTGTAATGGCATGAATGTGTTGAATTAGTAATCCCTTGTGTTAAGCTGTTGTTTTAGTGTTCTTTTGATGAGTTTGGCTTGTTGTTATGAAAAGTGTTTGTTTTTTCGAGTTTGAACGTTTTTGAGCATGTGTAATGGCTTGAATGCGTTAAGCTGTTGTTTTAGTGTTCTTTTGATGAGTTTGGCTTGTTGTTATGAACATTGTTCGTTTTGGCCAGTTTGAAGGTTTTTTAGCATTTGTAATGGCATGAATGTGTTGAATTAGTAATCCCTTGTGTTAAGCCGTTGTTTTAGTGTTCTTTTGATGAGTTTGGCTTGTTGTTATGAAAAGTGTTTGTTTTGGCGAGTTTGAACGTTTTTGAGCATGTGTAATGGCATGAATGCGTTAAGCTGTTGTTTTAGTGTTCTCATGATGAGTTTGGCTTGTTGTTATGAACATTGTTCGTTTTGGCCAGTTTGAAGGTTTTTGAGCATGTGTAATGGCATGAATGCGTTAAGGTGTTGTTTTAGTGTTCTTATGATGAGTTTTGCTTGTTGTTATGAACATTGTTCGTTTTGGCCAGTTTGAAGGTTTTTGAGCATGTGTAATGGCATGAATGTGTTGAATTAGTAATCCCTTGTGTTAAGCTGTTTTTTTAGTGTTCTTTTGATGAGTTTGGCTTGTTGTTATGAAAAGTGTTTGTTTTGGCGAGTTTGAACGTTTTTGAGCATGTGTAATGGCATGAATGCTTTAAGCTGTTGTTTTAGTTGTCTTATGATGAGTTTGGCTTGTTGTTATGAACATTGTTCGTTTTGGCCAGTTTGAAGGTTTTTTAGCATGTGTAATGGCATGAATGTGTTGAATTAGTAATCCCTTGTGTTAAGCTGTTGTTTTAGCGTTCTTTTGATGAGTTTGGCTTGTTGTTGTGAAAAGTGTTTGTTTTGGCAAGTTTGAAGGTTTTTGAGCATATGTAATGGCATGAATGCGTTAAGCTGTTGTTTTAGTGTTCTTTTGATGAGTTTGGCTTGTTGTTATGAAAAGTGTTTGTTTTGGCGAGTTTGAACGTTTTTGAGCATGTGTAATTGCATGAATGCGTTAAGCTGTTGTTTTAGTGTTCTTTTGATGAGTTCTGCTTGTTGTTATGAACATTGTTCGTTTTGGCCAGTTTGAAGGTTTTTGAGCATGTGTAATGGCATGAATGCGTTAAGCTGTTGTTTTAGTGTTCTTTTGATGAGTTTGGCTTGTTGTTATGAACATTGTTCGTTTTGGCCAGTTTGAAGGTTTTTGAGCATGTGTAATGGCATGAATGCTTTGAATTAGTAATCCCATGTGTTAAGCCGTTGTTTTAGTGTTCTTTTGATGAGTTTGGCTTGTTGTTATGAAAAGTGTTTGTTTTGGCGAGTTTGAACGTTTTTGAGCATGTGTAATGGCATGAATGCGTTAAGCTGTTGTTTTAGTGTTCTTTTGATGAGTTTGGCTTGTTGTTATGAAAAGTGTTTGTTTTGGTGAGTTTCAACGTTTTTGAGCATGTGTAATGGCATGAATGCGTTAAGCTGTTGTTTTAGTGTTCTTTTGATGAGTTTGGCTTGTTGTTATGAAAAGTGTTTGTTTTTTCGAGTTTGAACGTTTTTGAGCATGTGTAATGGCATGAATGCGTTAAGCTGTTGTTTTAGTGTTCTTATGATGAGTTTGGCTTGTTGTTATGAACATTGTTCGTTTTGGCCAGTTTGAACGTTTTTGAGCATGTGTAATGGCATGAATGTGTTGAATTAGTAATCCCTTGTGTTAAGCTGTTGTTTTAGTGTTCTTTTGATGAGTTTGGCTTGTTGTTATGAAAAAAATTTTTTTGTGAGTTTGAACGTTTTTGAGCATTTGTAATGGCATGAATGTGTTGAATTAGTAATCCCTTGTGTTAAGCCGTTGTTTTAGTGTTCTTTTGATGAGTTTGGCTTGTTGTTATGAAAAGTGTTTGTTTTGGCGAGTTTGAACGTTTTTGAGCATGTGTAATGGCATGAATGCGTTAAGCTGTTGTTTTAGTGTTCTCATGATGAGTTTGGCTTGTTGTTATGAACATTGTTCGTTTTGGCCAGTTTGAAGGTTTTTGAGCATGTGTAATGGCATGAATGCGTTAAGCTGTTGTTTTAGTGTTCTTTTGATGAGTTTGGGTTGTTGTTATGAAAAGTGTTTGTTTTGGCGAGTTTGAACGTTTTTGAGCATGTGTGATGGCATGAATGTGTTGAATTAGTAATCCCATGTGTTAAGCCGTTGTTTTAGTGTTCTTTTGATGAGTTTGGCTTGTTGTTATGAAAAGTGTTTGTTTTTGCGAATTTGAACGTTTTTGAGCATGTGTAATGGCATGAATGCGTTAAGCTGTTGTTTTAGTGTTCTTTTGATGAGTTTGGCTTGTTGTTATGAAAAGTGTTTGTTTTGGCCAGTTTGAAGGTTTTTGAGCATGTGTAATGGCATGAATGCGTTAAGCTGTTGTTTTAGTGTTCTTTTGATGAGTTTGGCTTGTTGTTATGAACATTGTTCGTAATGACCAGTTGAAGGTTTTTGAGCATGTGTAATGGCATGAATGTGTTGAATTAGTAATCCCTTGTGTTAAGCCGTTGTTTTAGTGTTCTTTTGATGAGTTTAGCTTGTTGTTATGAAAAGTGTTTGTTTTGGCGAGTTTGAACGTTTTTGAGCATGTGTAATGGCATGAATGCGTTAAGCTGTTGTTTTAGTGTTCTTTTGATGAGTTTGGCTTGTTGTTATGAAAAGTGTTTGTTTTGGCGAGTTTGAACGTTTTTGAGCATGTGTAATGGCATGAATGCGTTAAGCTGTTGTTTTAGTGTTCTTTTGATGAGTTTGGCTTGTTGTTATGAAAAATCCCTTGTAATCCCTTGTGTAAAGCCGTTGTTTTAGTGTTCTTTTGATGAGTTCGGCTTGTTGTTATGAAAAGTGTTTGTTTTGGCGAGTTTGAACGTTTCTGAGCATGTGTAATGGCATGAATGCGTTAAGCTGTTGTTTTAGTGTTCTTTTGATGAGTTTGGCTTGTTGTAATGAACATTGTTCGTTTTGGCCAGTTTGAAGGTTTTTTAGCATGTGTAATGGCAGGAATGTGTTGAATTAGTAATCCCTTATGTTAAGCCGTTGTTTTAGTGTTCTTTTGATGAGTTTGGCTTGTTGTTATGAAAAGTGTTTGTTTTGGCGAATTTGAACGTTTTTGAGCATGTGTAATGGCATGAATGCGTTAAGCTGTTGTTTTAGTGTTCTTTTGATGAGTTTGGCTTTTTGTTATGAAAAGTGTTTGTTTTGGCCAGTTTGAAGGTTTTTGAGCATGTGTAATGGCATGAATGCGTTAAGCTGTTGTTTTAGTGTTCTTTTGATGAGTTTGGCTTGTTGTTATGAAAAGTGTTTGTTTTGGCGAGTTTGAACGTTTTTGAGCATGTGTAATGGCATGAATGCGTTAAGCTGTTGTTTTAGTGTTCTTTTGATGAGTTTGGCTTGTTGTTATGAAAAATCCCTTGTAATCCCTTGTGTAAAGCCGTTGTTTTTAGTGTTCTTTTGATGAGTTTGGCTTGTTGTTATGAAAAGTGTTTGTTTTGGCGAGTTTGAACGTTTTTGAGCATGTGTAATGGCATGAATGCGTTCAGCTGTTGTTTTAGTGGTCTTTTGATGAGTTTGGCTTGTTGTCATGAAAAGTGTTTGTTTTGGCGAGTTTGAACGTTTTTGAGCATGTGTAATGGCATGAATGCGTTAAGCTGTTGTTTTAGTGTTCTTTTGATGAGTTTGGCTTGTTGTTATGAACATTGTTCGTTTTGGCCAGTTTAAAGGTTTTTTAGCATGTGTAATGGCATGAATGTGTTGAATTAGTAATCCCTTGTGTTAAGCTGTTGTTTTAGTGTTCTTTTGATGAGTTTGGCTTGTTGTTATGAAAAGTGTTTGTTTTGGCCAGTTTGAACGTTTCTGAGCATGTGTAATGGCATGAATGCGTTAAGCTGTTGTTTTAGTGTTCTTTTGATGAGTTTGGCTTGTTGTTATGAACATTGTTCGTTTTGGCCAGTTTGAAGGTTTTTGAGCATGTGTAATGGCATGAATGCGTTAAACTGTTGTTTTAGTGTTCTTTTGATGAGTTTGGCTTGTTGTTATGAAAAGTGTTTGTTTTGGCGAGTTTGAACGTTTCTGAGCATGTGTAATGGCATGAATGCGTTAAGCTGTTGTTTTAGTGTTCTTTTGATGAGTTTGGCTTGTTGTTATGAACATTGTTCGTTTTGGCCAGTTTGAAGGTTTTTGAGCATGTGTAATGGCATGAATGTGTTGAATTAGTAATCCCTTGTGTTAAGCCGTTGTTTTAGTGTTCTTTTGATGAGTTTGGCTTGTTGTTATGAAAAGTGTTTGTTTTGGCGAGTTTGAACGTTTTTGAGCATGTGTAATGGCATGAATGCGTTAAGCTGTTGTTTTAGTGTTCTTTTGATGAGTTTGGCTTGTTGTTATGAAAAGTGTTTGTTTTGGCCAGTTTGAAGGTTTTTGAGCATGTGTAATGGCATGAATGCGTTAAGCTGTTGTTTTAGTGTTCTTTTGATGAGTTTGGCTTGTTGTTATGAACATTGTTCGTAATGACCAGTTGAAGGTTTTTGAGCATGTGTAATGGCATGAATGTGTTGAATTAGTAATCCCTTGTGTTAAGCCGTTGTTTTAGTGTTCTTTTGATGAGTTTAGCTTGTTGTTATGAAAAGTGTTTGTTTTGGCGAGTTTGAACGTTTTTGAGCATGTGTAATGGCATGAATGCGTTAAGCTGTTGTTTTAGTGTTCTTTTGATGAGTTTGGCTTGTTGTTATGAAAAGTGTTTGTTTTGGCGAGTTTGAACGTTTTTGAGCATGTGTGATGGCATGAATGCGTTAATCTGTTGTTTTAGTGTTCTTTTGATGAGTTTGGCTTGTTGTTATGAACATTGTTCGTTTTGGCCCGTTTGAAGGTTTTTTAGCATGTGTAATGGCATGAATGTGTTGAATTAGTAATCCCTTGTGTAAAGCCGTTGTTTTAGTGTTCTTTTGATGAGTTCGGCTTGTTGTTATGAAAAGTGTTTGTTTTGGCGAGTTTGAACGTTTTTGAGCATGTGTAATGGCATGAATGCGTTAAGCTGTTGTTTTAGTGTTCTTTTGATGAGTTTGGCTTGTTATGAAAAGTGTTTGTTTTGGCGAGTTTGAACGTTTTTGAGCATGTGTAATGGCATGAATGCGTTAATCTGTTGTTTTAGTGTTCTTTTGATGAGTTTGGCTTGTTGTTATGAACATTGTTCGGTTTGGCCCGTTTGAAGGTTTTTTAGCATGTGTAATGGCATGAATGTGTTGAATTAGTAATCCCTTATGTTAAGCCGTTGTTTTAGTGTTCTTTTGATGAGTTTGGCTTGTTGTTATGAAAAGTGTTTGTTTTGGCGAATTTGAACGTTTTTGAGCATGTGTAATGGCATGAATGCGTTAAGCTGTTGTTTTAGTGTTCTTTTGATGAGTTTGGCTTGTTGTTATGAAAAGTGTTTGTTTTGGCGAATTTGAACGTTTTTGAGCATGTGTAATGGCATGAATGCGTTAAGCTGTTGTTTTAGTGTTCTTTTGATGAGTTTGGCTTGTTGTTATGAACATTGTTCGTAATGACCAGTTGAAGGTTTTTGAGCATGTGTAATGGCATGAATGTGTTGAATTAGTAATCCCTTGTGTTAAGCCGTTGTTTTAGTGTTCTTTTGATGAGTTTGGCTTGTTGTTATGAAAAGTGTTTGTTTTGGCGAGTTTGAACGTTTTTGAGCATGTGTAATGGCATGAATGCGTTAAGCTGTTGTTTTAGTGTTCTTTTGATGAGTTTGGCTTGTTGTTATGAAAAGTGTTTGTTTTGGCGAGTTTGAACGTTATTGAGCATGTGTAATGGCATGAATGCGTTAAGCTGTTGTTTTAGTGTTCTTTTGATGAGTTTGGCTTGTTGTTATGAACATTGTTCGTTTTGGCCCGTTTGAAGGTTTTTTAGCATGTGTAATGGCATGAATGTGTTGAATTAGTAATCCCTTGTGTAAAGCCGTTGTTTTAGTGTTCTTTTGATGAGTTCAGCTTGTTGTTATGAAAAGTGTTTGTTTTGGCGAGTTTGAACGTTTTTGAGCATGTGTAATGGCATGAATGCGTTAAGCTGTTGTTTAAGTGGTCTTTTGATGAGTTTGGCTTGTTGTTATGAACATTGTTCGTTTTGGCCAGTTTGAAGGTTTTTTAGCATGTGTAATGGCATGAATGTGTTGAATTAGTAATCCCTTATGTTAAGCTGTTGTTTTAGTGTTCTTTTGATGAGTTTGGCTTGTTGTTATGAAAAGTGTTTGTTTTGGCCAGTTTGAAGGTTTTTGAGCATGTGTAATGGCATGAATGCGTTAAGCTGTTGTTTTAGTGTTCTTTTGATGAGTTTGGCTTGTTGTTATGAACATTGTTCGTAATGGCCAGTTGAAGGTTTTTGAGCATGTGTAATGGCATGAATGTGTTGAATTAGTAATCCCTTGTGTTAAGCCGTTGTTTTAGTGTTCTTTTGATGAGTTTGGCTTGTTGTTATGAAAAGTGTTTTTTTTGGCGAGTTTGAACGTTTTTGAGCATGTGTAATGGCATGAATGCGTTAAGCTGTTGTTTCAGCGTTCTTTTGATGAGTTTGGCTTGTTGTTATGAACATTGTTCGTTTTGGCCAGTTTGAAGGTTTTTGAGCATGTGTAATGGCATGAATGTGTTGAATTAGTAATCCCTTGTGTTAAGCTGTTGTTTTAGTGTTCTTTTGATGAGTTTGGCATGTTGTTATGAAAAGTGTTTTTTTTGGCGAATTTGAACGTTTTTGAGCATGTGTAATGGCATGGATACGTTAAGCTGTTGTTTCAGCGTTCTTTTGATGAGTTTGGCTTGTTGTTATGAACATTGTTCGTTTTGGCCAGATTGAAGGTTTTTGAGCATGTGTAATGGCATGAATGCTTTAAGCTGTTGTTTTAGTGTTCTTTTGATGAGTTTGGCTTGTTGTTATGAACATTGTTCGTTTTGGCCCGTTTGAAGGTTTTTGAGCATGTGTAATGGCATGAATTTGTTGAATTAGTAATCCCTTGTGTTAAGCCGTTGTTTTAGTGTTCTTTTGATGAGTTTGGCATGTTGTTATGAAAAGTGTTTGTTTTGGCGAATTTGAACGTTTTTGAGCATGTGTAATGGCATGGATGCGTTAAGCTGTTGTTTCAGCGTTCTTTTGATGAGTTTGGCTTGTTGTTATGAACATTGTTCGTTTTGGCCAGTTTGAAGGTTTTTGAGCATGTGTAATGGCATGAATGTGTTGAATTAGTAATCCCTTGTGTTAAGCTGTTGTTTTAGTGTTCTTTTGATGAGTTTGGCTTGTTGTTATGAAAAGTGTTTGTTTTTTCGAGTTTGAACGTTTTTGAGCATGTGTAATGGCATGAATGCGTTAAGCTGTTGTTTTAGTGTTCTTTTGATGAGTTTGGCTTGTTGTTATGAACATTGTTCGTTTTGGCCAGTTTGAAGGTTTTTTAGCATGTGTAATGGCATGAATGTGTTAGATTAGTAATCCCTTGTGTTAAGCTGTTGTTTTAGTGTTCTTTTGATGAGTTTGGCTTGTTGTTATGAAAAGTGTTTGTTTTGGCGAGTTTGAACGTTTTTGAGCATGTGTAATGGCATGAATGCGTTAAGCTGTTGTTTTAGTGTTCTTTTGATGAGTTTGGCTTGTTGTTATGAAAAGTGTTTGTTTTGGCGAGTTTGAACGTTTTTGAGCATGTGTAATGGCATGAATGCGTTAAGCTGTTGTTTTAGTGTTCTTTTGATGAGTTTGGCTTGTTGTTATGAACATTGTTCGTTTTGGCCCGTTTGAAGGTTTTTTAGCATGTGTAATGGCATGAATGCGTTAAGCTGTTGTTTTAGTGTTCTTTTGATGAGTTTGGCTTGTTGTTATGAAAAGTGTTTGTTTTGGCGAGTTTGAACGTTTTTGAGCATGTGTAATGGCATGAATGCGTTAAGCTGTTGTTTTAGTGTTCTTTTGATGAGTTTGGCTTGTTGTTATGAACATTGTTCGTTTTGGCCAGTTTGAAGGTTTTTGAGCATGTGTAATGGCATGAATGTGTTGAATTAGTAATCCCTTGTGTTAAGCCGTTGTTTTAGTGTTCTTTTGATGAGTTTAGCTTGTTGTTATGAAAAGTGTTTTTTTTTGCGAGTTTGAACGTTTTTGAGCATGTGTAATGGCATGAATGCGTTAAGCTGTTGTTTTAGTGTTCTTTTGATGAGTTTGGCTTGTTGTTATGAACATTGTTCGTTTTGGCCAGTTTGAAGGTTTTTGAGCATGTGTAATGGCATGAATGCGTTAAGCTGTTCAGCTGTAAATCTAACGGTTACACAAGGGTTAACTAATCCTCATCTCTGTTTATTGACAACACTCATACAATTTTTTTTCAAGGTTATTGAAAATGTCAGCATGTAAAACACTTCTCCAACTGCTGCTTTTCTACAACTTCATGTATGTTTAACTGCAGCTATGCTAAAATTTCTACATAATTTCTTCTTGTTCTCCACCTCTTCAAGACATTTAACATTTATACTTTTCTTCTTTCGTAGCAGTTCTGCATGGCTGTTTCATCATTCAGCATTTCCATGCATTTTCTGCAAGGAAACGCAGTTTTTCAAGTTGTAATTGATAATCCTGTCGGCCGTTTTTTCTTCTAACACCAATATTTGTTACTTTTTCTCTCCTTCCCACTTTGTGCTATTTTAACCATTCAAACTTGATAGTAATGCACTCCCTAAGGACATGATAAGTATTACTTTTCACCTTTCTACCATTTATACTCTTTGCAATATTTCACTTTTTCTGTACAATTAGAAATGATCATGAAAGTGCCAGAATTCTTAAGATGGTCTTATTTTCATTTTCTTCATCACAGGGTGATGAGATTCATTTGCAATAATGGAATAACAGCACCAACAGCACCACAGTCTCTTTATTTAGGGTTGTCCCTGGTTACACAATGGTACTAAAGGATGGGGGAAAAATATGTGCACCAATGTTAGCATTCTCATAAAACATAATTATGAACAACAGAACATATGTGAGGGTCAAGGCAACACTGTTGACATTAAACAAGCTCCTTCTGATAGGAGCGGATCCTCCTCATTACTTCCCACGATTCACAGTGGAGGATACATCACACACACACCTGCTAATAGGAGAAACAAGGTCACAGAGAAGATAAGAAACATTTTTGTGCTGTGTAATAAAGCTATTGGAGAGAGAAGTTAGAAAACACTCTTATACACTGTGTGCACAATTATTAGGCAAGTGAGTATTTTGATCATATCATCATTTTTATGCATATTTTCCAACTCTAAGCTGTATAAACTTGAATGCTTATTGGATATAAGCATATCAGGTAATGTGTATTGAGGGAGGCTGGGGCCTAAGGAGATCAAAACCCTATATCAAGGTGTGCATAATTATTAGGCAGCTTCTTTTCCTCAGGTAAAATGGGCCAAAAAAGAGATTTAAGTGACTCTGAAAAGTCAAAAAATGTAAAAAGTCTTTCAGAGGGATGCAGCACTCTTGAAATTTCTTAGATATTTGGGCGTGATCACAGAACCATCAAACATTTTGATGCAAATAGTCAACAGGGTCGCAAGAAATGTGTTAAGAAAAAAAGACGCGAATTAACTGCCAAAGATTTGAGAAGACTCAAACGTAAAGCTACCAGGAACCCAATATCCTCCAGTGCTGTCATATTCCAGAACTGCAACCTACCTGGAGTGCCCAGAAGTACAAGGTGTTCAGTGCTCAGAGACATGGCCAAGGTAAGGAAGGCTGAAATCTGACCACCACTGAACAAGACACAAGTCGAAACGTCAAGACTGGGCCAAGAAATATCTGAAGAGAGACTTTTCAAAGGTTTTATGGACTGATGGGATGAGAGTGACTCTTGATGGACCAGATGGATGGACCCGCACAGGGCTCCACTTCAAATCAGACACCAGCAAGGTGGAGGCTGGGTACTGGTATGGGCTGGTATTATTAAAGATGAGCTAGCTGGACCTTTTCGAGATGAAGATGGACTTAAAATCAACTCCCAAATCCAATGCCAGTTTTTAGAAGACACTTTCTTCAAGCAGTGGTACAGGCAAAAGTCTGCATCATTCAAGAAAACCATGATTTTTATGCAGGACAATGCTCCATTGCATGCAATGAAGTACTCCACTATATGGCTCGCCAGTAAAGGCCTTAAAAACAAAAGAATAATGACATGGCCCCCTTCTTCACCTGACCTAAACCCTGTTGAGAACTTGTGAGCCCTTCTTAAACGGGAAATTTTCAGTGAAGGAAGACAGTACACCTCTCTGAACAGTGTCTGGAACAGTGTCTGGAAGGCTTTGGTTACTGCAACACAAAAAGTTGATCGTCAACAGATCAAGAAACTGAAAGACTCCATAAATGGAAGGCTTATGACTGTTATTGAGAAGAAGGGTAGTAACATTAGTCACAGATTTTTTATTTTTATTTCAATTTTTATTTGTAAATTGAGTTGTTTGTTTATCATTCTCACTTTAACCAGTGAAAATAAACAAATGAGATGGAAAATTTTTCATTTTCAATTTAGTTGCATAATAATTCTGCACACTAATAGCTGCCCCCAATAAGTGTGCACACATAGATATTCTCCTAAGGAAGCCAAAATCTCACTTTTACTCCCTTAAATATTCAGGTTTGAGGTTAATTAAAATTTTGGATTGACCAAGAGCACTGCAGTTGTTGAAAAATAAAGTTTATCCTCAAAAATACAACTTGCCTAATAATTCTGCACACAGTGTATGATGTGTAACAAGAGGTTAAAACAGTTCATACTTATAGCAAACTCTTACATAAGAATTTGAGTAAGATGATAACTTCTATATATATTTATACACATTATTCTGACAGTAACCATAGTAATTTTTGATTATGGTATGACAGCACCATCTAGTGGTGTGTACTTTTCACCTTTCTACCATTTATACTTTTTGCAATATTTCACTTTTTCTGTACATTTAGAAATGATCATGAGAGTGCCAGAATTCTTAAGATGGTCTTATTTTCATGATACCACTTAGAAAAACTGCGCCAGGTAAAGAAGTTCAGACGGTATCCACTTCACCCATGGTGGAGCACTTCTCATGTGTTGTGTGCTTGTCGATTTCCTTCACACCCTGTCCACACGCACTACTCCATCTTGCGGTGCGCTTCAGCTTGGTAAGTTAGTAACTGAAGCACACTATAGGGTAGTGTTGTGCCGCTACCAGTGACTATGGTTACATGCTGCTGACTGCAAACCTCTTTTGAATATTTCCACATTTCATGGGGAGTTTGTAATGTATAAATCTCTAGGCACTTGTCGTTCCAAAGCACCTAGACTGAGCTTTATTTATTTTTATTCACAAAAGTCTTACAACTTTTTCTTCACTTGAGCATTTTTTACATTCATAAAAGTATTTAAAATTCTGCTCTCTATACTTTTAAGATTAATACCACTTCTTCATACTTTCATAATTTTACATTCATATGCCTTTTTTATACCACAGCTCTGTAACAATTTCTATATTGACAAATATTGACAAGTCTTACAACTTTGTCTTCACGTAAGCATTTTTTACATTCATACAAGTTTTTAAACTTCTGCTCTTAATACTTTTGAGATTAATACCATCTATTTAGCAACTTTAATAATTTTGCATTTATACAGCTTTTTTAGCTACAGCTCTGTAACACTCTTTATATTAACATGTAGGGCAGCAACTAAAGCTCACCACTAGATTTGGCTGTCATACCATAATCAAATATTTCTATGATGATGTGCCGACTGCAAACATCTTTTTTATGTAGGGCAGTGACAGAAGCACACCACTAGATGGTGCTCTTTTTCCATTATTACAAATCACTATGGTTTCATACTGCTGACTGCAAACATCTTTTCAGTATTCACACATGGAGCGGGGCCATAGTTTTGTTTAGGCATTAGGCGTTATGTTTTGAATGGACTCTCAAAGGCTTAAAAAATTGTTTTTTGGATAAAAAATGTACTATTTTTGATCAGGGCAGAAGTTATTTGAGAGATGTGTGAAAAAAAATCTGGAAAAAATATGAATCCAATATGTTTTTACAGCAGTTGATGTCAGTGGCTTTTTTTAGCAACTGAGCGTTAACAAAGAATATTTTTTGGAAATCTGATCCTACAAAAAAAACTTCATATTACTAATCCTTTACAAATTCAAGACTATAAAACCCTGCAAGAGATATCCAGTTTCAGGTTATGTTTTCGAATAAAAATCAGTCTCTCTTCTTAAGATGGTCTTATTTTTTTATGATACCACTTATAACAATAGGTCAATGAACTGACAGGTCATCATAACAACAGGTCACCATAACGTTCAACACCATCCAACCGATCATACTCAAAGACAAGCCCACAGAGATGGGCGTGGATCCTACCTGTGTTTCCTGGATCACAAATTGCCTGACAGGAATCACACAGTTCTTCACGCTGGGGAACTGTGTTTCTGGGCCTTATTGAGAAGTACAGGGGTTCCACAACGGACGGTCCTGGCTCCATTCCTATTGACAGGGTATACACCAGACTTCAAATACAGCACTGAGTCCTGAAATTTTTGTAGAGGGCGCTATGACCACATTTTTGTTGGAAATCCATTTTGACAGTGGAAAACTTTTTGTTTAACTTTGAGTCCAACGTAGGTGTCATTGAATCCCTCGGTTTAGGTCAAACACAGGAGCTGAACTTACATTTTGAAATTTTGTAGAGGGAGAAATGAAGGAATTTTTTGATGGGTCCCCAATTTTTACATTGGCAACCATTTCTTTTCCTCTTGGGGTTCAAGATAAGTGTCATTGAATCCACTTGTCCGGACCGCAGGAGCGGGTTTACGTTTTGAAATTTTGAAGGGGGCGCTATGGGGCCTTTTTATGATGGATATCCATATTGACAGTTAAACCCTTTTTGTTCATCTTGAGGTCAAACATAAGTGTCATCAATTTCATAGGTTTCGGTCAAACACAGGAGCGTGGTTCACACTGAAGAAATTTGAAGGTGGCGCCATAGAGCCATGTTTTGATGGATCTCCATTTTGATATTCAAACTGTTTTTGTTCGTGTTAAGGTTCAACTTCAGTGTCACTAATTCCACAGGTTTTGGACACGCACCAGAGCAGGGCTTTCATTTAGAAATGTTTTAGAGAACGCAGTCGTGCCATTTTCAGTTGGATCCAAGATAAGTGTCTGTTAGTCCATTTGTCTGAGTCACTCAAAGAAGCAGGAGTTTCATTTTGAAATTATGAAGGGGGTGCTATGTAGTTATTTCTTGAAGGACCTCAATTTTGACATTGAACCCATTTTTGTTTGTCTTGAGGTCAAACATAAGTGACATCAATTCCAAAGGTTTTGGTCAAACACAGGAGCGGGGCTTACTTTTTTTTTAAATTTGAAGCTGGCACTCTGGAGCTATTTGAAGTTGATTCTCCATTTTGATGCTGGAGCCCTGTATGTTCAACTTTCGGTTTGTCATAATTGTTTTTTATTTCAAAAGTTTGGTTCGTACACAGAAAAAGGGCTTTTATTTTTCAATTGGGTAGGGGGCAATATGTGACCATTGATGGTTGGTTCTCCATCTTGACATTTTCTTCATCACAGGGTGATGAGACTCATTTGTAATAATGGAAAAACAGCACCATCTAGTGGTGTGCTTCAGTGACTTCCCCACATAAAAATGTAGAAAATATTACAGAGCTGAAGCTAAAATACTTGGATGAAGGTAAAAATAAATAAAAAAATTGCTAAAATTGTATGTCTTATGTGCATTACAAAGAAAAATGATCAGTCGAGGTGCTTCGGATAGACAAATGCCTAAAAATGTATGTATTACAACCTCCCCGTGGAATGTGGAAGTACTCAAAAGAAGTTTACAGTCAGAATGTAACCATAGTAATTTTTGATTATGGTATGACAGCACCATCTAGTGGGGTGAACTTTTCACCTTTCTACCATTTATACTTTTTGCAATATTTCACTTTTTCCTGTACAATTAGAAGTGATCATGAGAGTGCCAGTTGTTTTTTGTTAATCTGATCCTACAAAAAAAACTTAAATGGTTTCAAAGTCAATGATATTACGAATCCTTTACATATTCAAGACTATAAAACCCTGCAAGAGATATCCAGTTTCAGGTCATGTTTTCGAATAAAAATCAGTCTCTCTTCTTAAGATGGTCTTATTTTTTTATGATACCACTTATAACAATAGGTCAATGAACTGACAGGTCATCATAACAACAGGTCACCATAACGTTCAACACCATCCAACCGATCATACTCAAAGACAAGCCCACAGAGATGGGCGTGGATCCTACCTGTGTTTCCTGGATCACAAATTGCCTGACAGGAATCACACAGTTCTTCACGCTGGGGAACTGTGTTTCTGGGCCTTATTGAGAAGTACAGGGGTTCCACAACGGACGGTCCTGGCTCCATTCCTATTGACAGGGTATACACCAGACTTCAAATACAGCACTGAGTCCTGAAATTTTTGTAGAGGGCGCTATGACCACATTTTTGTTGGAAATCCATTTTGACAGTGGAAAACTTTTTGTTTAACTTTGAGTCCAACGTAGGTGTCATTGCATCCCTCGGTTTAGGTCAAACACAGGAGCTGAACTTACATTTTGAAATTTTGTAGAGGGAGAAATGAAGGAATTTTTTGATGGGTCCCCAATTTTTACATTGGCAACCATTTCTTTTCCTCTTGGGGTTCAAGATAAGTGTCATTGAATCCACTTGTCCGGACCGCAGGAGCGGGTTTACGTTTTGAAATTTTGAAGGGGGCGCTATGGGGCCTTTTTATGATGGATATCCATATTGACAGTTAAACCCTTTTTGTTCGTCTTGAGGTCAAACATAAGTGTCATCAATTTCATAGGTTTCGGTCAAACACAGGAGCGTGGTTCACACTGAAGAAATTTGAAGGTGGCGCCATAGAGCCATGTTTTGATGGATCTCCATTTTGATATTCAAACTGTTTTTGTTCGTGTTAAGGTTCAACTTCAGTGTCACTAATTCCACAGGTTTTGGACGCGCACCAGAGCAGGGCTTTCATTTAGAAATGTTGTAGAGAACGCAGTCGTGCCATTTTCAGATGGATCCAAGATAAGTGTCTGTTAGTCCATTTGTCTGAGTCACTCAAAGAAGCAGGGGTTTCATTTTGAAATTATGAAGGGGGTGCTATGTAGTTATTTCTTGAAGGACCTCAATTTTGACATTGAACCCATTTTTGTTTGTCTTGAGGTCAAACATAAGTGACATCAATTCCAAAGGTTTTGGTCAAACACAGGAGTGGGGCTTACTTTTTTTTTTTTTAATTTGAAGCTGGCACTCTGGAGCTATTTGAAGTTGATTCTCCATTTTGATGCTGGAGCCCTGTATGTTCAACTTTCGGTTTGTCATAATTGTTCTTTATTTCAAAAGTTTGGTTCGTACACAGAAAAAGGGCTTTTATTTTTCAAATGGGTAGGGGGCAATATGTGACCATTGATAGTTGGTTCAACATCTTGACATTTTCTTCATCACAGGGTGATGAGACTCATTTGTAATAATGGAAAAACAGCACCATCTAGTGGTGTGCTTCAGTGACTTCCCCACATAAAAATGTAGAAAATATTACAGAGCTGAAGCTAAAATACTTGGATGAAGGTAAAAATAAAAAAAATTGCTAAAATTGTATGTCTTCTGTGAATTACAAAGAAAAATGATCAGTCGAGGTGCTTCGGATAGCCAAATGCCTAAAATTGTATGTATTACAACCTCCCCGTGAAATGTGGAAGTACTCAAAAGAAGTTTACAGTCAGAATGTAACCATAGTAATTTTTGATTATGGTATGACAGCACCATCTAGTGGGGTGTAATTTTCACCTTTCTACCATTTACACTTTTTGCAATATTTCACTTTTTCTGTACAATTAGAAGTGATCATGAGAGTGCCAGAATTCTTAAGATGGTCTTATTTTCATGATACCACTTGGAAAAACTGCGTCAGGTAAAGAAGTTCAGACGGTATCCACTTCACCCATGGTGGAGCACTTCTCATGTGTTGTGTGCTTGTCGATTTCCTACACACTCTGTCCGCACGCACTACTCCATCTTGCGGTGCGCTTCAGCTTGGTAAGTTAGTAACTGAAGCACACTATAGGGTAGTGTTGTGCCGCTACCAGTGACTATGGTTACATGCTGCTGACTGCAAACCTCTTTTGAATATTTCAACATTTCATGGGGAGTTTGTAATATATAAATCTCTAGGCACTTGTCTTTCCAAAGCACCTAGACTGATCTTTATTTATTTTTATTCACAAAAGTCTTACAACTTTTTCTTCACTTGAGCATTTTTTACATTCATAAAAGTATTTAAAATTCTGCTCTCTATACTTTTAAGATTAATACCACTTCTTCATACTTTCATAATTTTACATTCATATGCCTTTTTTATACCACAGCTCTGTAACAATTCTATATTGACAAATATTGACAGGTCTTACAACTTTGTCTTCACGTGAGCATTTTTTACATTCATACAAGTTTTTAAACTTCTGCTCTTAATACTTTTGAGATCAATACCACCTATTTAGCACTTTAATAATTTTGCATTTATACAGCTTTTAGCTACAGCTCTGTAACACTCTTTATATTTATATGTAGGGCAGCAACTGAAGCTCACCACTAGATGCGGCTGTCATACCATAATCAAATATTTCTATGATGATGTGCTGACTGCAAGAGAAGGGTGTCTCTGCAGAGCCGGAGAGCCCTGCAGCTGCAGTTCTACGCGTGTAAAACTGCAGGAGGCGGAGTCTCGAAATCATGTAACCGCCCCCTTTTTTTCTCCTCTTCGTTTTCGTGTTCTTTGGAGAAGAGTTGTCAATAGTATGCAATGGTCTGTAGTGGAGTTTGTTGATCGAACCGTGAGTATTAAATGTGAATCCCACAATTTATTTAGCGTCTCCAAAATCGTTCACTTGATTTGAATGAGAAATGAATGTGTGGTTGTGCGGACGTTAATGATATTTACCATGATAGTCTGGAAGACACGTCGAATATTTATGTTGGTTAAGCCAGCTAAAGCTATTGTTAGCTTGTCGGAATTGTGCACTCCACAACCTCTCCATGCAGGAAGCTGAGGAGGTCTTCCATTCTGGTCCGCCAATTCATCAGAGGTAAAAAAATAATAAAACATAACACAAATTAGCTGAAATCCTTACTATAACTAAGAAATTGTAAATTCTTCAATTTACAATTTCAGGTCTTTCAGTTTTTTCTTTCAGGTTTTTCAGTTTCAAATATTAATTTACCCAGCAGTGATTATTTTCATTTCCTATTGTAGTGAAGTGGAAGAATTCAGTCGGTCGATCGAAAAGAAAATGAAGAGGGAAGGAAACCTCTGAATGGTATGTAGAGCTGTTACATACTTCACAATCTGGGCTTTAAATATCTAAGTCAAATGTCAAACATTTTATTTCTATCATGTATCTTTCTTTCAGGACTCATCCATTCTGATATTTCACATGAGGCTGCACAAGTCCTGCAACAAGTTTGTTTGTTAATAAAAAAATATGTTTACTACAAGATGTGTTGTTTGTTTCTGAAGTGATTATGGTATGTTTTTGACCAATTTTACAAGGTTTAGCATGTTTCTATGATATTAGGATAACATCATGACTCCATTCAATGCTGTAGAAAGATAATTAACTACTCTAATAATGAGAGAAAAGAACTTGCCCCCATCAAGGGACTTCAAACCTGCATTCCATATGAATTTAGACTCTTGTGATGGTTGTCTCCCATTTCCTGATGCTGCCTTTCAGACATGGCTCCATCTTCCTCCTGTTTCTCCCAATAACCACTCAAGTCACAAAGAACTGCTCTTTACCTTAAGATTAAAACACTTAGCCACTTTGACAAAAGGCTAATTCTTGGTGGCTTTATGATCAAAGGCTTCTCCATGGCAACAGCCTTTTTGCACAGCTTTGTTCTTGATAGAAGACATTTTTTTGTAGACGTTAAGAGCCAATCATATTTTTTTTGTTGATCACCACAAAGAATTACCTGGAATGACAATACTATGAAATTCTCACTCAAAGGGGTCAAATTGTCATCAAATGTAATGAATAAATAATAAAAAGGCAAAGCTGGTCCCTACAGGGCTTCAAGCACTGCACAGCTTGCTTTGGCTCGGGCATTTAAAACACTGGGTCCAGAAATAAATATTTTTTTTATTACATTGAAATTAGATTACTCCTAACTGTTTTGGATGGAATAAACCTAAATTCTACAAGGTGTTTTGGGTTAACCAAACCTTAAATATTGACTGTCAGCTCATATTCCGTTTTTTTTTCTTTTCTTTTTTTTTCAGCAAAATAACACATTTTATCCATGTAAAGAAGTCCAATTCCTGAACTGCAGCACCTGCATTAGCACTGACCTACCAGCATGGGGCGCTATCACGTGTAGAACTGCAGCATCTGCATTAGCACTGACCTACCAGCAGGGGCGCTAACACGTGTAGAACTGCAGCGTGTAAAACTGCAGCTGCAGGGCTCTCCAGCTCTGCAGACACATACTATTGGACTGCAAACATCTTTTTTATGTAGGGCAGTGACAGAAGCACACCACCAGATGGTGCTGTTTTTCCATTATTACAAATCACTACAGTTACATGCTGCTGACTGCAAACATCTTTTCAGTATTCACACATGGAGCTGGGCCATTGTTTTGTTTAGGCATTAGCCGTTTTGTTTTGAATGGACTCTCAAAGGCTTAAAAAATTGTTTTTTGGATAAAAAAATGTACTATTTTTGATCAGGGCAGAAGTTAATTGAGAGATGTGTGAAAAAAAATCTGGAAAAGATATGAATCCAATATGTTTTTACAGCAGTCGATGTCAGTGGCTTTTTTTAGCCACTGAGCATAAACAAAGGATGTTTTTTGTTAATCTGATCCTACAAAAAAAACTTAAAAGGTCTCATAGTCAATGATATTACTAATCCTTTACATATTCAAGACTATAAAACCCTGCAAGAGATATCCAGTTTCAGGTCATGTTTTCTAATAAAAATCAGTCTCTCTTCTTAAGATGGTCTTATTTTCATGATACCACTTATAACAATAGGTCAATGAACTGACAGGTCATCATAACAACAGGTCACCATCACATTCAACACCATCCAACCGATCATACTCAAAGACAAGCCCACAGAGATGGGCATGGATCCTACCTGTGTTTCCTGGATCATAAATTGCCTGACAGGAATCACACAGTTCTTCACGCTGGGGAACTGTGTTTCTGGGCCTTATTGAGAAGTACAGGGGTTCCACAACGGACGGTCCTGGCTCCATTCCTATTGACAGGGTATACACCAGACTTCAAATACAGCACTGAGTCCTGAAATTTTTGTAGAGGGCGCTATGACCACATTTTTGTTGGAAATCCATTTTGACAGTGGAAAACTTTTTGTTTAACTTTGAGTCCAACGTAGGTGTCATTGAATCCCTCGGTTTAGGTCAAACACAGGAGCTGAACTTACATTTTGAAATTTTGTAGAGGGAGAAATGAAGGAATTTTTTGATGGGTCCCCAATTTTTACATTGGAACCCATTTCTTTTCCTCTTGGGATTCAAGATAAGTGTCATTGAATCCACTTGTCTGGACCACAAGAGCGGGTTTACGTTTTGAAATTTTGAAGGGGGCGCTATGGGGCCTTTTTATGATGGATATCCATGATGACAGTTAAACCCTTTTTGTTCGTCTTGAGGTCAAACATAAGTGTCATCAATTTCATAGGTTTAGGTCAAACACAGGAGCGTGGTTCACATTAAAGAAATTTGAAGGTGGCGCCATAGAGCCATGTTTTGATGGATCTCCATTTTGATATTCAAACTGTTTTTGTTCGTGTTAAGGTTCAACTTCAGTGTCACTAATTCCACAGGTTTTGGACGCACACCAGAGCAGGGCTTTCATTTAGAAATGTTGTAGAGAACGCAGTCGTGCCATTTTCAGTTGTATCCAAGATAAGTGTCTGTTAGTCCATTGGTCTGAGTCACTCAAAGAAGCAGGAGTTTCATTTTGAAATTATGAAGGGGGTGCTATGTAGCTAGTTCTTGAAGGACCTCAATTTTGACATTGAACCCATTTTTGTTTGTCTTGAGGTCAAACATAAGTGACATCAATTCCAAAGGTTTTGGTCAAACACAGGAGCGGGGCTTACTTTTTTTAAATTTGAAGCTGGCACTCTGGAGCTATTTGAAGTTGATTCTCCATTTTGATGCTGGAGCCCTTTATGTTCAACTTTCGGTTTGTCATAATTGTACTTTATTTCAAAAGTTTGGTTCGTACACAGAAAAAGGGCTTTTATTTTTCAATTGGGTAGGGGGCAATATGTGACCATTGATGGTTGGTTCTCCATTTTGACATTTTCTTCATCACAGGGTGATGAGACTCATTTGTAATAATGGAAAAACAGCACCATCTAGTGGTGTGCTTCAGTGACTTCCCCACATAAAAATGTAGAAAATATTACAGAGCTGAAGCTAAAATACTTGGATGAAGGTAAAAATAAAAAAAATTGCTAAAATTGTATGTCTTCTGTGAATTACAAAGAAAAATGATCAGTCGAGGTGCTTCGGATAGCCAAATGCCTAAAATTGTATGTATTACAACCTCCCCGTGAAATGTGGAAGTACTCAAAAGAAGTTTACAGTCAGAATGTAACCATAGTAACTTTTGATTATGGTATGACAGCACCATCTAGTGGGGTGTAATTTTCACCTTTCTACCATTTATACTTTTTGCAATATTTCACTTTTTCTGTACAATTAGAAGTGATCATGAGAGTGCCAGAATTCTTAAGATGGTCTTATTTTCATGATACCACTTGGAAAAACTGCGTCAGGTAAAGAAGTTCAGACGGTATCCACTTCACCCATGGTGGAGCACTTCTCATGTGTTGTGTGCTTGTCGATTTCCTACACACTCTGTCCGCACGCACTACTCCATCTTGCGGTGCGCTTCAGCTTGGTAAGTTAGTAACTGAAGCACACTATAAGGTAGTGTTGTGCCGCTACCAGTGACTATGGTTACATGCTGCTGACTGCAAACCTCTTTTGAATATTTCAACATTTCATGGGGAGTTTGTAATATATAAATCTCTAGGCACTTGTCTTTCCAAAGCACCTAGACTGATCTTTATTTATTTTTATTCACAAAAGTCTTACAACTTTTTCTTCACTTGAGCATTTTTTACATTCATAAAAGTATTTAAAATTCTGCTCTCTATACTTTTAAGATTAATACCACTTCTTCATACTTTCATAATTTTACATTCATATGCCTTTTTTATACCACAGCTCTGTAACAATTCTATATTGACAAATATTGACAGGTCTTACAACTTTGTCTTCACGTGAGCATTTTTTACATTCATACAAGTTTTTAAACTTCTGCTCTTAATACTTTTGAGATCAATACCACCTATTTAGCACTTTAATAATTTTGCATTTATACAGCTTTTAGCTACAGCTCTGTAACACTCTTTATATTTATATGTAGGGCAGCAACTGAAGCTCACCACTAGATGCGGCTGTCATACCATAATCAAATATTTCTATGGTGATGTGCTGACTGCAAACATCTTTTTTATGTAGGGCAGTGACAGAAGCACACCACCAGATGGTGCTGTTTTTCCATTATTACAAATCACTACAGTTACATGCTGCTGACTGCAAACATCTTTTCAGTATTCACACATGGAGCGGGGCCATTGTTTTGTTTAGGCATTAGCCGTTTTGTTTTGAATGGACTCTCAAAGGCTTAAAAAATTGTTTTTTGGATAAAAAAATGTACTATTTTTGATCAGGGCAGAAGTTAATTGAGAGATGTGTGAAAAAAAATCTGGAAAAAATATGAATCCAATATGTTTTTACAGCAGTCGATGTCAGAGGCTTTTTTTAGCCACTGAGCATTAACAAAGGATGTTTTTTGTTAATCTGATCCTACAAAAAAAACTTAAAAGGTTTCATAGTCAATGATATTACTAATCCTTTACATATTCAAGACTATAAAACCCTGCAAGAGATATCCAGTTTCAGGTCATGTTTTCTAATAAAAATCAGTCTCTCTTCTTAAGATGGTCTTATTTTCATGATACCACTTATAACAATAGGTCAATGAACTGACAGGTCATCATAACAACAGGTCACCATAACATTCAACACCATCCAACCGATCATACTCAAAGACAAGCCCACAGAGATGGGCGTGGATCCTACCTGTGTTTCCTGGATCACAAATTGCCTGACAGGAATCACACAGTTCTTCACGCTGGGGAACTGTGTTTCTGGGCCTTATTGAGAAGTACAGGGGTTCCACAACGGACGGTCCTGGCTCCATTCCTATTGACAGGGTATACACCAGACTTCAAATACAGCACTGAGTCCTGAAATTTTTGTAGAGGGCGCTATGACCACATTTTTGTTGGAAATCCATTTTGACAGTGGAAAACTTTTTGTTTAACTTTGAGTCCAACGTAGGTGTCATTGAATCCCTCGGTTTAGGTCAAACACAGGAGCTGAACTTACATTTTGAAATTTTGTAGAGGGAGAAATGAAGGAATTTTTTGATGGGTCCCCAATTTTTACATTGGAACCCATTTCTTTTCCTCTTGGGGTTCAAGATAAGTGTCATTGAATCCACTTGTCTGGACCACAGGAGCGGGTTTACGTTTTGAAATTTTGAAGGGGGCGCTATGGGGCCTTTTTATGATGGATATCCATGATGACAGTTAAACCCTTTTTGTTCGTCTTGAGGTCAAACATAAGTGTCATCAATTTCATAGGTTTAGGTCAAACACAGGAGCGTGGTTCACATTAAAGAAATTTGAAGGTGGCGCCATAGAGCCATGTTTTGATGGATCTCCATTTTGATATTCAAACTGTTTTTGTTCGTGTTAAGGTTCAACTTCAGTGTCACTAATTCCACAGGTTTTGGACGCACACCAGAGCAGGGCTTTCATTTAGAAATGTTGTAGAGAACGCAGTCGTGCCATTTTCAGTTGGATCCAAGATAAGTGTCTGTTAGTCCATTGGTCTGAGTCACTCAAAGAAGCAGGAGTTTCATTTTGAAATTATGAAGGGGGTGCTATGTAGCTATTTCTTGAAGGACCTCAATTTTGACATTGAACCCATTTTTGTTTGTCTTGAGGTCAAACATAAGTGACATCAATTCCAAAGGTTTTGGTCAAACACAGGAGCGGGGCTTACTTTTTTTTTTAAATTTGAAGCTGGCACTCTGGAGCTATTTGAAGTTGATTCTCCATTTTGATGCTGGAGCCCTTTATGTTCAACTTTCGGTTTGTCATAATTGTACTTTATTTCAAAAGTTTGGTTCGTACACAGAAAAAGGGCTTTTATTTTTCAATTGGGTAGGGGGCAATATGTGACCATTGATGGTTGGTTCTCCATTTTGACATTTTCTTCATCACAGGGTGATGAGACTCATTTGTAATAATGGAAAAACAGCACCATCTAGTGGTGTGCTTCAGTGACTTCCCCACATAAAAATGTAGAAAATATTACAG